CCCCCCAACACCACCACCCCCTTTACCCCAGCCCTGACCATGGGGGCCTCAGAGGGTTCTGCTGGGCCTCCCACCACTTCCCCAAAGTTGGGAACCTTCAAGTCCCCAGCATAGCCTGAACCTGGCTGCTCTCGGGTGGGACAGCAAAAGCAAACAAACAAACAAACAACAACAACAAAAAAACCCAACAACAAAACCCTGGCTTCATTAATAAGTCTGGTTGAACGACCTCACTAAAAAGGTGAGTAAACTGAGGCCCAGAACAAGACCTACTGAGGCAGTGGGCGCTAGAACAAGGCAGTAGGGCTCCCCATATTCCTGGATGGAAGGAAACGTGTGTGTGATTTTTCCAGGGGGTGTGGGGCTCACTGCCAACCGTGGCAGGGAATCGAGGCTCTGAGGTCACCCAAGAGCCCTAGCCTGCAGGAGGGGACAGGCCTGGCTGGTGGCCCAGCAGCTCTTCTGGGAGGGCGGTAGGCAGAGGTTGGCGATGTCGGAAGCCAAAGGCTTGGCCTCCCCGAGGGAGCCGCTTTCCCGGCCCGGGTCGGATCAATGGGCTGTAATTATACCGCACCGGGCCCGGAGCTGGCGGGGAGGGAGCGGGAGCTGGCAGGAGCTAGGAAGCTGGAGGGAGAGCGCGGGCGGAGAGGTACCCACGTTACTTTGATTGACAGCTCTGGAGGGCGCCGCGCGGGAGCTTCTGGGGAACGTAGTCTTTCCAAGAAGTCGTGCTCACTTCTACCCTTCCGATTATGTTCGGGTAAACTGAGGCACGGGGACGAGCAAGACTACCCCCCCCCATACATCGGCCCATCCCTCCCCCATCTGACTTGGAGACAAAAACTGAGCGGTGCTAGAAACCTCTAGGCTCCCGTGATAGTCTCAGCTCTTCCCCGAGAGGTCTAGCGTGACTCAACTCCTCTCTACCACAGTTTACCTACCAGTGAAATAGGGCGAAAGGCGCCCAGTCAGCCTCTCAGGTGGCTGGGATTTTGCAAGCAAGTTATTAAATGAAAGGCTCTTGTTTATCAAGGGAGACCCGTTAGGCTCAGAGGGTAGCTCGCTTCTCCGTTTTAAGATACAAATCGAGCCAGATCCCCCTCCTACCCGGCTGGGCTTGGGCATCCACGAGGGTCTCAGTTTCTCTAGGGCGGAGGGAGCCACACTCTTCACACCCCACTTTTGCCTCCCCGCTTCCCGATTGGCCCAGACAATCTTAGTACCTCCTGCCATTGGCTGCCAGTTCCCTGATTCCCATTCGCCAGCGCCCGTTGTGACGTCACGGACCCATGTGGGATCGCCTTGGACGGATTGGCTGGTGTGCCCAGCCAACCACCGCAGAGAAAGGAATTTCCACAGTAGCCTGGGCTGTGAGGCTGATTTAAGGTGGTCTGAGCAAAATGGGGTCCCAGCGCTCCTTCTCAGCTTTTTCCTTTCTCACACACATACGCACACGCACACGCACTCGCACTCAACGCACATCCACATCATAAAAAAACCCAGGCAGGAACTGGAGCTGAGACTTTCTGTACAGTGAGAGGAGAGAGATCAGAAGTTAAGCCCCTCCCTCCATTTCGCAACTTCTTCCTAAATTTTGCAGATGAGGAAACTGAGGCCCAGAGAGGCGGCGCTTGAAGTCGTAAGGCAGACAAGTTAGCTGGAGAAATGAGAAGGTTGTGCTACGCTGCCCAGGCTGTAACTCACACCTGGTGAGGCTTTCTTTTCCCTGCCTCCTGCTCTGGTATAATGTTGGATTCCAGAGAGTTATGGAGTAACAGGCTGCCTAGAGACCCCTTAACCCCCCTCCCCCATCTCACAGACTGCTCTCATCTGAGCCTCCCCAAATTTTCAAAACTGTTCCCAGGCTGAGGATGCTACTGCTTAGAGAAAGAAAAAAAAGTCTCCTCCTTGTGTGTGGTCTTGTGGCTTCTCAGGCAATCCACAAATCTGTATTTACACTCTCCTGTGGAGTGTGCCTGGCTGAGAGATCTAAACACTTGTGGGTAAAGGTCCCCTCCTCCAGGAAGCCCCCTTGAATCCACCAGGCAGAGACTTGTTCTAACTCTGGGTTCCTTGGGCCCTGGGTCCGCCCCTCTGTGTTGTCATCGGCTCTGTGGACACTGGAGTGTGTCCTAAGCGCTGTCTCTCCTCCCTAACCCACTGGAGAGCCCTCCTGGCAAAGCCTGGGGCTAGGTCCCTTCTAGGGCCCCAGAATCTTCTATCATGAGGAGGTGGTTATAGGATAACTACCCACTTATCTACCAACTTTAGACAGTCTGTGTTCAATGTGTGTGTGGAGGGGAGGATGCCTTTTGGAGGAGATGTCTGGAAGGGGGTGCCTTTTGGGCCAGGCCTTGAAGGAATGGATTTTGTCCAGGCAGAAAAAGTTCTGAGGGAATTCGAGGAAGAGAAGCAAAGGCCCAGAGGGAAAGAACACAGATTAGGTCATCTGGCTGGGGTGGCTGGAGCAGAGGGAGTGTTTGAAGTGTGGAGGGAGGAGAAGTTGTGCCAGGCCAGGAGGTGAAGGGCATCGGTGCTAGCTCAAAGATCTGGAAATTTGTCCCAAGGTCAACAAGAAGCCTCGAGAAGACCTTAAGTGAAGGAGGGCCAGACTCTAATGGAAGGTGACAAGAGGAAGGCTGCTCCAGCAGGGAGCTGCACTGAGGTCCACTGGGAGAGGATGAAGTGCTGGTGCAGGCAGGGGGCTGTAGGATGGGGGGCAGGGTTGCATGGCAGGTGATGGCGGGAGGGGAGGCTAGGCTGATACTCTGTGTCTTGGGGGATCAGGGTGGACTGTGGAGCCAACAGGTCTGGGAAAATGCTTGTTCTATAGGCCTGGGGGGCATCCAGGGGAGATGCCTAGTTGGTGGCAGGGTCTCAGGGTAGGGACCAGGGATGGAACCAGAGCTTAGAATCATCCTCATGAAAGTAGTCAGGAGGGTATGGAGGCAGGGGGAGGAAAGGCTGCCTGGAAAGGTTTTTAAATGGGGACTTCACAGACCTCACTACCGCCGCCCCGTCCCCCCAGGCCCATCCTGAACCAGAAGCACTGTGGAATCCTGGAACTCCCTTTTTCTTAGTATTTCCCAGCAGGAGTGTGGCCAGTGATTGCTGCCTTTAGCTATATCAGCTGTTTCTTCTCATCCTTATGCCTGTTTATTTATTGAGCATTTACTGTGTGCCAGCTCTGCAGAGACCAAGACAGGCTTTGTCCGCACACAGCTTAGTACTAGGAGGAGACAAATAACGACTAGAACAATCCAGGAAGAAACACGATCATGTCAAAAACAAAACAAACTCTTTTAGGAGCTGGAAAGAGAGAGAATAGGATGCAATATTTGAAAATGACATGGTGAATGCTGCTTAAATGGGTGGCCAGCCAGGGGCCTTCCTGAGGAGGTGACATTTGAGCTGAGATTTGAATGACAGAGAAGCAAGGGAACCTTGTCCAGGGAGAGGGAAGTCAGTTCAAAGGCCCTGAGGCAGGGCTGTGCCTGGTGAGTTGCAGGAACAGTGAGGAGAGGAGAAGCAGAGTGAATGAGGGTGAGAGGGAAGGGATCAGGTAGGGGAAGACAAGGAGGAGTTTGTGCAGGGCTGTGTGGATTGTATTTTGATGGCTGTAGGGAACCATGGAGTACCCCATTCAACACACACGCACTCTCTGGATCTCTCCTCCTTCCCCTCCTGTGGCTTTCTATCTTTATCCTTCAGGTCTCATCTCCAATGTTAGCCTCCTTACAGAGGCCTTTCCCAGACACCCCTGATAAACAGGTTCCCTCTTGTCTACTTCTGTCACTGCTCCCTAAACCTTTCCTTTGTGCACACAAGTAATTCTATAATTACCAAGCTGTGATCTTTTCTCCCACGAACTCAGACAAGGCCAGAATCTGTTCTCCTTCATCCACCCTTATATTCCTGGTGCCCTTATATTCCTGGTATATAAAGGATGGCTGGCATATAGTAGGTGCTCAGTAAATTTGTTGGCTGGAAAGTGACACTCACAAGTCCAATAAAGACTTCTGTATGCTTTCACTCACTCACCTACTGACATAGGTGTAGACATTAACAAGGGGCAAGAGTTTTTCTCTGTTTTGCTCCCTCCTGAGCCCCAGAGCCTCGAGCAGTGTCTGGTCCACAGTAGGCACTCTACATGTTTGTTGATTGACTTAATGAATGACCACGAGGCTTCTCATACAAAAGATGGGAATAAGAATTGCCCACCTCCCAGGCGAATGTTGAAGGACACTTACTGGATGTCTGAGGTCTGTGGTGGAGAGTGGAGCTCTTACTCTCAGGGACCTCAGTCTGATGGCAGAGATTCAGTTTCCATTCTCACTGGGACTTTGCATTCTAGGACCCCATAGCCTGAAAGGGGAGGCAGACCAGTCTGCTGGTGGTGGCAATCAGAACACCAACTCCCACTTCTGGGAGCTTACTGTGTGCCATGCCAGGCTGAGGGTTGTTCATGCATCGTCTCATTTAAAAATAGCCCCTGACCCTGCCATTTTCAGACAATACCGAAGCCCAGAGCGGGGGTGAACCTGGATCTGCCCAGCACCTCCTTCCCTCCTCTGGGCCTTTGCATGGGTTATTATTCTCTTTCCCCTGGGGGAGGCTTCCCTGCCAGCGCTTGGCAAGGCTGCTTCCTCCTGATCCTTAAGTCTTAGCTCACGTCCTCAGAAAGGCCATTTCTGACCACAAACAGCTCCTCTCCCCACCGAGCGACTCCCCACCTTGGGCCACCAGGTATTTGTTTCCTTGCTTTTTCTCTCTTGTGCTCTCCGGGAGGGAGAGGGAGGTCGACGTGTGTGGGATTGGACGCGAGGCTCAGTTTCCCACCCGGCACTGGTCAATGGAAGGGGGTGGGTTCCGGGGACCAAGGCCCGTGGTTGGGAGGGCGCTGGGTGGGCGGCTGGTGGGCCGGGTGGGCGGGCCCCGGGGGCGGCGGCGCCACCTTAAGGCGGCTCTGCCCGCGGCTCCCGGCCGAGCCCCGCCGGAGGGAGGCGGCTCGGAGCCCGGCCCGCCGCCCGCGCCTCAGACACCCGGCCGCGGCTCGCCGACCTTCCGCGACCGCCGCCCCGCGCCCCTGCCCGGGGGAGTGGGCCTCGGCGCCCCTCTCAGTCCCCGCGACCTCTCGCGCTAGCTCGGGGGACGCGGGGGACTCCGGGGTCCCCCGCCCCACGCCGCCTCGGCTCCTGGCTTGTTTCTCCGGGCTGCCCCCCACCCCCAGCCTCTCCCCCGCCAACCCCCACATTGTCACATTCCGGCGCGAAGTGAGCTTCCCGGATCAGCAGGATGTACCCCCAGGGAAGGCACCCGGTGAGTAGGGTCCCGGACTGCGGGGGTGGGGGGTCCCGGGCGCCCGGGAACTCAGACCTTGACGTCCCCCCCAGGCCCCACTTCAGTCCGGCCAGCCCTTCAAGTTCTCGATCTTGGAGATATGCGACCGCATCAAAGAGGAATTCCAGTTCCTGCAGGCTCAGTACCACAGGTGAGGGGGGCGGGGCGCCCCGCCGGGGGGGACCGGGAGTTCACCTGCGTGCTCACCTGGGAGCCCGCTGAGAGGGACAGGGCCAGTGGGGCGAGGGGCGGGGCCAGGCCAGACAAGGGCCTCTTGGGTGCGGGGAGAAGGGAGGACCCCCAGGGTTGAGCGGAGGGCTTCCAGGTGGAAGCGGGGCGGGGGGCGGGGGGGATGGATGGGGACACTTGGTGCTGGGGCAGTTTGAGTGGGGAGGGATTGGGACGGGGCGCGGGCTGTAGGGAAGTGGGGAGGGCTGAGTCAAACCCATCACTTTGGAAACTGACCCAGATGGGGTGTCCGCGGGCCTCCCTTGGGGGAGGCAGAAAGAGTGGGGCCCCCATGCCCTGTCTCCTTCCCAGCCTCAAGCTGGAATGTGAGAAGTTGGCCAGTGAGAAGACTGAAATGCAGCGACATTATGTCATGGTGAGGGGGTCAGCATGCCAGCGTGGGAGGAGTGGGAAGCGAGGGTCTGGGTGTGAATGTGGACTCAGTGTGCCGTTCTGGGGTATGTCCTCACTCCTTTTAGGGCCTCATTCTCCCTATCCATATAGTGGGCTGGTTGGGATTCTAGGCTCTTTCTCCCAGGATCCTCCCAGCTCTTAAGGACAATAAGACAAGGATGCCCCCTGTCCTTACAGGCATCTCTGAGGGCTCAGGCTCTCTGGGTACCACCTACCCCACCTCCCTGGAGAGAGTGGAGGGGCCCTGCTTCCCTCTAGGGGGTCCTATGGGGCTGTGATGATCTGTGTCCTTCTGTGATCACCCAACCTGGGGACTCCTGGAAGACCCAGAGTCGCCCAGAGCAGGGCTGGACATCCAGCGGCACAGTGGATGTTCCAACTGGCTTTTCCTTTGCAGTACTATGAGATGTCCTATGGGCTCAACGTTGAAATGCATAAGCAGGTAACTGTGTTGGGTGTTCAGTAGGGAGGGAGGGGGGTCAGGGGGCTGTGAGGGGGACCCAGCACTAGGGTAGTCTGGGGCAAGGCAGGACTGGGGAACAGGGGTCTTAACCTGAAATCTCTGGGACCCGGGGGCCAGATTTTAGCCTTGGGATAGAAGACTGATTCTGAACTTCTGGAGACTTTGTGCTGCAGCTAAAGTCATTGTCCAGCAGAGAGGGGAGCAGTGAGCCAGGGCCAGGTGTCTGTGTCAAGGAAGGTTCATAGCCGGAGGCCAGCAGCCAGGTCAGGGAGGCTGTGGAGGTGACTTCTGTCCCAGGGTGGGCCAGATGGACTGTGCTGGAGGTCCCTTTCACCCTGGCGAATCTGGCGTGCAGACCCTCAGGGTCTGAGGTGACCCCGAGCCTCTGTTGCTGTTGTGAGGGGTCTGAGGCCGGCTCCAGGGTTCTGAAGGTCTGAGACTCTCCTACGCTTCTGAAAGTGATTTCAAGGTTCTGAGTTAGAACCACAAGTTCTGAAACTGACTTCAGTTGTTCAAGATTGACTCTGAGATCCTGAGACTGACCTCAAGGTTCTTTGATGGCTTCTCATAGGATGGAGATTCTGAGGTTGATGGAATTTTAGATTCTCTCCATCAGAATATCAGAGTCAATGGGTGGAGCCTAGTGTGAGGTCTTCTGGGTAGGTGGGCTAGGAATGTAAGGTGCTGGGGGGTGTCTATCCTGGCATGCTTTCCCGGAAGTGTGTGTGGGTTCTGGTCTGGAGGGAAAGTGTCTTTTTGGAGCATGATGTGGTCCCATGGGTGTATGAAATAAATAGACCTCCTTATGGATGGTGGGCATGGGGTAGGGCTCAGGTTTTGGGAGGCTGGTTCTGCCCTCCTGGTGGGAACACCTGTACCCCTGACACACACAGCACACAGCACCCCTGAAAGCCAGGCAGAGGCAAAGCACAGAATGACCGTGCACAGACCTGGATGTGCCACCACCACCCCCTTCCCCATTCACACGGCCGCCCCTCTGTTCAGCTTTAATGGGCTACCCCCAGCCCAAACCCTGTCCCAGATGAAACCTACAAGTAAGGCCACTCTCTTCTCACTCTATACTTCCACCGCTAAGTGTGGGTTTTCTGGACACCAGTCAATTCTCCAACTCTGGCACCAGTGGGGTGTCCTGCAATTCAGCCCCACTTTTATGCTCCCTGCCTGGAGTCTGTGCAGACCCCATAGGTTTGGGGCTCAGCCCCACAGGGCCACCCCCTCTGCAAGTCTGGACCACTGGTACTTCTGACCAATTAGCTATAAATTGGGGGGTTTCCACCACTTCCTCCATGGGTCCAATAATTGGTAAAATTGCTCACAGAGCTCAGGAAATTTCTTACTATTACCTGTTTATTATAAAGGCTATAACTCAGGAAGAGCTACATGGAAAGGTGCACAGGGCGAGCTGTGGGGCAGGGCTCGGAGTTTCCATGGCCTCGCCATGGCACCACCCTCCCGGCACCTCTGCATGCTCACCACCCCCCCACTCCAGAAGCTCTCTGTACCCTATCTTTTAGAGTTTTTTTAAACCTCACAGTTATTTAATCTGCACATGTTACAGAGAACCCCCTCTACCCCTCCCAGCCCGCCCTTCCCCCACAGTTCTTCAGCCCCTAAATCAGCCCAACGAGCTATTAGGAACTAGAGGTGGCTGGGTCCTCAGGCACACTAAGCTGGTCCCAGGGGCGTGGCCTCGCTGTGCCCAGGGCCAAGAGTGCCAGCAGCTGCCTGACCTTCGAGGAGGAGCTGACTGTCAGTGGGGGCTGAGGGCCAGCCACCCTCAAAGGTGGCTCAGAGCCATGGAGGTCAGAGGGAGGGGCCCCCGCCTGGCCCTGGAGAGGCTGAATTTCAGCCTCTTCCGTGCAGGGTTGGCTCCAGGATAGTGAGAAGAGGCAGGCCAGGGAAGAGAGCCTGGACAGACAGCAGCTCCCACCGTGTCATGGGGAGTGAGGTCTGGAGCGGCTAGCCACACTGCCAAGAGCCTTCAGAAGCACTATGGGTGGCACGTGGCAGAGGCCAGGATACTGAGGAGCAGGGTGAGGCTGGCCAGACCTAGAGTGGCGGTCAGAGGGAAGGAGGACCAGTACTGGATCTGGTCGTGCCACAGAAGCAGGGGCAGCAGGAGGGGCTGCCTATGTCCAGCCCCAAGGGGCCTGGCTCTGACCCTGGTGGGCAGAGGGGGTTAGGGGGACCAGTCCTTGTGGACGTGTGGCAGTAGCAAACACAGTTGGGAGGGAGGTGAAGGCTGCTAGAGTCTGGGTGCCATCTTCCAGCAGCTGTCCTTGGTGAGTGAGTTGTGCCTATTGCTCCCAGCCAGCAAACTAGGTCATTTTCAGGGAACCAGTGGTGTCATGGCGCCAGGCCCTGGCCACCTGCATTAATTGCTGAAGAATTTCAGCCTCAGTCCTAGGGATTCCTGGGCTGGGGGAGTCCAGGGGTGGCAGCTTTGCTGTGAGCCCTGCACTAGGCTTTGGTTGTGCAGCCTGACCTGTGTGTCTTGGGGGCCTTGGCTCCTGGGGCCTCGGCTCCTGGGGCCTCCTCTATGATGCTGTTGGTGGCCACCATTGCTTCGCTGGGCTGTGCTGGCATTGGGGTCCCTGACGCTTGGGGCAGTGGAGCAGCACCCTCTGAGGTGTGTGTTCAGACCCAGGGGAGAGCCAGCATCAGAAGGCAAACGAGCACCTCGAAAAGGACTGTCATCTCATCACCCACCCCTTCAATCAGGGCCATGGCCCCTGCCTTTCCCCACCGTACTACCGAGTGTCCAGCTTGGCCACCTCCACAGCAGACCCTGGGGCACTTCTGGGCTGGAGGCATTGTGGTTGGAGGCGTGGTGGTCGTGGATACCTGGAAGCACCTACTCCGTCTCTGCCACCTAGAGGCTTCAGTACACAGACGTGATTGATCAGATCATTGGCCATCTGTGACTAACTCAGTCCTAGTCCCTCTCCCTCCTTGGAGGTCAGGGGATGGGGCTGAAAGCCGCAGTCCTTGAATAAACTCAAGTGTGGTTGAAAGGGCTTATTATAAGTAATCAAAGATACCCCCTTCACTCAGAAACCCAAGGGTTTCAGGAGTCTATGCCAGGAACTGGGCACAGAGACCAAGTGTGTATCTGTTGTATCACATCGCAACACCCTCCCACTGCGTGTGCTGCACCGGCTGCAGCCCCAGGTTGCAGACGAGACCCAGAGAGGCACACAGGTCCAGCCAGGGCTCCAACCTGGGACTCCCAGCGGACCTCCCCACCCAAGGTCCCTCCCACTTACTTCCTACCAGGCCGAGATTGTGAAGCGCCTCAGTGGCATCTGCGCTCAGATTATCCCGTTCCTCACCCAGGAGGTGAGTGGGCCTGGTGCGGGCGGGAGGGGAGCTGGAAGAAGGCTGAAGGATGTGGGAAGGGTTGTGTGCTTCAGGCACTGGTTCTGCTGAGTGGCTTAAGGGCTGGGGCACTGGCTGGGGCACGGGCTTCCAAGATGGGCGGTGGCTGAGGATGAGGAGTGGGGCTCAAGCCCAGAGCCAGGCTGCCTGGATCGGAATCTCGGCTGTGTGCCGTGGCCATGGGCAAGTTGCTTATCTTCTCTGTACCTCTGTTGTGAAGTGTAGAACAGCTGATACACAGAACGCGATGAGGACAATGCTGGTGCTTAGTAAGCACCTGAAATAAAAGTGAGCACTTACATGATGCTCCGTGAAATAAGGCAGACACTGAAGAACAAGCACTGTGTGGTTCTACTCACAGGAGGTCCCTAGGGGAGTCAGACATACAGAGACAGAGAGAAGGGTGTGGGAGTTGCACCGGCCACATTTCAAGTGCTCCGTAGCCACGTGTGGCCCGTAGCCTCTGTATCCAACAGCAGATAGAGGGATTTTAATCATCACATCACAGAAAGTTCTCCAGCGCCAAACGCTGAGCACAGCACAACCACATCGTGGATAAGGCTTACAACAGAACGTTGAGTGAAGGAAGCCAGACACAAAAGAGAACGTAGGATTGGGACAAAATAGTTCCACATGGACAAATTCAGGCAGGTTTGGGAAGGCGGCCGTAGGTGGGAACACCACACAGGAAAACAAGAGAGCCTTGTGCGGAAGGGAGGAGGGGAGGGCAGCAGGGCACTGCGGCAGGCGGGCGGGGACACGGGGCCTCCCAGGTTCTGCCCGTTCGTGTTTCCTGACCTGGGTGGTTGGTGTGTGTATGGGTCTAATTTATACAGCGGTTCTTTCCTGAGGGTGATCCTGCCCCCAGGGAGCACTGGGCAATGTCTGGGCAGACCTGTGGTTGTCGCACCAGAGGTGGCCCCTGCACGCAGTGGGTGTGGCCGGGATGCTGCTTAACACCCCACAGTGCCCAGGACGGACCCACGGAGAACGGTCCAGCCCCAGTGTCAGCAGTGCCGCGAGGAGATCCCAATTTATAAGCCCCAATTTATAATTATTAGTTTTAACTGCACTTATGTGTTTTGTTTCTTTTTCTTTTTCATAATATTTAAAGGAAAGGGAGAGATGGGTAGAAGTGAAGTACCGAGTACCGGAGCAAGGATGAGGGTGGGAGAGGAATGCAGGCCCCACAGGGCATTGCCCGGCCAGATGGGGGCTCCCAGCCCCCCCGAAGGGGTGAAGGGGTTCTTTTGAGCACCCCGTTTTCCATATCCCCCACCTCCCAGCATCAACAGCAGGTGCTACAGGCCATGGAGCGTGCCAAGCAGGTGACTGTGGGGGAGCTGAACAGCCTCATTGGGGTGAGTCTCTTGGCCCCTGCCCTGCCGGGGGGAGACCCCACTCCCAGATCCCCGTATCAGTAGGTGCCAAAGCTGGGGGTGCTGTGTGGGCAGCTGGCCTGGGTGGACCCTGTCCCCACTCTCAGCGGCCTCTTGGGCCAAGGGTACTACAGGGCACCCGACCCCCCCACCTGCCCCTGGCCCACCCCTGCTCCTCTCTAGCAGCAGCAGCTCCAGCCGCTGTCCCACCACGCCCCCCCTGTGCCCCTCACCCCTCGCCCATCTGGGCTGGTGGGTGGCAGTGCCACGGGGCTGCTGGCCCTGTCCGGAGCACTGGCCGCCCAGGCTCAGCTGGCCGCGGCTGCCAAGGAGGACCGGGCAGGTGTGGAGGCCGAGGGGTCCAGAGGTAAGTAGGCAGTGCAGGGTGGCATTGGCCCAGGGGTGTGGTGTGGTGGGGGAGGACTGGCAGGCCGCCCTGCTCAGAGCACCAAACTCACATAAGTGTGAGGGAGTGAAAAGGGGGCTGCAGGGCCCCTTGACTTCCAACTGGCTGTGCGTCCTTGGGCAAATTACTGACCGTCTCTGGGCATTTATCTGTTTGGTATGGGGAAGGGATAATCCACTCCTTGGAAGGGTATTGGAAGGAAAAGGGAGATTCTGAACTGGGAAGAGGGCTTTATAAACTGTAGAGGGATGTGCACCATGTCTGGCACCGTGGGCAGTGAAACCCTCATTCTTTTTCCTTCTCTCTCGCTCCTTCGCCCCCAACCCAGCAGTGGAGAGAGCCCCAAGCAGGGTAAGTTGAGGGACATCCAGGGACTTGCCCTCTTACATAACATTTGCTTTGTATTCATGTGTGGCTAAAGCTGTTCTGAGTTTGTTCTTATCCCCTGAGTAGGGGCCACATCCAACTTTCAAACTGTGTTGGCCAGGAGATGCCCATAGGCTAAGTTTTATTTATTTAAATTTTCCAACCTTGAGCTAATTTTGCAATTGAATAAATGAACACATGCCTCTAGTAGCATTCTTCCATACTTCTATTCATTAATTTATCCATTATCCAATTAATATTATTGTTTACAAGAGCACTACCCTACAGAAATACTATGTGAGCCCCATATGTAATTTCTTAAAAAGTAATTCTGAAATAATTGTAGATGTACAGGAGGTTGCAGAGAAATGTGCAGGAAGGTCCAGGGTACTCCTCACCCACCTTCCCCCAATGACAAATTCTTACAAAACAAAAACACAGTATCAAGTTTAGGAAATTTACATTCGTAGAACCCACTGTGCTTCTTCAGCTTTCACGGTTTTATGTGCGTTCACTGCGTATGTGTTTGTGTGTGGTTCTTTGCAACTTCATCATGTTTAGCCTTGTACCGATATCTCCACAATCTTCTATGCAATTGTAAATTTCCTAGTAGCTACATTAAAAAAGTTAAACAGGTGACATTAATTCCAATCATATATTTTATTTAATGTAATTTATCCAAAATGTTTCAGCTTGATATCAACATAAAAATTATGAATAAGATATTTCACATTATTTTTATTGAACTAGGACTCCAGATCCAAATGCATTTTGCACTTACAGCTCATGTCAACTTGCACTAGTGTCCCCCAAGGGACACTGGGCGATGTCTGGGGACATTCAGAAGGTCCCATTTTCCAGGCATGTTGCTTGATTCACAGATCCTAACGACAGCGGTAGGGATACTCAGGCTTGGCTGGGCCAGGATGCGGTCTGGGGCCCAGGTCCTGACCCTTCTTCCTGTCTGGCTCCTATCTCTCTGCAGAGTGCATCCCCCTCGCCCCCTGAAAGTGTGGTGGAAGAGGAGCAGCCAGGTGGCCCAGGTGGCAATGGGAAACAGCAAGCTGAGGAAAAAGATCTGTCAGGACCTTATGTGAGTAGGGGCAAGACAGGACTGGGGTGGGCACATGTAGCCTCAACCAGTCCCAAGCCCCACCCTTTGGAGCTAGCTGTGTCCATGACTCTCTCACTCCAGAGCCTTCCATAACTCCCCATTGCTCATGGAGCACTGGTCAATCAGAAGAGACCCTATGGAGCCAGGCTTAATTCTTTAGTCACTTAAGCCTGGACCACACACTGTTTTCCCACCTCCTGGCTTTTGCTCTAGCTGTTCCCTCACCCTAGAATCCCTTTCCCCTGCCTCTCAGAAACCCGTTTCTCCATCAAGGCACACACAAAAAATTGCTCTCTCCTGCAGGAAGCTGCCCCTGACCCCTCCCTGGAGGTCTGGGACCTCCTCTCCCATTGTCAGAGGGATTGCTGCTCCTGTACTTTCAAACTCTAGTGCCCCAGGGGTCGTGCTGAAAGTGAGGCTTGGGAGTGTGGCCAGCTGGAGGGCACTTTTCCCATCTAGAGGGGCAGCTGTGACCTGGTCCTACCTGTCTGGTGAGCCCAGTGTTGGCCAATGTTGCTGTTTCTCAGAGAAGCCTTTAATCTTTTTTTAAAAAATTATTAAATATAATAGCTTGTTTTATAAATATCAGCAACTAATGTTGTTTTAAAGAAGAAAACCGGGGATAAGGAAGTCAAAGGAAACCCACCCACTGGGTGGATGTGGCCTCCAGGCTGCAGCCTTTGGTCTTCCCTTGGTTCCCAGCCACACCAGAAGGCAGCCCAACACGTGTCTCTCCCCTGGGGCAATGGGGAGCCATAGAAGGATGTAGAGCAAATGTGGGGATAGGTCTTAGGAACATCTCTCTGGAGCTTGGAAGGCTACCTGGAAGGGGCAAGGCTGCAGGCCAGGAGACCAAGGAGGGGATAAGATCTGTGCTGGGGCCATGGGGATGGGAGTGGGTGGGCACATGGTTGGGTGAGAAGGAGGTTTGAATGACTCTCACCCCCTCCTCCACCACACAGAAGAGGAAACTGAGGTTCAGGGAGGGCTAGGAAGCGCTCAGGGCCACACAGCAACTCATGGGCACTCAGCACTATCTCCTTCATCCTTTTCCAGGAGTGACCCACCCTCTCCACCCGCCTGTCCCCCACCTCCCACCCCCAAGCCCTCCCTTGCACTGAGCAAATCCTTCTTCCCTTCCAAACTAAGCAAATGGGCTGCTGTAGCCCCGGAATTCCTGTCCAACTCAGGACCTGCTGGTGCATACTCCCCTTTCTGAGTAGATGTAAGGGAGTGCAGGGGTAGGGGCCCGGCCAGGGTGAGCTCTCTCCTCCATGTTCCCCCAGGAGAGCGACGAGGACAAGAGTGATTACAACCTGGTGGTGGATGAGGTGAGTTGAGGCCCAGCCTCCTCAACTTCTGACCTCCATGACTCAGAGGTGGCGAACTAGGTCTGGGCACAGAGCAAGTGGTGGCTTTTCTGGGGTGTGGCGGGCCCAGAGGGAGTGGGGTTACTGGACCCCTCTGTGGGATGTCTGGGGCCAGGGGAAGCAGGGGTCACCAGACACTTCAGGCCAACACCCCTCCATAGCATTGTGGTGAAACGGAGGGCCAGGACATACTGGAGATGAGTGGCAGCAATGGCATCAAGCCTTGGCTCACCACGTGGCTTTGGGGGAGTGGCCCCTCCTTCCCCTGCTGCTTCTTCCCCATCTTTCCAATGGGGAGAAACAAAACCAAACCTTTATAAGTCATTGCTGCTTATTCTTAGAGAGCAGGCCCCCTCATTAAACCCATTTCACAGATGAGTAAGCTGAGGCACAGGAGGTTTCATAATCCTCCCAAGGTGGGTTGCAGATGTCCTATCCAGAGGTTGGGGTGGGGTTCTGGAGGACTCCAGAGAGGGGCTGTCTTCTCTCACCCACTTTACCCCACTCAACATCACCTCCTCAAACCCAGGACCAGCCTTCAGAGCCCCCCAGCCCAACTTCCACCCCGTGTGGAAAGGCGCCCATCTGTGTCCCTGCCCGTCGGGACCTTGTGGAAAGTCCAGCCTCCTTGGCCTCCAGCCTCAGCTCACCGCTCCCCAGAGCCAAGGAGCTCGTCCTGGTAAGGAGTAAGGGAGGTCTTGAGACTCACTTTGTTCACCCTGGGGGCCTGGAAACAGATACAATCCCACTAGATATGCGATGACAAACTGGCCAGGCTGATGTGGCCCAACACCCCCTTCCAGATTATTTGGCCACCGTCTTAAAATCCTATTCAGGTAATCTTTCCTAAATAGACTCAATCTGTTGCATCTAAATAAACATTAAAAGAAAATTTCTTAAGTAAACTTTGTTAATGAATATTAAAAGGCAACTCACCATCTTGTGGGGAAGTCAAGTATCTCTTGCAATAAATAAGAAATCCCCTGAAAATAAGCATTGGAACTGCAGAATGGGCCATTCCCAAGGCAGACTTCAGCCCTGCCTTTGAGAAGCATTGAAGACACACCAGCCCCAACCTGAGATGCTGTCCCCACCAGGAACCAGGATTGATATTAGAACAGCTTCTTTTTTCTTCCCAGATTTAATGCCAGGTATAGAGACCACTTAAGAGTATTCCCCTAGGGGAAATCTTTTCTTTCTTTTTTCTTTTTTTCTTTTTTTTTTTTTGAGAGAGAGAGAAAAGCAAAGGGAGGGAGAAATAAGAGAACATCAGTGTGTGGTTGCCTCTCATGTGTTCCCCACTAGGGTCCTGGCCTGCAACCCAGGCATGTGCCCTGACTGGGAATCGAACCAGCGACTCTTTGGTTTGCAGCCCAGCACTCAATCCACTGAGCCACACCAGCCAGGGCCCCTGGGGGAGTTCTTAATTCAGCTCTATTTGTCCCTTCCTCCCCCAAGTCTCCCCCAGACCCTTGCCCTGAACCTACTTGGGAGATTGCTTCAATTTCTAGGCCTACTCTCCCAGTAGGTTGCCGTGGCAACCATCAAGGTTGGGGCTCACTTTGTTCCTCCCGTGCCCTCCTCCCACCCCAGATCAGAAGGGTGGGGCAGCTCTTTTCTAAGGGAGAAGCCCCTGTCCACACATTTTCCCCGCCCACTTCCTCTCGTGGGGGTGTGGGTCTGGTGGTCACAATGTGTGTCATTTAGTGATGGAAAGCTAAGATGCAACCGTCACAAGACAAAGATGCGAAGTCTCTTAAAAGGCAAAGTGTGCAATGGCAGAAAGCCAAGACAGTACAGCATGCTCCTGTGTGGGGGTCTGGCTCCCCCTTTTCTCCAGTGTCCCTACGGGGAGGAATGGCTGTGGGGGACATCCCCTTCCCTGTGTGGGGAAGGAAAGTACTGGGTTCTCTGTTCCTTCGTCTGGGAAAATGCTGCATGGCCTCCAGTGTCATGAGCTCATCCCAGAGTTTCCCATTCTTTGTCCCCAGGGGATCCGACAGCCTCTAACTTTGCCTGTCGCCTCCTTCTGGGGTCCCCCACTCGCTGCAGGGTATGCCCTTTCGTGGGCCCACTGTGCACCATTCTGTCTACACCTGCGTTCCTGACCATGTATCCACACCACACACCTTATATGCATGTACAGTCCTCACCATACATGTGCATGTTGGTTCCCTTTGCCATGCACGTGTGCCATGCATATGCCCACATGCCTGCCTGGCGTTCTGATGTGTGCAGATAGCCATGTGTCCCTGTGCCCAGGGGGTCAGCTATGGGTCCCATTCTCCTGGTGTGCGCACGTCTAAAGGTGTCTGAAAGCAGAGAGGTACACTGCCAGTGTAGCCACCTTCCATGAGCCCAGTCTACCAGGGCTACCACTCCCTTCTCCCATCCATTTCTGACCAGATCCTTGGCCCACAGGGCACCAGGTGCCTGGTGGTGTTCAGTACTGCCTTTTCCCCCCAGAATGATCTTCCGGCCAGCACCCCTGCCTCCAAGTCCTGCGACTCCTCCCCGCCCCAGGATGCATCCACCCCGGGGCCCAGCTCGGTCAGCCACCTCCGCCAGCTCACTGCCAAGCCAACGCCTTCCACAGACAGTATTGGTGAGCACCCACTGGTCCCTGCCAGAGCAGGTCTTCTCTCTGGAGGAGTTCTAGAAAGCGGCAGGGGGTGGGCGAGGCAGGAGGTTTGCATTCCAGCCCTAGCATTGCCTCTGCCCTTTTCATGACTGAGTTGGACGCCATCTCTGGGCCTTGGTTTTCTATGTCTTGGCTTGACAGGTGGGGAAATTGAGGCTCAGGGAGGGGAAGTGACTTACTCAGGGGCTTCAGCCTAGTGCACTGGAAAGACAAGATTTAGAGTCAGGCTTGGATTTGAGGCCAGCCTTGGACACTCATCAGCTGTGTGACCTTGGGCAAGGGACCCAACCTCTCTGAGCCTCAGGTTCCCCGTTAATAATATAGGGTTGGCAGTGCTCTTCTTTTATGTCTTCTGGCCAGTCCTGTGCTGGCTTTGGGGTTCCAGAAAGAAATCAGCTCTGGAGCTTGCCCTCAAGGAGCTCCCAGGTGGTGGGAAGAGTACCAGATCCCCAAACTCCCGGTCCTGTGTGCTCACAGCTGGGGTAGAAGGAGGGGCCCAAGATAGGAGAAGCTGGAGGCCAAGGGTGGACTGGAGAGGCTGAAGGTCATTCCTGAGACGTCGTTAGACATTGGGTCTAGATTTTGAGGGATGAGTAGGGGTTTGGAAACTGCAGAAGGAAAGGAGGAGGCATACCAGCCCGAGGAAACGGCATCCGTCACTGTCTGGAGATTTGACAGAGCATGCTGAGTGCTAGGTCGGAGCATGGGAGCCCCAGATGACAGGCCAAGGTGCTGGTACCCAAGGCCGTGGGGGGAGGGTCCGGGTCCAAGGTATCTGAAGACCTGCCTTTGTCTCTTCTCACGCAGCCCTGAGGAGCCCCCTGACCCTGTCCAGTCCCTTCACCGCGTCTTTCAGCCTGGGTTCCCACAGCGCACTTAATGGGGACCTCTCTGTGCCCAGCTCCTACGTCAGCCTCCACCTGTCCCCCCAGGTCAGCGGCTCTGTGGTATATGGACGCTCCCCCATGGTGAGTCCTCAGTGTAGATGCCAGGAGGTGTCAGCAGGGCCCGAGAACTGGAGGCTGGGAGGAAAAACCAGTTACACAAAGGAAAACAAGGGGTTGGGACAAGGGGGGAGTCCTGGCTTGGCGAGTGCATGTGGGAAGATAGTCTGAGGGTCTCAGTAGTTCCACAGTGTAATACCAATCAGCGCCTGTGCCTGTAGAAAGAGCAACTGATTATGCAGCATTAAGAGGAACAGACAGCCCCAGCCACGGGGCTCCCGTTCAGCCACCTGGCAGATGCTGTCTGTTGTTAGCCCTAATTTTTAAGGGACAGTGACAACCCTGGTAGATTGCAAAGGACTAGCCTGGGGAGAGAGATGGAGGTGGCGCTCCATGAGGAGGAGTCGAAGGAGTGAGGCACGAGACCCCACGCTAAGGTGGAGGGCCTGCACGGCCCAGAAGGCAGTGCGGGACAGACGGCTGACAGGAGGAGCCGTCCCCGCGTGGATCAAGGTGCCTTCAGAGGCAGGCTGGAGGCTGGGTGGGTACTTGCAAGAGATGTCATAGAAAAGGAGTCAGCAAATGTTTTCTGTAAGGGCCCAGAGAGTAAATATTTTGGTCTCTGTCACAACTACTCCAGTCTGCCTGTATATGGCTCAGAAGCCACCACAGACAACACATAAATGAACGAGTGTGGCTGCGTGCCCGCACGACTTCATTCACAAAAACAAGCAGGGGCTGTAGTTTCAGACTCCTACACCGAGCATTGGCTGGAAGATGCGTCAGGATCCTCCCAGCTCCAGGGCTCTGGGGTTCCCTGGACAGAGACCTTGGCCTTCCCTCCTGTGAAAGCCTCTCCCATCGGTGGCATGGGAGAGGGGAGGGCGTCTGTGTCTTCTTGGGAAGGGGCTAATAAACACATTGGGGGTCCTCTGGCAAACGGAGGGGGAGCTGGCGGGGGGAGCACAGGAGAGGGCACATGCAGGTTTGAGTCACCTGCCCCGTGACACCCCCTTTGGCATTTTGGCAGATGGCATTTGAGTCTCACCCACATCTCCGAGGGTCGTCCATCTCCTCCTCCCTGCCCACCATCCCTGGGGGAAAGCCGTGAGTACCAGGCTGGGCTCCCTGCTTCCTCTGAGGCACTTCCACGGTGGAGTGGGGCTGGGGGTCCCCTGCTGCCTTTCCAGAAAGTCTCTTCTGTAAGACCCCTGGAGCTCCCGCCTACCTCAGGCCTACTTGCTCCCTTCTTTCTTATTCCTTCTCTCTGGAGAGAAAGGTAGGCAACCAGCAAAGTTTAGACTAGTGGTTCTCAACAGGGGTATGTTTTGTCCCCCCGCTTCGGGACAGTTGATGACATCTGGTGATATATTTGGTTATCACAACCGAGGGCCTCCAGCCTCTAGCAGGTGGGGGCCAGGGATGCTGCTCAACACCCAGATGCCTGGATGGCCCCCCACAGGGAATGACCTGGCCCAAGGCATCCGTGATGGGGACATTCTACACCGGCTGCTCTGCGGTCTCATTGCCATCAGCTACCTGTGGCTTTTGAACATTTTAAATGTGGCCAGTGCATCCAAGGAACTAAAATGTTTAACTTGCCACACGTGGCTGGTAGCCACTACTGGACAGCGTTCTCTGGAACTCAAGGCATCTCTGTGGACAGACTTGTACTAAGTGCTTGTTCCATGCACTGGGCCACCTCATAGATTCCTTTTCCTCTTTTGTGCCACACTGACTGCCCCACACCCCCTTTAGTCATGTGGTTCCCTTCCCTAAATGGTGGCAAAGGGGGGGTGGCACCAGACAGGCAGAGGCACGTTGCTGCCTTCTGGGAAGAGGGTACAGAGCGCCCCCATGCCCTCTGGGGTGCCCCTCCCCCCACGTCTCATGCCCGCCTCTTGTCCAGGGCCTACTCCTTCCACGTGTCTGCGGACGGGCAGATGCAGCCTGTGCCCTTCCCATCGGATGCACTGGTGGGCGCCGGCATCCCACGGCATGCGCGGCAGCTGCACACGCTGGCTCACGGCGAGGTGGTCTGCGCAGTCACCATCAGTGGCTCCACGCAGCACGTGTACACGGGAGGCAAGGGCTGCGTGAAGGTGTGGGATGTCGGCCAGCCTGGCGCCAAGACACCAGTGGCCCAGCTGGACTGCCTGGTGAGGTGGGGCAGGGCAGGCAGACTCACAGGGGCGGGGCTTGCAAGCCAAAGACCAACATTTGGCGCTTACAGGTCAAGCAGGGGCAGGGATTATCAGTCAATGGGATGGAGCTTATAGGCAAACCAGGGTGTAGGTCAGTGGGGTTTGTAGGTCAGTGGGGTGAGGCTTGTAGGTCAGCCAGGTGGGGCTTATTAGTCAATGCAGAGAACTTACAGACCAGCCAGGGGCAGAGGTTGAAGTCTGTGAGAAGGAGCTTAGAGGCCAGTGGGTTGGAGCTTATAGCCCCATGGCTGGGGTTTACAGCCTAATAGGTGGGGCTTATAAGCCAACCTGGAGGACTTACATGCTAACCAGGGGTGGGGTGCAGCTTCTTCAGGTGGGCTCCTAGAGGGAAGGTTGGGGGTTTAACCACACGCCCTTCTCTCTGCTCCCAGAATCGGGACAATTATATTCGTTCTTGCAAGCTACTGCCAGATGGCCGGAGCCTTATTGTGGGCGGTGAGGCCAGCACCTTGTCCATTTGGGACCTGGCAGCGCCGACCCCCCGCATCAAGGCCGAGCTGACCTCTTCAGCCCCCGCCTGCTACGCCCTGGCTGTCAGCCCCGACGCCAAGGTCTGCTTCTCCTGCTGCAGTGACGGCAACATCGTGGTCTGGGACCTGCAGAACCAGACCATGGTTAGGTGGGTGGCATGCGCCCTGGGACCTTGGGCAAGCCCCTGCCTCCTTCTCTTTTGTGCTGTGGGGGCAGAGTGGCCTTGGAGGATGCTGGAGCAGCACAGACTCCAGGATGGATGCTTGGGCCCTTCTCCCTCCAGGCAGTTCCAGGGCCACACGGATGGTGCCAGCTGTATTGACATTTCTGACTATGGCACTCGGCTCTGGACAGGGGGCCTGGACAACACCGTGCGCTGCTGGGACCTGCGGGAGGGCCGCCAGCTGCAGCAGCATGACTTCAGCTCCCAGGTGCCTGCTGGTGTCCGGTGGGAGGGGGGTAGAAGCTCAGGATCGTGGCCTCCCTTCTCCCCCTAAGGCACCCACTTCCAGATGCTGGGCAGGACCAGATACCTGTTATCTGTGTTCATCTTTCTTGTCCTTCAGACACAGGCCTTCCCCTCTATTCTCCAGAGACACAGGGAACCACAAAGGAGCTGATTCATATCATGCTGTGGGGCTGCTAAGACCCTCAGGTCACCTTCTCAGATGCTCTCGCCAAGCCCGCTCCCCCATTCCTTTGTTTCTTCTTGTGTAGCTGGTTTCTCCACCCAGCCTTCTTTTGATCCTGCTGAGAGCTTCTGACTGCCCCCACCCCAGGACTCACCATGGGGCAGGGCAGCTGCTGATCTGTGGGGGAAGGTGGAGGCTGACAGAGGAGCTGGGCACACAGGGGTTTCTGATGAGGGGATGTTGTGAGGGAGGGAGCTGGACAGCAACAGGGGGCTTCTCAGGGCCGAGCGAAGTCAGGGACAGGGCTTGAGGTTCCCTGCACCCAGACTCAGCGTACCACTGTCTGGGGGCGGGGCGGAAGCCCCCTGGACTGTCGTGTAAGGTCTCCATTCTCACGTCTCAAACCCCCCATGCCTGTGACACCTCTGGTTCTCTCTGCTGATTGTTTCCTCTGGCTGACAGGACTCTCCTTTCCTTCCACAAATTGGTAAACTCCTACTCATCCTTCAAAACCCATCCAATTTGCCCCCTCCTTGAAGCCCCCAACACTTCTGTTCCCCAACTCTTTCTGTTCTGCCTTCTTTTTTGCTTGAGTGTTTTCTTGGCAGTGAAGTCAGGGGTGCAAGTGGACATAGTTGTCCATCCTCTATCTCTGAAACTCAGATGGGTTGTGTACCTATCAGGGGATCCCGTGGTGAGTTTCTCCCCTCCTACCTGGGCACCTGTCTCTACACAGGAACACTTCTGCATGGCCAGGAGGGGACCTGTGAAACCTCGCAGTCTTCTCTCTGCTATATACGTATAGTTCTTTCCATACATGTGTCACCTGTCAGTAAGACTTCGCGGGGTTTAGGATGGAACAGGGCCTTACTCCTCTCTGTGCCTCCTGTGGGGTGAGGCACAGAATGAGGAGGCTACCAGGTCATTTCCAATCAAAGCGAGAGGAGGTGTTGGCACGTAGGGAGAGTTCCCAGCTGGGAGTCAGAAGGGCTGGTCCTTCACGGACTTGCTGGACTTGCTGCCTGACTTTGAGCCAGACTTGGCCTCGGTTTGCTTTCCACCATCTGCTCAAGGGCAGCCACTGTCCTCGCCCGGCTTCACCCACCCACCCCTCCCCTCCCTCCCAGAGCTGTTGTGCGTTCAGAGCAGATAATGGATGTGAGGCCCCGGGGTTCCGTGTAATGCTGATTAATATTAATGATTTGACATGCAGTTGCCTGCTGCTTCCGGGCCCTGGGCCAGCTGCCTCTCTGTGCAGGGGCCACGGAGGGAGAGAGTTGGACCCCTCCCCTCCCCCAGCCCCTGTCTTCCGGGCATCTCCCACCATCCCAAAGGGTTTTTGACCCTACCTCTTCCCTCTTCACCCCCAGATTTTTTCCCTGGGCCACTGCCCCAACCAGGACTGGCTGGCCGTCGGCATGGAGAGCAGTAATGTTGAGATCTTGCACGTCCGCAAGCCGGAGAAGTACCAGCTGCACCTCCATGAGAGCTGTGTGCTGTCCCTGAAATTCGCCTCCTGCGGTGTGTCTGTCTGGGACTGGGGTGGGGCTGCAGCTCTCGGAGAGAGGGCTGCCAAAACAAGACAGTGCTACACAGCAACGACAAAAACAGTTAAATCAGAATCTTAGATAAACAACAAATAATTTGTTAGCATAAGCATGTCCCAAATGCACAGGGCATCCTTACAATAAAAAGCCCCCAATTTGTTAGTACAGATACATCCCAAATATTGCATGGGATATATTTACACTAAAAAAAAAGGTAATTTTTAGCATAAGTATGTCTCAAATATTGCATGGGACACATGTTACTGAGAAAGTAACAATCATGAAATACTTGGGACACATGGCACTAGAGACAATTTGTGGTTCACTGAGATTCAGATGGGACTGGGCCTGGTGTATTCTACCTGGCCAGCCCCCTCCTTGGGGCAGCCCGTTCTTGAAGACCAGATGGAGCCGTGGGGCCTTGACTTTACCACCTGGAAACACAGAAGGACCGAGCCTCAGTTCCCTAAGGGACCTTGTCCGAAGGAGGGCAGCGGTGCCCTGAAGGGAGAGGCCAGGCCACAGCCCACGGCCCCAGGCTCTCTCCAACCCTCCCTCCTCTGACCTGCTCTCCTTCCCCCAGGGCGGTGGTTCGTGAGCACCGGGAAGGACAACCTGCTCAATGCCTGGAGGACGCCCTATGGAGCCAGCATTTTCCAGGTATGTGGCCGGCTGGAGCCCGCCCCTGGCAGGGAGCTGTGTGCGGGGGCCCCAAGGTGGCTGCACTGGTGGTGAAGCCTGGGGTGGGGTCCTCCAAGCCTCTCGCCTGCCGGCGGCTGCTGAAGCCCCATCTTGAACTTCAGCCAACAGGCCACGCTGGCTCACAGCCTGTGTCCCTTCTCATTGTGGTGAACGATGACAAAGTCTGGGAGCGTCACCGTCTCTAACTGCACAGTTTGGTGGTATTAAATATTCACGCTGTCGTGCCACACCCTGTCAGCACCTACCCTCCTCCTTCCATCTCCGTGGCTCTGACTCCTCCGGGGCCTCCTAGGACTGGGACCCCACGGTGTTTGCCCTTTTGTGTCTGGGCTCTCACCGAGTGGAATGTCCTCAAGGTTCATCTGTTTCGTAGTAGGTGTCAAAACTTCCTTCCTTTTTAAAGCTGAAAAGCCCCGGCTGGGCAGCGTAATTGGTTAGAGCATTGTCCCGGTACACCAAGGTTGTGTGTTCAGTCCCCGGCAGGGCACACATGAGTCAACCAATGAATGCATAAGTAAGTGGAACAGCAAATCGATGTTTCTCTCTCCCTTCCTCCCTCCCTCCCTCTCTCTCAAATCAGTAAATTTTAAAAAGTTATTAAGGCCGAATAACACTCCATTGTATGAACAGACCACACATGACCCATTCATCTGTGGACGGTCACTCAGTGGTTCCCACCTTTTGGCCGCTGCGAGTCACGCTGCTGCGCACCTCCACACACGTGTTTCCGCGTGGGCGCGTTTTCACTTCTCCCGGGCGTCTGTCTGGGAGTGGAGCCGCCGATAACAATTCAGTCTTCGTGGGAACTGCCAGGCCATTCTCCAAATTTTCCATTCCCATCAGCAGCACAGGAGGGTTCAAAATTCTCCTCATCCTCAGCAACACTTACTATTGTGTTGTGTTTATTGTAGTCATCCCAGTGGGCGCGGAGTGGTTTTCACATTTTAAAGGATTGTTGAAATAAGAATGTGAGGCTGATTTATTTGCCCTCTGGACTTGTTTTCTGTCCTCATCATGGACATGCCCACTGAGTTTAGAGAGGGGGAAGGGGCGAAAGGGAGAGGGGGAGAGACACTGATCGGCTGCTTCCCGCACACACCTCGGCTGTGGACCAAACCCGCAACCGAGGTGTGTGCCGGGAATCACACCTGCGACCCCTCCACCCACGGGATGGCACTCCAGCCGACGGAGCCACACCGGCCAGGGCTGGCCTCTGGGCGTACTGGCTGATGACTGACTGACCTGTTTTGCCATGTATAATGTAGTCCCGTGCATAAGGCACACCCACGTTTTTGGCCCAAACTTGCAGGAAAAAAGTCTTTTGTTTTAATTTTGTAATTCAGTTACTTATTATATTTAGAAACAAAACTGATTGTTGTATTCCAGGGTATTATTTTGCATGTGGATATCCTTATTGCTTTCTAGAGTTACACTTTTAATACATAAGCATAAATAAAAGTTAAAAACATTGATATAGATATGGAATTAAGTACTACCCACATATAATACACATTGCTATTTTTCCCAAAAAAATGTGGGCAAAAAAGTATGTGCCATACACAGCAAAATAGGCTACTTGGCCGTCAGGCGAAGCCGGAACACCTCCGGGTGTGCCCCTGACAGGAAGAGTCTGCGGAGCGAGCGCTGCCGCGGGCCACGCTCTGAGCTCAGCCCCCTGCGGTGCCCGTGTGGTCTGCCAGGTGCCACCCTCTCGGTGTCCCGGGGAGGGGCAGTGCGCCCATGGCCTCTCTCTCGAGGTCCAGATAACAGAGGTCCTGCCCTTTCCAGGGGCAGAAAGGACCCTCTGTGGAACTCGTGCTGCCCATTTGCTCCTGGCTCCCCCTCTGGGCTCTTCTGTCCCAAGTCCTGTCCTGGCCCCACCTTGACCCTAGGCTCGTCCTCGGAGGCTGGCAGTGGCCCCAGAGGCCTTGCCTTTCCCTCTGGACGTCGTGCAGGTGGTCGGGAGCCGCACCAGCCTGTGCAGCGTCAGCCACGCCTCACCTCCGCCTTGTCTCCCACTCCCCCCCCCCCGCCCCCCGCCCGCTGCAGTCCAAGGAGTCGTCCTCCGTGCTGAGCTGCGATATCTCCGGGAACAACAAGTACATCGTGACGGGCTCAGGGGACAAGAAGGCCACTGTGTACGAGGTGGTCTATTGAGAATCCCTTCCTGCACCCCTGGCCCGACTCCTGGGGGAAGGGTGTGCAAACCAGAGAGCCCAGTACCCCTGAATCTCATGTCCTCCCCTGCTGGATGTGGGGCTGGGTGGGCAGAGGGACTTTGGGAAATAAATGTATTTATCACAGTCGCCTCCTGTCATGGGCTGGGGACTGGGCACTGCTGCTGCTCTTGGGCAACTGTCATTGCAGGTCACTTTCTAGCTGTGTGACCATGGGTCAGTCTTTGCTTTTTCCTGATCTGGACAAGATCACTCATGCATGAAATACTATGGGGATCTACTGTGAGAAATGGGTGTTGTATCGGGCAGTGTGGCTTAAGTCTTGCCGTGTAACAAACAGCCCCCAGTCTTAGTGGCTGAACACCGTACACATTTCTCAGGCAAGCCCAGGTAGCATGTGGGGCTCAACTCCATGTAGATACTCAGGGCTCCAGGCTGGTGGGGGTCTCACCACCTTGATACACAACTTCAGGGTCCAACAGAGCAAGGAGACAGAAAGTACGTGGCTTTAAATCCCTAGCCCAAAAGTTTCAGGTATCACTTTAAGTGCCAGCACTTGGGACATTCACCCCAAGACACTTTCCACGCACAAAGGGTTGGGGGTTACAGTGGAACGTGTGGCCGTCGGGCTTGTAGTCATGTTTCCTTTGAGACCCAGAGAGAACTCCAACGGGCCTGGCAGACAGTGCCTGGCCCACTGTCGTCATCACGGCAAAAGTCCCAGTCCCAGAGGAGGTGGCAGCTAAGCCGAGAGCTAAAGGAGGACAAACAGCCACTTGGAAGGGTCACAAAGACAGAGGAAATAGAATGTGCAGCCCTGTCTGGTGCAGCTCAGTGGATTGAGCACCAGATGTGAACCAAAGTGTCGCTGGTTTGATTCCCAGTCAGGACACATGCCTGGGTTGCGGGCCAGGTCCCCAGTGGGGAGTGTGTGAAAGGCAAACACACATTGATGTTTCTCCCTCTCTTCCCATCTCTCTAAAAATAAAATCTTAAAAAAAAGAGAATGTGCAGAGACTTAAGAGGTAAGGAGCTTGGCCTAGCAAAAACCAGGAAGGCAAGGGTCAGGTGGGGTCCTCCTAGGCTACAAGGGGGGACGGCTCCAGATCAGGCTCCGGCAGAGGCAGCCGTGGCAGTGGGAGCCGGAGGTGCAGGGCTGGTAGGGGTGGTGACACAGATCTGGGCTCTGGGAGCCCTGTGGGCAGCCATAAGGACCGTGGGTTAGAAGGGGCAGGAGGTCCAAGCAGGGAACTGCTGGGACCTTCTGGAGGGAGATGGCAGGGTCCCCACTTGAAACAAAAGCCACACTCAGAGAACTTCTGAAGGTCCTTGATGGAGGAAAAGAATTCTGTGGCTAAGGAAGGTAGGCCTGTGTGACACCGTTTGGGACGGTTTAGTCTGGGACAGGGGAACAGATGCGGATCTCGGGGCCCTACCGAGAGGGTGAAGAGCTCTGGTCTAGCCAGACAGGGTGTGTTGGGAAGGACAGAACCCCATCTCTGGGACGGTTAAGGAAGCGGCAGAAAAACAGCTTTCCGTGAGACGAGAGGTCAGCGCAGGGGAGCGGGGGAAGTGCTCTGTGCTCATTCCCCGCAGAGGGGGTTCGGGCTTTGATGGCTGAGAGACCCAGGCTGCACAGGGTCCTTCCAGATCTCCGCAAGATGGCCAGGGTGCAGGACACAGAACCAGACCAGCTCTGCTTTTTCCATTGCTTTATTACACGTGACAGAGACCACCAGCCGCCCATCATGCCCCTGCACCACGACCCCTCACGGGAGGAAAAGGACCCTGAGTTGAGATGACAGTAGTGAGCCCCTTAGTACGTGATCTGGTACACGGAAGCGTGGTCCCTGGACCCTGTGACAATCAGACGGTTGTTAAGGGACACATCACAGCACATGACAGAGGTGGTCTCAGGTACCTGGGAGGGTCAGGGAGCAAAACAAGGAGAGCTCACTCATCCTTGCCCCTAACTGTGCCTGTCAGTTCAAATGTGGTCCCTACGGGGCCTCCTGGGCTCAGCCGGAGCGCCCAGGATCCCTAAGCCCCGCCTGCCCCACGCCCAGCCCACCCCGGTACCTGGAACACCATGGCTCCTGTGGGCATGCTGTAAATGCTAACCAGGTTGTCCATCCCGACGCTCACCCACCACTGGCCTGGAAGGAGGCAGAGGGCACCAGATCAGAGCTGGCAGCCGAAGGCCAAAGTCGACACCTGAGAAATGGAGGGGGCCCCCACCTCCCGCATGTCCCTAAGGAGAGCATCACTGAGAGATTCCTGCCGATGAAGGGTAGAGGGGGAAGGTGCTCGGGAAGGGTCAGAAAGAGGGGGAGTCCTATGGGAGGTTGGGGGCCCCAGGGTACTCCCCTACTCCTGGCCACTCACCGAGAGGGGAGAACTTGAGACCGAGGATAGTGTTGTTCTTACAGCCCACCATGTGTTTCTGGCCCCCGAGGGTGGGCTGTAGCCACTGCTGGCCATTACCTGTGCCCACCAGAACCCAGTCCTCCTGGGGGCTGGGGGACAGGCTTATTATCTGGGGGTAGGTGGCAGGAAGGAACCTGGTCAGGGACCTGCCTGGCCCAGGAGATGGACAGGGGCACAGAGACCCATCCCACGTGCTGACCACCTGCCCATTTCCTGGCTGCAAGGCCCCAACAATCAATTTCACATCTCTAGGCCTCGATTTGCTCATCTGTAGAATGGGTTGGTCCTCTCTACTTTATGGGAGTATCACAAAGACTATGAAAGCATCCAATGTTATTTGAGCAACAGGAAAGAATATTTCTAATGATCCCTATTCCCCCCAGCATCACCAAGACTTGGGGTACCACTACCCCCCCAGCATCTATCTATCTCCTCTAGCCTGAGGCCCAGCTGCTACCTGACTACGAAGGCTACATCCCAGCTGCACACCTGAGACTCAAATTGGTATTCCAGGGGCTCCTTGGTGGTCCTCAGGTCCCAGCACCGCAGACAGGCATCCATCCCCCCAACCCAGACCTTCCGGTTTTTGACAGCGATGCTCCTTGCTCCATTTGGGGGGACTAGCAGGTCCCTGGTCCGGAGAGGCATCAGGAGGAGATTGGAAATGAGATTCTAAGCTTTGGACCCAAGGAACACCACCTGCCCAACCACCTTCAGTTGATAGTTGGGGAAACTGAGGTAGAGAGAAAGTACCAGGACTGAACTTTGAAAAAACAGCCCAGCCAAAATTTGAACCTGGGTCTTCATCTCAAATCTGAGTTCAAGCACACAAGGGGCTTTAACCTTGGAACTGCTGAATCCTTGCTCAGCAAACAAGGTTGGAAGGAGTTCTCAGGGCAATCCCACCCACCCTGGGGCCACACCTAACCACGCTCTGATCCCGCAGGTCCCAGATCCTGACGATGCCATCAGTGAAACTGGCAAAGGCTAGGCTGTCCTCCAGGGTGGCAGCCAAGGACTGACAGGTGAGACTTGCAGAGGGCAGCTCATCTCTTACGTGCAGGGAGGGTGCCATCAGGTCCCACACGCTCACACCGGGTAAGTTGTGGCCACCCGTCAACAGGGCGGTGCTGTTGGGGAACAGCAGGCAGGTGCGCAGGTAGGCCCTGCGGGCCTGGGATGGACAGAGGCACTAGTGAGCTACCTCCGCTGTAGGCAGCTCTTCCTGCTCCCCCAAGCCCCACCCTCTGCAGCTAGCCCCACTCTCACCTGCACGCGCAGGTGGCTGTCAGGAAGCCTGTCCTCCACCACCTGGCGGACCAGGCTCCACACCTTGATGCCACCCCTGCTGCAGGTGAACACGTGCCGCGTGAAGCTGCTGACTGCCGTGGCCAGCACGAGCTCCCCGTGGTTTAGCGTCCGCCTCTTCTCCATTCGGTGTGGGACGGCCACCTTCTTGGACCGCCAGGGCAAGGCGTCTGGCCCCTTCCATGTGTCTTCGAAGTCCTCAGGGTCCCAGCATCTTAGGAGGGGAGACCTCGGGTTACTGGCCTGCCTAGAGGGAGGTGCCCAGCAAGCCCTGGAGGGGCTTCATTCTTTTTCAGATGTGGGGGTTTCTCTCCGGCCTTCTTCCCTGACTCCACACCACTTCCCCAGTCTCCTACCCACGCCCCTCCAGGTCTTCTCCCTCTCAACTAAACACCACTCCCTTCTGCCTGGAATGCTTTGCCCCACCCTGGATGACAACGGCTCATCCTTCAAGGTCCTAGCCACTATGCCCCTTCCTCTAAGAAAGCTCTCTCCCCCACATCTGGGCTCCCCCAGCTTCAGACCACAAGGTTGGGACTGTCTGCAATGAGCTCCGACACAGGCCCCCCCACCCCCCGCCGCCATTCCGTGGGAGTTCCTTCCCCAAATCCCCTGAACACAGGCTGGTTATGGGGGGAGGGGCAGTGATGCTGGCATGAAGTCACACATCCCTACCCAGACCCCTCATCTCTAGTTTCGGAGGACAGCACTGTGGGAGGGGTGAGGACATGCCTGTACCTCTGGTCCCCTCCACCTCCTGGGGACAGAGACACAGATAGGAGGGGCGGTTCCAACACTTACATGGGCTTCAGAAAGGAACAGTCTCTCCCAGAAGGCTCCTGCAGGTGGGTCAAGATCACAGCTAAGCCAAGCTGGCTTTCTCTGCCCAGACCCCCAGACTCTGAGTAGCGGGGGAGGGTACCAACTGAGACCTGGTCTCACCTGGGCCATGCAGGAGAGCATCATCCCTGGTGCCATGTCTGGTTCTGTGCTCCCTTCTTGGGAACCTGCAGGGGGTGTTGGAAGGGCACAGGTGGGCTGAGAACTGGGCAGAGACAAGAGCGGCTCAGCAGCAGGCATAGCCCCCTGGAGCAGGCTGCCTGCCCCCTCCCACTGGGATTACCCAAAGTATCTTCGGTATAGGGTTCTGCTCCAAAGTAGCCTGGTTCTGGGTCCTGGCTTTCCTGCACGTAAGAAACATGGAGATCTGGTCAGACCGGAGGATCTGTACAGGGTCAGTCTTAGAACCAGAAAACTTAAGGAGGAGGCCCAGGCAGTGAGGACGGGACTAAGCAAGTGCCCGAGTCCTCCCACCCAGGAAGAGTTGGAGACAGTCTCAGGCACAGTCCTGGCTCCGTGGAGGGCACGAAAGGGCTCAGGTGGAGGACGTGGACTGATCCCACCGAGACTTGAACGTCCCCACCTGGGAGCCCAGCCAGGATACCCACGCAGCCCGGTTACTTACCAGGTCTGGCACCTGTTCTGGCACTATGACGATGGGAGGGAGGAAGACGATGGAGAGAGACAGTAGGAGAACAAGGTTCAATCCATGCTGCCCTCCACACAGTTTGAGGCCACCCCCTTCCCACCCTCAGGAAGACTCACATCTGCGTCTCAGTTGGTCCGCCTTATCGTGGGTCCCAGCAAAAATCTGCCAAAGTTGCTGGGTCAGAACATCCTGCCAAAGCTGGGGCTCAGAGTCCCAGGGCAGCCACACGTCTGCCTGCTGGGCTGGGGGCCTGTCCACTCCAGAGGGCCGCTGGAGCCAATCAGATGACCTTGTGGCCATGACGTCTTTGAAGTTCTGCCCCTGAAGACTGGAGGGCCGTGGGGGCTTGACCTCTGGGTGCTGGGAAGCCACGGGGCTGGCGGGTCTCTGGGAGTCCTGCTCAGCCTGCTAATCAAAGGAGGCCCGGCTTACCTGGTGCTGCAGGTACCGTGTTGTGAGGGATGAGAGGATGTGCCCCATGCCCCGAGCATGCCCCTCCCTCCTGGAGGATCCAGAAACCTACCTCCCCAGCCTGGAAGCCCAGGGGTTGGCTGCAGGTCTCCAGGATCTGTAGGAAATTTTCTACCTGGGTGGGGGTGCGGGTGGGGGACATCATTCTAGTTAAAGCTTTGTAACCGACAGCCCTGAGCTTGAACCCCGTCCTGTAAGCCAGGTTTCTGTGTGTGACACGGGGTTGCACGACCTATATTGAACATTTGGGAGTGATTCCCGGTAACGACAGAGCCCTTGGCACTGTACCTTGTGTAAAGCGAGGCTTCGGCGCCCAGAGGGCAGCCTCAACCGTGGGTGATAAAATCTAACCTTATAGGACAGTCGCTGTGATAGCATGGCAGAAAGCGGAGTCAGATCCTGGTTCATGTCCAGTTGTTTTCTGGGGATGTCTGAAAACTAAACCCTGAATACTGTGGCTTTAAAATGGCTCCAGGAAGCAAAAACTGTGTACGTGTCCCCGCATAGGCGTGACAGTGGAAATTGCTTAAATGTTGGAAAGACACTAAGAAACTGATTGTTGCCTCTTGGGGAGAGGGGCTGGCAGGCAGTAGGACAACTGGGAGACCCGGTGGGAGGGTCGCTTACGTTATTTTATATTTCAAGTCCAGCCACAGGACTGCACCGATTCCAACTTCAGTTAAAAACTTCTAGGGTCATGGAGGGGACTAAGCGATCTGTTTCCTTTTCTACCTCTGCACCGCCCACCTTTCTGCTCTGAGGACGTGCTCCCTCCTACCTAATATCCTGCGGTTTTCTCCGTGCCCTGAAGCAGACGCTGTGTCTGTTTCTAACCTCTCCTTCCACGGGGCTGTGCGGCCCTGCACGGAAGCTACCAGCCATGGTGGCTATTTAAACAAAGTTAAGTACAATTAAAAATGACATTTCTGCAGTTCCAGTGGCCACATTTCAAGTGTTGAACAGCCACATGGGGCCAGCGACTACTCAGCCTGGCGGCACAGGCACCTAGAACCGAGGGCAGCGATTCCTAGAGTGTGCCCGACACACAGCTGAGAACAGAGCAAACACAGCTGGAACCTCCCAGCTGATATTGCCAGGAATTCGAAGTGTGGAAATGTGTGCGCGTGCAGCTATATTTAATCCGGTACCAGACCGAACATAGCGACAGACAATTGTTCTAGAGCTGTTTGTCTAGTGGGGTGGCTGCTAGCTTTATGTGGCTATTGAGCATTTGACATGTAACTGGTGCCACTTGTTTAAGTCAACTTAAACAGCCACATGTGTCCCATGGCTACCGTGTAGGATAGCAGGGACTCTTGTCTTGGCTGGCCTGTGGCTCTGGAGGCAGATACCCACTCCCCTCCTGGTAGATGCTGAGAAGCTCCCCAGAACTGTCTGGCCCAGAGAAACCTCCAAAATATTGGGAAAACATCTTTCTTTCACAAAGAAAGATAGTTAATAAACATATGCAGCAGCCCTGGCTGGTATGGCTCAGTGGATTGAGCTTGGGCTGTGAACCAAAGGGTTGCCGGTTCAATTCCCAGTGAGGGCACATGCCTGGGTTGCGGGCCACGTCCCCTGTGAGGACCACATGAGAGGCACACATTGATGTTTCTCTTCCTCCCTTCCCCTCTCTCTAAAAAATAAAATTAAAAAAAGAAACAAGAAATGCAGCGTAAGCACCAACGGCAGGCAGTACTGTTTAACAGGCACTGCTGGCATTCCCATTTTGCGGATGAGAAAACTAAGCCCCAGAAAAGCAAAGCCAATTCCCCAGTCAGAGAAAACAGGGGGGCCAGGCAGTGTTTACCTGCCTCCTCAAACAGCTGGCCCCCTGCCCCTGCCTGTTGGGCAAACCGCAAGGTGGTGGGAGGGGCTGGGGCGTAGCAGCCCTGCTCTGGGCCCTCAGGGCTGCTGCCTCCTGGGGCCATCAGTGATGGATTCCCCAGCTGGGCCTCCCAGCGGCAGGAGGCCCAGGGGAGCCTTCCCCAATTCGCCCTGGCTCGTTAATGTGCAATTTACTGGCACTTTAATGCACTCAGCATGAAAAGTGCTGCTCCCTCCTGCCTGCTGGCTGGCCTTCCCTGGGGAGAGCTGCGTGCAGGCAGAAGGTGGGGAGCAGGGGGGCAGCTGCTGCTGCTGCTTGGGATTTTAAATGCACAGCAAGGAAGCTGGGAAATCAAGAGGGAGTAGGAGGAGGTGGTCTGTTCCCGGACCACAAGGCTGTCAAGGCTGCTAGGGATCATCGCCTGGGGGTGGGGAGCCTTTCGGGGTTGGGCAGCAACAGAAGTAGCCTGTCTTGGGGCCTTGTCCCGCCCCCCTCCCCCGCCTTGATCCTCAACAAGTTCTGTCTGGTTCCTCCCCTAGACACAGTCCACAGTCTGATTACTTCTCACCACCTAACTGCTGTAAGTGCCAAGCCTCCCACACCTGGATGGTCCTCCCGGGTCCCCCAGCTCCTGCCCCAGCCCCTACAGCCTGTCTTCCTGTGGTGGCCAGAGGACGCCCATAAGCACTTGAGTCAGGTCCTGTCCCTCTGCTCACAGCCCTCCAGGGCTCCCACCTCCCTGGGGTAAAAACCCAAGTCCTCACCATGGCCCTGGCAGCCCCTGCACAGCCTGCCCTCACCCCTTCCCTCTCTCACTCTGTTCCAGCCACAGGAGCCTCCGCTGCTGCTTCTCCAACACCTCAGGTGTGGTCCCACCCCAGGTCCTTTGCATGTGTTGTTTTTCAGATACCCTCATGGCTCCCTCCAGTTCTCTGGTCAAATGTCACCTCAGCAAGCCCTTCCTGACCACCCTGAAGGGCAACCCTCTCCCATCCTGGTGCCCCACATCCCCTCGGGGCTGCTCCATTCAGCGCCTACCTTGCCCCGCCCTCACCATCTGACACTTCTGTTTACCAAGCTCCTCTCACCCCAAGGGCAGGGGTTTGTCTGCCTTCATCTTTGCTATTTCCCTGGCGCCTACAACAGCACTTGGCAAGGTGATGGATAAGTATCTGTTGAATGAATAACTGTTCTGGTTGCTTCCTGCCCTGCCCCCACCCCAATCTGTCTCTCCCCTGTTCCTTAAGCTTCCCACCCCAGCCCCTGCTAAATTGCAGACACGGCCCTGGCCCTCTGCCAGTCACATCTGGCACGGGCAGGAAGTCCTGCCAGAACCCAAGAGAAAGGGGCCAGGTGGCAGGAGGACAGGCAGGGGTGGAAGTCATGCTTCAACCCAGGCAAAGCGCCCTGTGAAGGGAGCCAGAGCCCCTGGTGCAGACCTGCCCCTGGCTCGCCCGGGAGCTGGGCCCTTGAGGACTCTCAGACACAGGGAAGATGGTAATCCGGGCGTGTCTGTCACACATAACAGGCCCTTCGAAGCTGAAGCAACCGACTACCAAGCGCTGAAAATGCGCCTGGCCTCATCTGAGCCACACGAGGACCCTGGGGACAGGCCACGAAGAAGAGGCTCAGGGAGAGGATGGGAGATACACTGCCAAGATGTGGGGATCCGCTGATATCCTGGGGCTTCCAGGTCCTGCCCTTCCTCGGCCCACAGCACTCCAGGACTCCCACTCCCCCGGGGTAAGAGCCCAAGTCCTCCCCAAGGCCCAGAAGGCCCTGAACAACCTGCCCCCATCCCCACTCTTCCCGCACCTTCTCCCCCTCTCCCGCCTTTCACGGAGGGGCAGCTGTATCCCAAGTTCCTGGTGACTCACTTACCTGCCTGTGATGTTCCTGTAGACCCTGTCGAACCTTCTGGAGCTACAAAGGAACAACAGAAATCACACTGAGTGGCAGTCAAGGGAAGTGGGTAACGGTCTGGAATTTGAATGCTGTGCGTGCTCCCCCCAGCTGTGTGACCCTGGGCAAACCCTACTCTTATCAAATAGAACCACACATTCAAAATGGGAGCTAATTAGGGAGACCCCTGGATTTCATTCTAGATGGAAAGGTCAAGGGGTTTCCTAGAGACCTCTTCCCACCCCCTTCCCTGGCCCATCCTCAGCCCCTTGCCCACTCTGCTCCAGCCCCACTGGCCTCCTTAACTTTTCCAACAGGCCCATACATAGTCCTGCCCAGGGGCCTTTGCACACAGTGTGCCCTCTGCCTGGAACACCCTTCCCAGTTCTCTCTAGGGGTGGCAGGAGCCCCTTATCCTTTGCGAACATCACTTCCTCTGAGAAGCCCTTCCTGACTACCTCAGCCCAAAATCTACTCATTCTCACCCCACCTATTTTCCTTGTAATGCCTACATCTTCTGAATCTTGTTTCTCTACGTATTTGTCCCTGTAGCTGCCCTGTCCCAAGAGATAGCCACTAGTCAAGTGTGGCTATTTAAATTTAAACCAGTTAAAAAACTCAGGCCCTTAAAAGTACTCAATTGCTGCATACAGTGTCCTGTTGGACACTGTGGATAAAGAACATCGTGGACACTGGGATACAGATCATGTACCCCTCAAGGGCAGGAACCCTGGTCATGTGCGGTGGGCTGAAGAAATACTTCCTTTATTTATTTACTTATTTTAAAAATATTTTTTATTTTAATTGTTGTTGAAGTAGAAATTCTTCTTTTAAACATGGAACTTTTAGTTTTTGCAGCAAAATTACTATGAAGAAAAACTCACATGAAGCCAGGACTCAATGTGTTAACTGGCTTGCCCAAAGTTAGCAAAATAAATAAAGAGGGTGTCTCAAAACCTTGCTCCTGAGGCCAAACGGGACAGCCTTTCCAGAGGCTGCCCAGAGGGGCTGCCTGCTCTGTGGCTCACCAAGAAGTAAATGCTCTCCACCTGTTCGGGCAAGTGAGGGGGGAACCTGTGGAGAAGAGAGACCAGCTGGGAGGAGGGGGCAGGGCTCTTCCCCAGAACTAGTGCATCTGTCCCCTAGCCCCCTGGCTGGGAGGGAATGAGGGTCCCCTTCAAGGAGCCACATTTAAGACAGTGTCAAGGTGAATATGATTTTAATGCAGCATTGAAAAATCGTATACACAACTGCAAGGACATTCATGCCGAATAACAACAAATCAAAGATTTAAGTAAAAGCCGGGGTTAATATTCCTGGTTTTCTTTTTGCTTCAGGCTCCCCCATTACTGGTCCTGTCTTTTGGGTCAAGGGACTTCTGTGCCACCAAGTCACCAGATAGGATTCTTTCCCTCAGTGGGATCTAGGACCCCCATGAATTGTCCTCACCTAGGGAACTGCTTCTTGAGCTGATCCAGGATGCCCTGATAGTCCGGGGCTGCAGGGCTGGCCTCCTGATGAACCTGGAAAGGGTGGGGGAGGGTTGAGATGGGATCTCCTAAAACAAGAAGGGAATCTGCCTTCTCTCTTCCTACTTAAGTGCTATACAGTATCTTCCATTTTGCCTCTTGCCTTAAAAATCTGAAGTATTCCTTCTCTGGCCCTTTATGGGAGAAATTTGCCCACTCCTGGCCTAAACTTTTAGCAGTGGTCTTCCCTGGGAAGTAACATCTGGAAGAGGGAGGATTTCACTTGTAAAATATTAACAGAACAGACGATATAGTCAGTGTTTTACACCTGGGTTATAAGAAGTTTAATTTTAAAAAGCAAGTGCCTTGGCACCTCTCAGGTATGACAGGTTAGTGACCCCAGCTTAAAGGCCTGGCCAGCCACCCTGAGTCCCTCCACAGAAGCAGGAGAATTGGATATGAACCCCAGGCTCTTCCCCCACCCCCAGGAGTTAATGCCACACCACACGCTCCTCACCAAACTTCCTGAGGGTGTCGCCATCATTGGAGGGTGCTCCTGGGGTTAAGATAGCCACCAGAGGTCGGCTTCAGGCAGTACTCCCAAGGATTCTAAAAGCAACAAGAAGACTGCAGGTCCTGAAGGCAGAAGGCTGGGCAATGACAGGGAGAGACAAGCCACACCCCATGCCTGGGCCTCCTGCACCCCTCACCATGGCCCCCAACCCCATCCCTGACCTCCAGTACCCCACTGCATTCCCTACAGCCTATGTTCAACACTCCTCCCACACGCTGGTGCCTGCAGCTGTGCTGATTAACACTGGGGACCCCAAGGACCTCACCCTATGAGGTGTGGGGGAAGAGTGGTCAGGGCTTGGGGATCCCAGAGGATGCCAAAGCTCAATCTCGGTTTTGAGACAATTTCCTAAAGCACAGGAGAACACCAATGGAAAGAGATTTCGAAGGAAGAGTAAGAGTTGGCCAGGTGAATTAGGAATTTCTCAGGTAGGAGAGACCTCTCTACCCCAATCACTCCTGTGACACCAAGTCCCTTCTTTACTTCGCTTCTGCCCCTCAACGCCCTCTAAGCCTGCTCCTCCCCAGCTCAGTGACCTTGGAGTCCTCCTAAAATCCCAGGGCCTACTCACCTCCCTTAGGATGGAAGCTCACAATAAGCAAGAAGGAAGCTGCGGGGGTCAGCCAAGTTCAAGCCAAGAGGAAACGCCTCGCCCCCACCCTCACCCGGAGGGCCATTTGACCCGTCGGGCCCCGCCCCTGCCCGCCCTGGTCCCGCCCCGGCCCGCCCCGGCTCCGCCCCGCCTCCACCTGTACCGCGAACCGGATCAATGAACAAGCAGCAGCTGCACGTGGGCTCGGGCTCCGGGGGCGGCCGCCGGGGACTCTGACCAATTGCGAGGCCTATTGCCCACGTGGGCCTCGGCTGCTGTCATTGATTGGTCGTCTTGCCCCAGCCGCCGTCCTGGCTGTCAATCAGCGCACCCGGGGACGGGATTTAACCCTCGCAGTCCCACTGCAGGGAGGAGCAGTGTGCAGAGCTGCAGGCAGTTAAGATGCTGGCGGGGGCAGGGATAGCTAGAAGGGCGTGGGGCTTGGGTTCAGAGGGTGCAACTTGGAGAGGGACTGGGCAGCGTGTAGTTGCACTGTTTGGTGAGAAGCCTGATAATTTTTCGCGATGCCCAAGAGTGGCTATTGGCAAGAGAGGGGGAAGAGGCGTGGAGGCGGTGTGAGGCCGGCACTTGGGGTGGGGGGAATCTTTAGCTCTCTCACTTTAATCCTCAGATATGAGCTAATAACGTTTTCATGATATTAATGTGCAATGCAAATCAAGCTTCAAACCTCCTTTCGGAGGAAAACTTAACAGCTCCCTTTTATCCTGCACAACCCATAAGCCAAGCCTCGGGCTACACATTTTTATCAGGAATTTTCCCAACCGCCCTCCAAGCCCGGGGACTGCGGATCTGAGAACTGAAAGCAGTTACTGCAAAGGCCTTGAGGCTGGTACACTGTCCCCAGGGTTCAAGGTAGGAAGGAGAGGTGGGTATTCTAAGCCTGAGGTGATGTCAGAGATAAGTGCGGGGGTGGGTTGTAGGGGGCTGTTGAGGGATTCAAGAGTTCTGTTTTAGCTTGGTTTGAAATGCCTACTCAAGATGTGAAGTGGTCAGTCTAGAGTTTTGGAGTGAGAGGCCAAGTTTTTGCCTACCCCAGGACCTTTGCACTACCCATTCCCTCTGCCAGGGACAGCTTCCCCCCCAACAGCCACTGACTCACTCCCTCATCTTCAGCTCTGGCTCAGAGGTCACCACCTCAGTGAGACCTCCATTCTCTTTCTTGTTTTATTTTACTCCAAATGTGGTTTGAATTGGAGTTAATCTTGTTTTAATCTCAGTGGCTCTAAGCCCTGCTGTGTTCAAAATTCATATAATGCTGACAGGGCCCTAATACATTCTTATAACTGGCCACAGGCTCCTGGGAGGGATCCACATGAACCAGAGATCTCGCCCATTGCCCCTGGCCTGTGCTTTTTTACTAGAGGGAAATTGAGGGTTCAGATCCTGGGATGCGCAACCCCCAGAGGTTCTGATGTAAATACATACCTTGGGTTTTTGTGGCTAGTCTACGAAGGAGAAAGTGAGGGCTGCCATATATGAACCGCAAAATAGGTTTCCACCCGTGATCCCTCAACTGGCCTGTAATTGAAGTGTGTTTTATTTATGGCCCAGCCTGCTAATTGCCTCCCTCTGTGCGCCTGGCTCTCCCCCTCCCGTGGATGCAGACTTTCAGCTGGGATACCAGCTCATTCGAAGCTGGCTTGTCTCGTCTGGCTTCTGCTGGGTACCTGTAGCTGCTTAAAAAGAATTAAAATTAAATAAAATTTAAAATTCAGTTCCTCAGATGCACTGGCTGCATGTCAATTGCTGGGGGGTCACATGTGGCTGGGGACTGTCCGTACCGACGGCACAGACCTAGCCTGTTGCCATCACGGTAGAAAGTTCCTCTGGATGGCACAGATCTGAGTTTCTTCAGAAAGGAAGATTCTAGGTCTATGTAGAAATTTGAAGCATTTTATGGCAGCCATTCCACATTCTCACTTGTGAAAAGCCCTGTGTACGGGGTTGGATAACATTTGGAACTTTTGCTGGTGTGTGTTCCCTGCTGGTTCTTTCTTTTACCGTCCCTGCCTGCCGCAGCCTGGCCAGCAGGGAGGCAGCCTCCTGAGTCCAGGGGAAGGGGATGGATGACACAACAGAGACGAAAGGAGGAAGCACAGATTTCCTTCTTGGCTCCTGAGCTGTGCTTTACTTGGTGGAAATCCAAGGTCTGGATGGAAGTTTGAGAAAAAATAGGTTTGTGTTTCCAAAGCTTTGGAATTCCCTGGGCTTCTCTTGGAGACCTCAGACCTGGTACCTCAGGGACCCCAGAGTCACCTGAGTTGGATGTGGACCAGACAGAAGGGTCAAGGGAAAGCCCAGGGTGGAGAGGAGGCTGTGGAGTGACCACACAAAAGTGGCAGCAGGAAGGCGGTGACAGGCTTCAACTGCCCCACTCTGTCTCTGAGCCCCAGAACTTCCCAGCGGCCCACAGGAGCAAGAGACATGTCAGAAGTGAGGGAGAAGCTGCAGAAAGCCTGTAGGTAGAAGGACCCCAGTGTCCAACCAGCCAATGAATGACCAGGAGGGTGGGACAAGGACCCTCTGAAGATGCTGGCCAGGCTGGGAGATGCTCAAGGGCAGGATGCCTCCCAGATGCCCCGACTCTCAGACACCACATCACCACCCATGAGCTTAGATAGACCTGGCCCCAGGAAATGTGAGTTTATCGAATTACCTGACATTAATTGAGGTTTGCTTTCTGCCACCTGGTGGAAAGAGGTTTGTAGTCCTTTTCCCTGGGCAGCTGTAACAAATGACCACAAAATGGGTGGCTTAAAACAACAGAAATCTATTCTCACATTCTGGAAGTCCGAAGTCCAAAATCAAGGCATTGGTAGGACCGAGCTCCCTCTGAAGGCTGCGAGGAGGGGCCTTCCTGCCTCTTCCAGCTTCTGGGGGTGGGGAAGTCGTTGGCCTTCCTTGGCTTGGAGACACATCATTTTGATTGCTACGTCCGTCTTCATGTGGCCATCTCCTTTGCGTGTCTGTGTCCAAATTTCCCTCTTCTTATAAGGACACCAGTAATTCGATTAGGGCCCAGCCTATTTCACTATGACCTCATCTTAACATCTGCAATAACCCATGTCCAAATGAGGTCACGTTCCCAGGGTGTGGGGGGGACAGATGAAGGGAATGGGGAGGGGGATAGATGAGGGGAACGAAGGAGGATAATAGGTTAGGATTGGAATATATCTTTTTTGAGGGGCAAAATCCTGCCCTCTACAAGGCTCAAGAGAGAAATGAGGTAACTATAGCAACCTACTCAATCTTCCACGAAGTCTGATATCCCCGTTTTCGGAGGTGACTACGAGGCCCAGAGAAGTTCCCTAAGCTGCCCAAGGCAGCACTGTTACAAAATGTCTAAGGTAGGATCTGAACCCAGGCCATCTTGCTCTGGGATGTAGCCTAGTAACCTTTACACCACAATGTTCATATCTAAATTAGGTTTCTGCCATTGAACTGCTTATGCAGTGGCATTAGGTTGGACCACCACATGGACCCAAGCTTGGAGGAAGGCACATCCATTCCAGAAGTGGATTTTGGATATCCTGGATTCAATTCTCGCTTCTGAAGAAATCCAGCTAGAGTCCCAGATCAAATTGCCCCCAAACTTGGTGGCATGAAACAATAAGCATTTATCATCTCAAAGGTTCTGATGGGCAGGAGTCTGGAGGTGGCTCTGCCGGTGCAATGTTGGGTCACCTATGAGCAATAATCCAAGTTCCAGCCTTTCTTTTCCCCTTTTCATAGAAAACAACTTCTGCCATCCAATTGAAAAACCTCTTAACAGGGAGGCCCCATCACTTTCTCATGTGCTCCTGATCCTACTTACCACCCTGTGTTTTTTTTTTTATTTAATTTTTCCTTGCCTGTCACGTTTGCACATTGCTGGGAGGATGGCTGAACAGAAGACACCTGCGTCCATACATGTGCATTTCGTGTGTATGTGCTTATTTTCCTCGGGTGCCTGTGTCTCAACTGGGGATCCAAGGTGCGTTTGTGCCTCCCAGGCGCCCCTGCCTGCTTCTGACACTCTCCCCCATCAGGGCTGGGCAGGGTGGGTGTGCTGAGGTTGTCTTTTGATTGTCAAGGCTGTTTTAGGCTGTTGAAGGCTTTCCAACAAATTTGCAGTGTGCCAGTCCCAATGGCGTCCTGTGAATGAAGGCGGTGGCCCTATCCCAGCGAGACCCCGTGGGGCATGGAGAGGCTGCAGAACACCTTCTTGAGGGTCCAGTTTATTCCCTCCATGAGAGGGGAGGGTGGAAGGTAGTCTGTGCAAATTAAACATAATCCCCTAGGTCAGCGCTTTTGAAATGGTGTACCGTGGTGCACTGGTGGGCTGCAAGAATTTTTTTACAGATTTTATTTATTTATTTTTAGAGAGATGGGAAGGGAGGGAGACAGAGGGAGAGAAACATCAATGTGTGGTTGCCTCTCACATGTTCCTTACTGGGGACCTGGCCTGCAAATCCGGTATGTGCCCTGGCTGGGAATTGAACCAGTGACCTTCTTGTTCACAGGCCCACACTCAGTCCACTGAGCAACACCAGCCAGAGCCTGCAAGAATTTTTAAAACATTCAATACCTGACTATTTAGTCAGTGGCACTGACCTCTTTTCCTTTAGATGATCATATTTTAAAAAATGACAACCACCAACACAGCAATAGCTATCTGATGTGAATGAATTAAACTTATATCTATTTTTCATCAGATCAGGAAAAAATATAACATTTTTTGGTGTGCTGCAGAATTTTAGTAATTAGCTTCTGTGTGCCATGAAATGACAAAGGTTGAAAATCACTGCCTTTGGCTGGTTCTGAGTGTTTGAATATGCGGTCTCTGGCACCCTCTTCTGGTGGAACTTTTTATTACAGATTTATTGAAGTATAATTACATAACAATGAGGTCATCCATTTTAAGCATACTGTTTGATGATTTTAAGTACATTTGTCCAGTTGTACAATCATCACCAGAATCTGATTTTAGAAAATTTCCATCTTCTCAGAAATGTCCTTCTTGTCTGTTTTGAATCAATCCTTTTCTCCCATCCTTAGCTCTCTCTCTCTGTGCCTTTTCTAGAAACATTATATGAATAGACTCACAAAATATGTGGTCTTTGTGTCTGGTGGCTTTCATCATTTTTTCGAGATTCATCTGTGTTTTTGCCTGTGTCAGTACTTTGCTCCATTTTATTGCCGACTAGTATTCCATTGTGTTCCCCCCAATGGACGTGACTAGTTTGAGATGATTGTGAATGAAGCTGTAATGAACATCCGTGTACAGCTCTGTGTGTTGGGATTTGCTTTCATTTCTCTAGGTTAAATGCCTACAAGATGAATCATTAGGTGAGGTACTATAATGTGCCTGTTTAACTTTTTCAGAAGCTCTTGGGCTGTTTCCCAAAAACACTACATCATCTTCTGTTCCCACCAGCAGTGTGTCAGGGTCCCAAAGTGGAATCACTTAAAAAAAAAGATTTTACCCTGGCTGGTGTAGCTCAGTGGATTGAGCACAGGCTGCGAACCAAAGGGTCACTGGTTTGATTCTTAGTCAGGGCACACGCCTGGGTTTCCAACCCGGTTCCGATGGGGGCCACATGAGAGACAACCACCCATAGATATTTCTCTCGCTCTCTTTCTCCCTCCTTCCCCCCTCTCTAAAAATAAATGAATTAAATCTTCAAAAAATAAAATAAAATAAGATTTTAAATATAGTTTTAGACAGAGTGGAAAGAAAGGAGAAAGGGGAAGAGATAAATTTATTGGTCGCCTCTCACATGCTCCCAACCAGGGACCTGGTCTGCAATCCAGGAGTGTGCTCTGACTGGGGATCAAACTGGTGACCTTTCGATTTGCAGGTCAGTCCTGAACCCACTGAACCACACCATCCAGGGATGGAATCAGTTTTAAATTAGGGGTTTCGTGGTGGCAGTAACTTTAGAGTGCACACTAGGAAATTACTTTTGGGTAACTTTTAATTTTGATATAGTTTCAAATTTACAGAAGAGTTGCAAGAATAGTACCAGTTTCCTTAATATTAATATTTTGTCCCTTTTGATTTATTGCTTTCTCTCTGTATATACATGCATGTGAACACGTAAATTATGCATATTTCTCCCCTTAACTTTGAGAGTTAATTGCATTCCATGTCCCTTCATCCTAAGTCAGTGGGTATTTCCTAGGAATACTGAACTAGGAGGTTCTGAGAGTGCAGGTGGTCCTTTTGTGTTCATGCTCTTTCTCCATTGAAAGAATTCTTAATGTATTCTGGATACAATGACTTTGTCAATATATGTTTTGCAAATATTTTTTCCTTGTTATCATTTATTTTTTTCACAGTGGCTTTTAAAGAGCAACTATTAACAGATTTTTAATTATCCAATTGATGTTTTCCTGGTGTATATTTGTCATATTTTCTGTCCTAGCAAACAAATCTTTGCCTGACCCAAGGTCACAGATTTTTTTCTCATGCTTCTTCTAGATGTTTTCTAGTCTTCCATTCAAGTGTATCATTCTCTCTGAATTGATTTGTGTGAACTATAGTATGATGAAGTTATCAATTCTGGACAGACATGTCCTTAAAAGGAAGACCTGTAAGAATTTTTAATTCCCCCTAAATTGAACCTGTTAACGCAATTCCAACTAGCTGTCCCGGCACAACCTGCCTGCCATCCACCATCTGCCTGATCTTCTCCAGGTGCCTGATATGGCAGCTCACAGCCAAGAGCAGCCCACGGAGTCCTAGACCTGCCCCAGACTTACCTCAGTCACCCTGGGTCAGCCCACCAGTACCAGAAACATCTTGCTTAGAAATGGGAAAAGCTGGGTGTTGGGATTTGCTTTCATTTCTCTAGGTTAAATGCAGAAGATGATGTAGTGTTTTTGGGAAACAGCCCAAGAGCTTCTGAAAAAGTTAAACAGACACATTATAGTACATCACCTAACGATTCATCTTGGTTCCCAGATGGGGAGGAGGGAGAGTGGTTAGGGCAGGTTAGAGGCCTCCTGTGTATGATTTGAAACAAACAGGTGTGCAGGGGCATGGGAGAGACAACAGGAGGGACAGGCACTTGCCACTCCCCTGTCACATTGTGACATATTAAATTTATTATATATGCTCTTTATTAATATGCTTATTTTTTGTTCCTCCCAACCAGAATCTAAAAAGGGTAAGGGAAGGATTTTTTTGTTCAGTGAAGAGAACAGAATAGGGAATATAGAAGATGCTTAATGAGAATGTATTTGAGGAATCTACGTGCATTTTTCCTAGGTCTGCCCAATGCACAAAAACAAAATATTCATAAATATGACAATATGAATTAGGTCGCCATCCAGTGGCCAGGACAGGATATCACAATGCCTTTATAAGTAAAAGCCACATGTAAGCAATGCACAAAATTTGACCCCATTTCTGGTATAAAAGAGTCAAGGAAGAAACATTCCAACAATGGGAATATCTTTATAGAGTGGGTTAGCATGAAGAAAGTTGGGGGAAACAAGCATTTATCGCTTATGTGAACTGTTACTGTGTTTCAGGATGATTTAGGAGCTTTAGACTGGTGTGACCACGCCCCTAGCTTCACACTGAGTTCTTTCTGGCCCTAGCCACGCCCCAGGGCGGATTCATGTCAACCACGCCCACAATGCCATTCCAGCCTCAGACACGCCCTAGAAGGGCGGATCCAGCCCTTTGGTCCCAATCGCATTCCAGTTCTGCTCAGTGATTGGAGGAAATGGCTCTCCCCACTCTTGAGGCTTCACCAATCGCAAACCCAAAACCGGCCTCCATTTCTGCTCCCGGAAGCCCCGGAACCAGAAGCGGAAGCGTCGGTAAATGTGCTGGCGGTCAGTTTATTCTCCTGACTTTCTCATCAGATTAGAGTAGCGTTTTGATTCTTCGCAGAGGTTGAGCCTCTAGTGTTGACGTGGGCACTGTCCTACGGTGGGGGACGTCGTGTGGTCCCACCAGAGGCTGTCCAACGAAAGCCTAGGCGCTCGGCCGACTGATGTGTGAGACTGGGAGTTTGCTGATGGAGCAACTCCGAAACCCTGCTTGCGAGTTTATTTGCCACCTTGGCCAAGTGAACAACAAAGTTTCTCTGCTGTAGTTTCCACATCTGCAAAATGGCGATATCGCTTCCCCTACAGTGGGCCGTGATGTGGCCCTGCTGCAGCTCTCTGAGGATAGACGAGTGGCGGCTCCAAGGACTTGGGGAGGCCTGGGATCCCCTAGTTCCTCCCTCCCCACCTCCCTCTAGCCCATCACAAATTCTAAATATTACCCAATATGTCTTAATTTTCAGAACATGGCTGTTCTATCTTTCACAATTGATTGCTCAGTTGGTAGTGTGATGAGTGTGTGGCCTATTTAAAAAAAAATTTAGAGAGGAAGAGAGAGAAACATCAACTTGTTTCCACTTATTTATGCATTCATTGGTTCGTTCTTGCATGTGCTGTGATTGGGGATGGAACTGTAACCTCGGCATATCAGGAGGATGTTCTAAACAATTGGGCCACCCAGCCAAGGCGATCGATCAGCCTTTTATATTTCAAAATCCTGTAGAGAAACTCAGAAAGTGATCTAAAAGACATTTCTTTGCAGTGTGTAATGCGTACTTGATAATTCTAACACCTCACACCAGTGGCTGTGCTGAGACGAGTTCTGCGTGCAGTCTAGGGCCACAGAGTCCCACTTCCCACGGGGAAAAAGGACCGTGGGTTCCGGGTTGCTGATCTCAACCCGAGACTTTGAATTCGGGGAGGAGAGTCAGGACTCCAGTGTGAAAGGTCAAACATCAGACTGGAGCCAGCTCTGCTTTACAGGAGATGACATCACTGTTAGTGTTTTTGTTCTTGAAAATGGGGCATTGACCAACGGTGACTTTGTCAGGTGACTTTGTTGCCGGAGGACCCCTGACCTTTCAAGTCACCAAGCCCTTCTGTCCTGTCCAGGTTCTAGATAAGGAGCGCTCCGCAGAGACAGAGTCGGGATTTTCTGATCCCAGCGGAGGATGCTAGGGAAGCCGCGGAGCTAGGGACAGTGGCTGAACTATCCAATCAGAGTCACGGAAAAGGAGAGTGCCTGGAAGCACAGTGCAATTAGGGCGTGGGGCGGGTTTCAGAGAACTGTCCAATCAGGGTGAGGGGGCTCCCACAATCTTCCAGTCAGGACCAGGGGCGGCACGCACGTAGTGGGTTCACGGTTCCACTTTGCCAGAGTTTCGGGCCGCAGAGGACACCAGGGATTTGAATTCTTAAATGACTGGGAGATGGTGAGTGCGCGGGGCCGGGGCTCAAGCCGAAACCTGGAGGGGCTGGTTCGAACCAGAATAATTGGCTGGAAGCGGCTGCAGGCCCGGGTTCCCGCGCACTACCCCTAACCTCCAGGGTCCGGATCTGAGTTTTCTTCCTATAGCGCGGAGTGGGGTCCTGGAGTTCTGTCCCTGCCACCTCTTGGGGACATGTCCCTTGGGTCCGGACTGGATGCCCGCCCTCTGCCAGGGGGTGGGGCACTGGCGTCACGTCCTGTCCTGTTCCCATTTAGGGGGCTCGGGTGTCCGCCCTCGGCCGTGCTCGGTGTTTTGGGTCTTCCCGAGCTCCCTCACCTTCACACCTGTCCCAAGCCCAGATCCTAGTCCTTTGGCTGGGTGGGGTCCGAGGGACTGGACGGCCATGGGCGCTGGGGGTCAGGGTGGGGGGCGGCCACGTCGGGGGAACCTCCCTGGAACAGATAAAACCAAACCCGGTTTTGATTAAAGAGAGACGTTATTTCTGTTAAAACAAAATCGAACTGAATAAATTTAAAGATTTAATTGGCTTTATTTAACGATTCATAAATGAAGGTCACCCCATCCCATCCCAGCAGATAGAAAGGTGTTCCTAGGAGCTGTAGCTTTTTACAGTTATGAGAGAGGGAACTAGGGAGTTACACTAGCAAGGAGCTGATTGTGGCAAGGTCACTTTCCTTTAAGGGAAGGTGGGATCTTTCGGGCAGATGACCTCACTAGTGCTGACCAGTAATTCTTGATTGCCAGGTTTAAGATTCCATTCAAGGGATAGGCTGAAACTAAGTTTGGTGAGTGTGGTTTAGCATAAATGACCCCATGGGGGCCTGTTTTGTTTTTAACATCCAAGACTGTTGCAACAGGAATGTGGCTCATATCTTAGAGGGCTTTTTTCAATGGAAGGAATGTGAGCAGGAAGGCGGTGTGACAGGAACCATTCCCAGTATCCTGGGGCACGTTCTCAGCTCAGGACAGCAGAGCCTTGTTCTGCAGTCTCAGTGTTTGTTCAGACCTAGTGTGGGGCAGTGTCCTGGATGGTGGGGAGGACAGAAGACTGACTAAAGTTTGGGTAAGAAATGGGCAATTGTGATCAGTTGGTCCAGGCTATGGCAAATATAAAATCCAAACTTAGTAAGGTGAGACTTTCATTCAAAAGAATTATTTCTGCAAGGGGCAGGGGCCGTGTGGTAGGGAGAAAGCTCTGACCTTACCACCTGCCAGTGTCTCAAGAGTTGGTCTTTCTGAGTTTTGCTTTTATAGACAGGAGTCAATAAAAGTAGGAGGGACTGGGTTGGGATGGCAGGTCCCCAGGCCAGCCCGTCCTTGGAAAGGGTGTCTGAGGGCTCAGGCTGAGGGTGGGGGCAAAGTTTAGGGGTCTAGGGAAAAAACAGTAGCTGAACCAGGTTTGGCCAACAAGCATTTCCTCCGCTTGGTCAGTGGAGATCAGCAGTTCAGCCCAATCAATGATCATAAGCATGATGGGGATTGGGGAGCATCTGTTTCAGCCTTATCTTGGATAAACAAGGGGAAGGGTGTTCTTAAGTGTGCCCTTTTTCCAGAACAAGTGGATGAAGGGGATCCTTCTATCTTCCTTGGATGTTTTGAGGAGCACAGGACTCAGGGAGGATTCCACATTGTCACCTGATACCTATGAGCAGCCTGTGTCCAGCTCAGCACTAAGAGCATTCCCTTATTCCAGCCTCAGGTTTCAACAAATGTAAGATGACTGAATTCCTTCTGCCTTTTTCTCCATGATAGTGAGTTAGTTAGTGTCTCAGATCTGTTCGTTCTGTCCTGCGGGCCCCTGTTTTTATGGGGCTGAACCAGAGAAGCTGCTGGGCAAAAGTGTCAATACAGAAAGTGTCCTCTCTTCCAGTGGAATTGCGGGGGAAATGCACGAAGTTCCACACCTTCATGAGAGGTGGGTGGAGATTTGGATTAAAATATTCAAAAAGCTCATAATGACTCTTTGATTCGGGGTACAGAATGTGATACTGTGACCCTGTCCCACTTGCTGTTAATAGTTGGTTGTCAAAGATGAATGTAAATCCTGTGAAATGTGACCTGTGAAACTGGGTGCATTCAGTTCTGATGAGTTAATTTACAATTTGCTATTATAGTCGTAATGATGATGATGATAGTAAACTATTACCTGTTTTCTGAAAGAGATAAATAGTTCCCAGTTATTAAAAACCATAGAAGTGCCCCAGAATTTTTCCCCTCTACTTTTTCCTTGAACTTGGGTGAAAGCAGGGATTCTGTGGGATCTCATTCACATGCTGGGACAGGCAGGGCCTTTGTCTCATCTAAATGACCCCCGGTGCTTGAAGAGATGCATCTCATGGGTTGGAACAAGCTGCACCCAAAGCTGGGCCTATGCAGGAGGTGAAGGAAGGCGCAGTGGGGCCTCGCTGGGCGCTTTCCCCTGCAGGTGGCCTGCAGACTCCAGAACCACCCGAACATGTTGGGTGCTTAGAGAAGCCACAGAGCCTGAGAGAGGGAGACCCACCTGCAGATGGGCTGGGACGGCTTGTGGCTGCCTGGGGTTGCTTCCTGAAGCTTGGTTTTGGCATCCTGCACAGAGCTGGCGGAGTTAGCTGGGATTTGTACAAACGGGGTAAGTCTGGGAAGGTCAGACTTAGGGAGTGAACCTTTGGATTTCACTGCTGGATGGAAATTGGTGACTTTGAGAGTTCATTTTGGTGAGAACTTACACTGATTCCAGCTGAGTATTTCCCCCTCGGTGAGAATTGAGGGCCTGGAGGAGGGGAGTTCCCACATGGAGGAGAGAGAGCAGGGTGCGTGGAGATCCAGAGTCTGGTTGCCAGGGGAAGGGTGGGGCTTGCTGCTTCCCAGGAAGGGGCCACCCTGGGCTGCCTGTCAGCTGGGAGAGCCCAGTACCCACCCCCTCAGCTCGGGAGGGCCTAGATCTTCTGCCTTGGGTTCCCTTGTGCGCTGTGGGAAGCAGGCTGCGGATCTGAGCCGGCTCACTGCGGCTGCTCTTCCCTTTTGTTTCCCGGAGAGGATCTTGCTGCCATGTGACCCCAGACTGCACCACCATTTAACAGTGTTGTCCCATTATTTCAGTGTATGAGATTTTCATTTTCTCCACTGTTAGCACTGCTCAGGGTGTGGCCTCATGGCGACCACAGTCCTGGTTCTGGTTACTCTTTGCAGCTTCAATCTGTTCATCACCACCAAGCAGTTAGATCTGTCACAAGCTCTAGTATAAATCCCGTTCCACAAAAAAGCCAATTTCCAATTCTTCACCAAAAGGTGCTGTTGAGGTTGTCAGACACCATCCAGTACCAGTTCCCAGCCTCATGGCCAGCAGATGACAAAGCAACAGAGGCAGAAGGAAGACTTGAGGAAACTCCCTGGAGAAGACGGACGTCCTCTTCTTCATGGACACTCGTGTGCTTCAGGGGGCTTGGAGAGGAACTCCCTGTGGGGATAGTTCTGGCTGACTTGACCAATTTCACATACATTCTGAGTTTTTCTTTTTTTTAAGTTTTTTAAAATATATTTTATTGATTATGCTATTACAGTTGTCCCATTTTCCCCCCTTCACTCCCCTCCACCCTGTACACCCTCTCCCACCCATATCCCCCCCTTTAGTCATGTCCATGAGTCATACTTATAAGTTCTTTAGCTTCTACATTTCCTGTACTATTCTTACCCTCCCCCTATCTATTTTCTACCTACCATCTATGCTACTTATTCTCTGTACCTCTTCCCCCTCTCTCCTCCTCCCACTCCCCTGTTGCTAACCCTCCATGTGATCTCCATCTCTGTGGTTTTGTTCCTGTACTAGTTGTTTGCTTAGTTTCTTTTGTTTTTGTTTTAGGTGTGGTTGTTAATAATTGTGAGTTTGCTGTCCTTTTACTATACATGTTTTTTCTTTATCTTCTTTTCTTAGATAAGTCCCTTTAACATTTCATAAACTAAGGGCTTGGTGATGATGAACTCCTTTAACTTGACCTTATCTGAGAAGCACTTTATCTGCCCTTCTATTCTAAATGAAAGCTTTGCTGGATAGAGTAATCTGGGATATAGGTCCTTGTCTTTCATGACTTGGAATACTTCTTTCCAGCCCCTTCTTGCCTGTAAGGTCTCTTTTGAGAAATCAGCTGACAGTCTGATGGGAACTCTTTTGTAGGTTACTGTCCCCTTATCTCTTGCTGCTTCTAGGATTCTCTCCTTCATTTTCACCTTGGCTAATGTAATTATGATGTGCCTTGGTGTGTTTCTTCTTGGGTCCAACTTCTTTGGGACTCTCTGAGCTTCCTGGATTTCCTGGAAATCTATTTCCTTTGCCAGAATGGGGAAGTTCTCCTTTATTATTTGTTCGAATACATGTTCAATCAGTTGCTTTTCCTCTTCCCCTTCTGGTACCCCTATAATTCGGATGTTGGAACGTTTAAAGATGTCCTGGAGGTTCCTAAGCTTCTCGTTTTTTTGAATTCTTATTTCTCCATTCTTTCCTGTTTGGTTGTTTTTTTCTTCCTTCTGGTCCACTCTATTGTTTTGAGTCCCAGTTTCCTTCCCATCACTATTGGTTCTCCGTGCATCTTCCTTCATCTCTTTTATGGTAACCTGCATTTTTTCATCTAATTTACAACCAAATTCAACCAATTCTGCAAGCTTCCTAATCACCAGTGTTTTGAACTGTGCATCTGATAGATTGGCTATCTCTTGGTCGCTCAGAAGGATGAGTCCTGGGGCATTGATCTGTTCTTCTGTTTGAGACATGTCTCTCTCTCTCTCTCTCTTTTTTTTGGTTTTTTGTTTTGGTCTGGTTGCTCCTGTTACAGTGAGGGGCGGATCCTTAGGTGTTCACCGGGGCTGGGCACCCCAGTCACTAGATTGTGATGTCGTATGTGGGGGCGGGGGCGGGAGGGAACAATGGCGGTATCTCCGTTCTCCTGGGACCTCAGTCCCTTCTCTGGGATCCTGGGTTGCGCACTCTGCCCTGGTCCACAATCGTCGCCTCACTGGGTCCACCAGCTGCCACTTGCGTACTCAGGGTCCACCTGCTGCGATCCTGTGCACCCCAGATGCCTTATGCACTCCCTCGCAGTTGCCTTATGCGCGCAGTTCTCCCTGTTCTCTGTGCGCTGTGACCCATGCCTGGCTGCTCCTTTCCGCCCCTCCTACCAGTCTGGATGAACAGGTCTACTTCAACTTCTTGGCTGTCTGACTTCCATTCAGATAAATTCTCTGTCAGTTCTGGGTGTTATTCTGCCTCTAAATTGTTGTTGTTCTAATCTTGGTTGTGCATGGAGGTACGATGTGTCCACCTATGCCTCCATCTTGCCGCTGATCTCCCTGAGTTTTTCTTTAAGATGCTTTTGATTTCTTTCCTTCTCTCAGTATAATCCTCAGACCAAGAGCTTTTTTCCATCTAGTGCTGTGGGTATCTGGTGCTGTGAGTATCTTGTTAGGTCTGTGAGCCACATGAGCTGTCACAGTGACAACTCTTGGAGCTGATCCAGCAGGATTTTTTCCATGTCGCCATTATAAGTAGAAACTGAGGCTGGGACACTGATCCCATTCCTGTTATTGCTGAAGTGCAACTCTACCCAGGAGCTGTCTTCCTGTGTTCTGGGGTCCCACTCTACATGCACCAGCAGGAGGGCACTGCAGCCCCCAGGGCCAGGGCAGGGGTAGGGAGTTCAGTGGGGGTGGGGGGGGCAGGCCTGCCATGAGCCAGAGGGGAAGCGCTGGGTTGTAAGTGCTGCAGCATCATCCCAGGGCCCCTGTGGACTCTCCTTTGAATATTTCTTGGTGGTCCTTTTTTGGTTTCAGTAATACTCTGCAATTTCTTTCTACAGTTAGAAATCACTGATTTTTGAATATGTGATACCTGCCCTAGGAAGTGTTTGAAGATTGCATTTAGTGTGTGGGGCATATTTGAATAGACTGATTTTCTTCCCTTTTTTTTCTTTAAATATTTTGTTTATTTATTCTTAGGGGGGAAGAGAGGGAGAAAAGGAAGGAGAGAAACATGGATGTATGAGAGAAACATTGATTAGTTGCCTCTCGCACATGCCCCAGCCTGGGGCTGGGCCTCGCAACCCCAGCACATGCCCTGATTGGAAATCAAACCAGCTACCTTTCACTTTGTGGGATGGCTCCCAAGAAACTGAGCTACACTGGTCAAGGCTCCTTTTTTTTCTTCTAATTTTTATTTATTGCTTTTAGAGAGAGAGTCGATTTGTTGTTCCACTTATTTGTGTGTTCATTGGTTAATTCTTGTATGTGCCTGAACAGGGATCTAACCCGCAACCTTGGTGTATTGGGATGACACTCTAACTGACTAAGCTACAGGGCCAGGGTGCAATTTTGTTTCTTTAGTGACCATGGACATGCACAGATGTTCTGTTCACTTGCATCATCTCAGCTCTGTTTACTGATGTCTATATGTTTATCTCATTACATGTAACTACGAAAATCTCTTCCCATAAGTGGTTTGTAAATGTCCACAATCTGCTTGATCTGTGAAACATGTATAATTTTGTTCCTTTTTAAAAATACTTTCTTAGCCCTGGCTGGTGTGGCTCAGTGGATTGAGCGCAGCCTGTGAACCAAAGGGTCGCTGGTTTGATTCCTAGCCAGGGCACAATCCTGGGTTTTGGGCCAGGTCTCCAGTAGGGGGCATGCAAGAGGCAACCACCCATTGATGTTTCTCTCCTTTTCTTTCTCTTTCCCTTCCTATCTCTCTAAAAATAAATAGAATCTTTAAAAAAAGAAAATTATTTAAAAAATTAAAATACTTTATTATATTTGCCCAATTTAGATTTTTTTTTATTAAAATTGCCATTTTTCTCAAATTCTCGATACTTGGTTGTTAATTTGAGAGGCCCTCCTGGCTTGACAGATTCTTCAGGAACCAGGCATTCCTCCCACCTGACAGACATGCCAGACCCAGGCCCAGGCCCTGGCCTGTGCCCACGCCTGCAGTGTTCACCTCCTCTTGGGAGGGTTGTGTCTCTGCCTCTGTCAGAGATGAAGGGCTAGACCAGGCTCCGCAGCACTGTTGCTTTCCAAGGCGAGAGTTGTTCACATCATGCTGCCCCAGAAACCTCAGGGCTCACAAAACCCTGACAGTCCGGTTGCAGGTCTTCTAGCTGATGAGGAAATAACTTTTGGGCAGCCGAGTATCCATTTCCATGTTATCTGAATGACGATTTCATTTTTTAATCTTTGTCTTACTCAGTAGCTGCTTTAGCTCAGTAAAAATCATCCTTATAATTATCTGCAGATAAGTCTGTATCAATTGTTGTTGCATTTTGCTTCCAGGTTCCAAGCACTTGCCATCACTGAGTGTACTGCATTTGGTTCGCTTGCTTATTGCTATTTCCCATGAGAATGAGAGTTCAGGAGTCCTAGGAATTGAGCCCACTTTCCTGACTGTTAGCCTTCCCCTTTTCCCACACACACTGATTTGTAAATGTCCACAATCTGCTTATGGTGAAGAGGTTGTTGAAATAGAATATGTGGGAAATTTCAGGTCATGGTGGTCTTTGCGGATGTGGCTGTGAACTTCAGCCCAGAAGAGTGGGCTTTGCTGGATCATTCATTCTGAGAAGAAGCTCTACAGAGATGTGATGCTGGAGACCTTCAGGAGCCTGGCTTCCATGGGTAAGGACACCTTCACCCCTTCACTTAGATTTTAGGGAAGAAATACTTCTACAGTTGTCCCTTCTTTGGGGGACACAGTCCAAGCCTCCATGGAACCTACTGAGAATCAAATAGCTTTTCCATGAAAACAAAGATTCATATATTAATCTGTTTATTACTGTTCATGAAAAGCCTGAGGGTCCCCATTTTTATAAGTGTGAGCACAGGCTCCAGTTCACTGTGGGGCAGTGAGAGCAAATTTGTGGTTTTAGCCCCTGAGACAGCTGCACTGTGGTTAACACACATTTGACGTGGTCAGCTTGCTGTAATTAAACCTACACTTGCCCAATGTCCCTGGCCTTTAAGGCCACAGTGTCAGCCTTTTTCACAGAATGTTTGTTGTTCTCCATCCTCCCCCGTGATGAGCTTTTGTTCAGTGGCCACACGCCATCCAATCTTCCCAGTGGCAGCTGGGGACCGTGGAGAAAGGCTTCATCCAGGCCTCTGTTTCTGCAAACAGCAGGAAAACTACCGCCCTCGGGAGGAATAGGCTCTCTCTGAATAAGGGCATGACATTCGGGTGTGTCTGGCAGAAACAACACTCAGTCTGTCTGAGAAGGGTGACGGTTGTCTGTTACGCGGCCTCCCTGCTGGACTTTCCATCCATCCGCACTCACGTGGGGCGACTCCCCGCATCTCCTCTGGTGAAGGGGCACTTGGGCACGAGCATTTTGCTCTGGTCCTTCCTGCTTTGCTCTTCTGATAATATTTACCCCAGTATCAGTCTTCATTTCTTGGGTATTTCTTAGTGAAAAGACTTCCATTTTGACTTATTTTTGCTATTATTGCCAAAGTTTCAGATAGCCAAGGTCCTTGGAGTTTTTCTGTGTTCACATGTCCATTCCCTCTTATAAAATTTGTTTATATTTTGGGATCATATATGGAAAAAAATCCACACATGGTCTATTTACTTTCCTCTAACACCGTTTTGATCCCAAGAAATTATATGCTACCTATTACTGCAGAATGTTCCATGCACAAAACCAGTAGATCATGTTCTCGGTGGAATATTTTGGGGACTGAAATATCCAGTGAAGACAACATAGTAAGATTCACAAGAAATGATTCCTGCTCTGTTTCTGGAGAACACTGGACATTTCATGACACTGGAGACCAGCACCAAACCCAGGGGAGGCGTTTGAGGTGAGCGGCACTCCCGCAGGAGGAGGGTGCTCGGCAGAGCGTTAGACTAACTTGTGATGCAGACACTGGCCCGCAGTTTCCACGTCATCATGGATGAAATGAGACATTCACATGGACTACCGAGTCCAGTGGAGGAAAAGAGACAGCATGGCTTTTCTTCAAGGGGACCAAAGGCCTTGGCCCTTGCCGTGACCAGCCTTTATTGGGTTTCTCAGCACATTTCATGATGGTCCTCATTTACTATGCACAGGTCTGCTTTAGGTGGTTACCTTTTACAGAAAACAAAGGAGCCAATGCTGCTAATCACATCACAGAAGAGGGATATTTGCAAATGAAAAGGCAAAAGTGGTTGAACCGGTTACACTCATCCTTGGAAGGTTTAGCAGGGATTTTAGGAAGTTACTTTGCAGTAAATGTCCTCTATTCAGTGTGAGGGAGTTTTTTAGTAAGAGCAAGACTCAAAGTGGTCTAGGCACATTGCAGGCCCGATTCTCCACGGGAGAACCTATCCACGGGTGTGGGTCCTGTGCATCTCGGAGTAGGAGCAGGGCCCATGCCACGCAGAATGGTCTCCTACAACTTGAAATTAAAGAAGGAGCATAGCTCTAGCTAAACAATCGTGTGCTTAGAGAACCACCACCTGACAACATTTTTGTAAAAGTGATGTAGATGCTGAGTGTCTGTGCAGAATTCGGTAGGAAAGAACGATCAGGAAACCCCACTTGTAAGAAACATGGAAAGTTACGGCCATATTTGAGCTCAGCCAGACATGTAAGCTTGTTCTATGTTGTAACAATGCAACAGTGCCAAAAACATAGCCACTCATTGAAAATGGCAAATGGGTAGTCAATATAGTCATGACCAACCAAGAATGGATCATTAATCAAGACATCATCTATAACCTAATAGTGCACTTCCTATTTTGAACAGAAGTCACGTGCTGGAGGCTCCCTGTGAGAGGGGTGAAGCTCATCCATGTGGAGACACCCTGAACCCGGTCACAGATCTTCCTGTGGGGGAGGGACACCCACCTGGAGTTAAACCCCACGAGTGTGCTAAGTGTGGAAAAGCCTGCTCAAGTCAGCCAAGGTCTCCCACTGGATGTGAACCTCATCCCTGTGAGGAACATGGACAAGCCTGCACGTGCATCTCGTGTCCAAGCCCTCACGTGGAACCAGAGCGTGTGCACAAACCCTGTCACTGTGGGGACACTGGGAGAGCGTCTGAGAGATATGTGAAGAGCCTCAGTAATACAAACTCCATTGAGTGTCAGAAATGTGGAAAAACCTTCACTCACCACTCCTCCTTTTGGGGACACATGAGAGGGCACTGTGGACAGAAAACTCATGCTTGCAAAGTATGTGGGAAAGCCTTTAGATATTATTCCTGCCTTACATGACATGCGGGAACACACACTGGGGAGGAGCCCTGTGACTGTAAGTGTTGTGGAAAAGCTTTCAGCTGTAACTCCTACCTACGAGAACACGTGAGCACACACACTGGGGAGAAACCCTATGAGTGTAAGAAGTGTGGGAAAGCCTTTGGTTGTCCCAAATACTTCAGAAGACATGTGAAAATGCATAGTGGAGTGAAACCCTATGAATGTCTGGAATGTGGGGAAGCCTACAGTTGTTCCTCTTTCCTTTGAGAACATGCGAGAACGCACAGTGAAGAGAAACCCTACGAATGCCAGGTGTGTGGGAAAGCGTTTAGGCAGTCTCAATATTTTCAAAGACACATGAGAATGCGTAGTGGAGTGAAAGCATATAAATGTGAAAATTGTGGGAAAGCTTACAGTTGTTCCTCCTCCCTTCAAGAACATGCGAGAACACATGCTGGGGAGAGGCCCTTTGAATGTGAGCACTGTGGGAAAGCCTTTGGTCATCACTCCTCCCTCCGAGGCCATGTGAGAATGCACACCAGGAAGAAATACAAGTGTACCCGGTGTGGAAAAGCCTTCCACTGGTCCTCATCCTTACAAAAACACACAAGGATGCACTATGAAGAGAAACCCTGTGAGTGCCAGCAGTGTGGCAGAGCCTTCTGGTATCCCACCAACCTGTGAGCTCATGTGAGGACACACAGTGGGGTGAAAACCTGAACACAAGGGCTGTGGAAAGCCTTTGTTCTTCCTTAAAACCTTGTAAATTCGAGCAAACACGCTAGAGAGGTGTTGCGCGTGGGTCACCGGCCAGCAGTGACCACGGAACGCTGTGGATGGCTCGACAATAAACACGCGAGAAAAAACAACACATGCACAGAGACAGACTAGTTTCTGTGGGGAAGTAGGGACGAAATGGCCACCCCCCCTAGTGGGGAGCGCGCCGATTTACAGTCCATACCTGCTTTTATTGGGCTCATGCTACATAATAACTCAGGTAACGTACAATACTCATTAGGGGAAGTAAGGAATATAGAAAACAAAGAGCTCTGCCGGTCTATTGAGTTGGGGGGTCAAAGAGCTGTAAGGCTGAGGAACAAACTAGCTTCCTCCTAAGACCCTCCTCATTCAACTGAGAGCATTCTTGAACAAAGAAGGTTTCACAGTAATTTACATGTTCTTTCTTAGGCCTGATCACCCCAGGAAATCCGCACTTCCCAGTACCGAGCTGTACTACCCCGTCATTGTTTCAGGCTTAGGTGGAGCGCGGGAACTAAGGCCACCGAGAGATAAGGAGATTTTCTTCCGGAGCTGAGAACTCAGACTTTGTCAAAGCCGAGGAGTGAGGGTCCATCACCCCCTTTTGCTGCAGCCCCCCAGGTCCTTCTTTTGGGGGGCCTCCCAAAGTGATCGTGCCTGGCTTGGGTTGTTCCCCCCATGGGGAATCTTACCCGTCTTTGGCTAACCGACCAAGCTTTTTGGGGTTCGGCAGCAGAAACAGCATTCCTGCCAGGAAGATAAGCTTTTGTCTCCTTGCCGGCTCACGGTTCCAAGGGCGTTCCCTTAGCCTTAGCCTAGGCGGGGGTCTCAGTTTCTGATACCAGTCAGGGCGGTTCCCAACAGAGAGGAACCTTATGAATGGAAGGAGTTTAGAGAAACCTTTAGAAGTACCCATCACTTATTTTGTACATGCAAACTCAGGGCAGGACGGAAATCTTTTATTTATTATACTTGTAAAGATGATTTTGACTTTGTAAGTGTGTGTGTTGCATGTCGCTGAGTTGGCTTCAGCTCTGGTGATCATATGAATGAGCCCACGGCATCCTGTCTTTGACAGCCCTGCTTAGCTGCTGTAGACTCACTTCTTTTATGGAGTCAGTTCATTTCACGGTTGGTCCTCTGTTTTCCTGCTGCATTGTTGTGTTTTCCCAGCATTATTGTGCTTTCCAAAGAACCCTGCCTTCTCATGATGTGCCTGGAGTAAGAGAACTTTGGTTTTGTCATTTTTGCCTCCAGTGATGTTTCAGGCTTCTTTTGCTCTGGGACCCGCTTGTTAATCTTACTGATGGTTCAGAGTAACTGTAGAGGTCTCCCCCAATACCATATTTCAAGTGAGTTGATCTTTTCCCCATCAGCCTCCTTCACTCTCCAGCTTTTGCACTCATACACAGTCATTGGGAACACTGGGTTGCTTAGCTTTGGTCTGCAATGACACAGCTTTGCTCTCGGAGATCTTTCCTAATTCTTCCATTGCTGTCCTTCTGAGTCTCAGCCTTCTCTATATTTCTTTGCTGCAGTCTTTATTTAAATTGATGAATGAAGCAAAGGTAAGCAAAATCTTCAACAATTTCTGCATATTCATTGTCTATGTTAAAGTTATTTCTTCTGTAGTTATACTTTTTGTATTCTTGATATTCAAATGTAGTCTTGCCTGTCTCATTTTTGTTATAATTTCTTTTGGACCTGGGGTGATCTTGGTTTTTGTTTTTTTATTTTCTGTGCAACTTAATACAATTTCAGATGAAAAAAATTTAGATTCTCTACTTTCCATTATGTTCCTAGTATGTGATCACTTGTATTGTTAAAATTTCTCTTCTGGTCCAGTGCTACAGACTCAGGAATTTTTTGACCTGATATCCACCCCTCACTTTACTCTGATTTACTGAAAGATACATCTTCCACATTTGTTGCTGGTAGGTGCCACACTTGTGTTTTGCACAGAAATTAGTACTTGTTGAAAGATTTTGGAAGAAGACAGACTCATCTGATTACGTTCATGATTTGGCCTCTGCTCACTGTCCTTGATCTTGGTTGGGAATCTGACGTGATGCATTGAGTTTACAAAGAGAGACCTTGTGGTGTAAAGGTGAAAGCTGTGTCCCAGTTATTCCACTGAATCCTGTCGTCAGCATGGGTGAAGTAGGAAACTTTGTTTCATTGTCCTTTGGTTTGTGGTTCTGAGCTAAAGTTCCTGGGAAGAGGAAGATGCATGGGGTTTGGAAGGCAGACGTGAAGAAGCCATGGCCCTCAGATGTTCTGTACTATCAGCAGACAGGGGTGTGGGAACCCAGCGAGCCTGACTTAGGGTGCATTCTTCTCATTTCTGGCTCTGCCCAGCTGGAACTATTGCAACCAAACGCACGTTTGATGTTACTTCCCCCTTAGGCAGAAGATCCTGCACACCTTTGCACAAACTTCCCATCACGGATATTTTGGGTGTAAGGTTCACACAGATCCTTGCATTTCCCCATAGCTCTCTGGTTTTCCATCAGGCTTCTTTCTCAAATGTCCACTCTTAGTGATCTTTTCTCATTTTCAAACCCCTTCTTTGTTTTTGCTAATATGATTTCTGTAGGAGGCATCTTGTTCCTCCAACAGAAGACCTGTTTCCTGCCTCCACCAGACACTGTTAACACTGTAGGCGCAAATGCTGGACACTTACTTTCCTTATGGTGTTGAGAGACTGCGTTCCTTTTTCTGGAGACTTCCAGGGTTGAAATAAGTATTTGTGAACATATTTGGTAGTTTTTGTGTTTTCTTTCACAGATGAATTTTCTCTAAATGATAAGCCCAATTTGTTTAGTTACTTTCCATATTTATATGTGGCTACCAATGTGTTTTTTCATTTTTTATATGTGAGTCAAAACAATGTACATTTTTGTCAAATATAGTTTTCTACATTGTTTCTTATGAAGCTATTATTACCTAGGTTTTCAAATCAGCTGCATACTAACAATATTAGATTATAATATTAAAACATAAAATATGCCCTGGCTGGTGTAGCTCAGTGGATTGAGTGCAGGCTGTGAACCAAAGTATTGCAGGTTCAATTCCCAGCCAGGGCACATGCCTGGGTTGCAGGCCACGGCCCCCAGCAACCACACATTGATATTTCTCTCTCTCTCTCTCTCTTTCTCCCTCCCTTTCCTCTCTAAAAAATAAATTAATCTTTAAAAAACCATAAAATATGTTTTATGTAAAACATATATTTTATGTTTCATCAACTAAGAAGATATGTAAAAATGTCACATTCTAGATGGTTAACTTACTCTTGTAATTGTGTCAATTATTTTATATCTAAGATTGACATTACCAATTTAGATAACTCATCACCATACCACATTGAAAAATAAACTATCTTAAATTATTTCAATGAACACAGAAAAAGCATTTTACACTGTTCACCATTCATCCATGACAAGTTTTTTAGAAGTTAAGGAATAGATGAGAACTCACAACTTTTTGAAGGGCATGGTCAAAGGCAATGTTTATGAAAGGACACATATATAGGTGGTTAAAGTTCACCCGTTCAATAACATTATATACAAATAAGAATACTCATCACTTAAATTCCCTCAGTCGTAGACTAGATAGCCTAGCCAGTGCCATGGGAAATAGGTATATGTTTGTAAAGGGAAAAAAAGGTCACATTTTCCTCAGAGTTGCCACAACTGTGTATATAAAATCTCAAAACTTTATGTGGGTAACCATAGAGAAATGGTTATTAACAGCTTCTTAGGATTATTTCTTACTAGTTTAATATAAAGTGGAAACTTTGTTACCTTAAACTACATGCCTTCCACATTAAAACATTTTCTTGGGTCATGGGTCTTATCAGGAGCTTCTTCCTTGTTCCAGGACAGGAAGGTGGCTCTTCTGGGAATCCCCACCCCGCCGGCAGGTTGTCCTGGGTAACCCACAAGTGAGGGAAACAGAGTAAAGTGTTTACAAAATGAGATTTGGTAATGGTTTCTTCAATATCGTAGCAAAAGCACAAGCAATGTAAGAAAAAGTTTATAAATTGGACTTTAAATGTTGGGCATCGAGAGAGTGAAAAGACGTCTCACAGACTGAACATACTAATAGAGTTTGTAAGTGATAAGGTTTTGTTATTCATAAATACATAAATAACCCTTTCATCTCAACAAAAAGTGCAAATAACCCAGGTAAAAAAATGGGCAAAGAACTCCAAAGTCCTTTGTAGACAATTTCTCCAAAGATGAAATACAAATGACAATAAACACATGAGAAGATTCTCATCACTAATCACCAGGGAAGGGCAAATTAAACCCAAAGGTGATACCACTTCTACCCATAAAGATGGCTAGAATAAAACAATAAAAAAAAAAAGGGATGTGGAGAAATGGGAACCCTTGTCCACTTCCAGTGGGAATGTGAAATGGTGCTGAGGGAAAGAGCCAGTGGTTCCTCATAAAAGTTAAACAGAATGACAGAGGACTCTACTGTTACCACTGTTTCCTGCCTATATCGAGATAGATACTCAAATAGGTTATGTGAATGTGCTTTGTAGCACTATTCAAAATAGCCAAAACGTGGACGTGTCCATCAGTGGGATGAATGTTACCGAACAGCAAATTTGCCCACCTGGCAGTAGCAGTCAAACACCGAACACCGCAAGAATTGCAGGGGAGAAAGACTGGCTGTTTTTATTATGAATGGTGCCACCCAGAACACGAAGCCGACTCTCAAAGGCCCTAAGTCCTTGAATTTTCACAGAGAAGGAGTTTTATAGAGCCAAATCACCAGTTATGAGTGAGGGGTTTGGGGTCATGGGTCTTGCTGATTGGTCCAGTGAGGCAAGGACAGTACATCATTTTAGATCTTCAGGTCAGCATCAGTGTCCCTCAGTCTGGTTTAATGGGAACTCAGCCAACAGTCCTTCAGGTCAGGAGGTAAAACACAACTTAGGCCATGACTTTATCTTTTGCTTAACAGAAACCCAAACTTTATGATGCATAGTGAAGGCATGACCATTGTTTCTGGCTGCCTAGGGGTTAATGAGTAGTAAGGGAAAGGGCTAAGGCTAATAGGGCATGCTGGGAAGAAATGGAATAGAGGGCTGGGGCTACCTATTAAATCAAAATTACACATTAAATCAAGACCCTTGGTTTTGGTAGGTGGTTTGCTTTGTGTGCTGAAAAACAACTTAATGCATGTTACTCAGTTATCTTGATGTGCAGGGTTCAGAAGCTATATACCTTGTGACTTTTACTCATTATACCCTATTATTATTTATGCTGTCTTGTCTATTTTTTAAAGATTTTATTTATTTTTAGAGAGGGGGATGGGAGGGAGAAGGAGAGGGAGAGAAACATCAATGTGAGAGAGAAACATCGATCAGTTGCTTAACATACATGCCCTGACTAAGGACTCAACCCGCAACCCAGGCATGTGCCCTGACCAGGGATCGAACTGGTGAAACAGTTGTGGCATGACACCCAACCAACTGAACCACACCAGTCAGGACTTATGCACACTTTTAAGTGTAAAACTTGGTGGCTTTTTTCCTTTTAATCCTTACCCAAGGATATATTTAATTTTAAAAAGGAAGAGGGAGGGAGGAAGGGAGGGAGGGAGGGAGAGAGAGATTGAGAGAGAGAGAGAGAGAGAGAAACATTGATCCGTTGCCACCCCCTATACCAACCCCAACTGGGGATGTAACCCACAACTTAGGAATGTGTCGAGCTGGAATAGAGCCTGCAGCCTTTTGGTGTACAGAGTACTCCAATCAACTGAGTCACCTGGCTAGGGCAACTCAGTGGCTTTTTGTACATTCACAAAGCTGAGCAACACCACTATACTACCTGAATAAGGAAAATACAAACAATATTGAGTAAGTGTTTCATCACCAAAAAGGTTTTATTCTGGGAAAAAAAATCGCAATGCAGTGCACAGAGACATAGCAAGCCACATGCATACACTGAACTCTGTGCCATGTTAGAGAGGTACTTATAGAGGAGAAAAAGGAAGCTAAGGGGCAGTTACAACCATAGAGCTTTATTTTAAGCAGAGTTCTTTTTGCAGTTTTGGCTGTGTCATTGTGTGTGAGAACTTGAACATGTGAGACCCCCTCCTGTGAGCGGTCTCCTGGATGATCTCCTCCACAGATCCTCCCAACTGATCATGTTCATTTAAAGTCTGTCAGTCTTGCCCTGGCTGGTGTGGCTCAGTTGGTTGGATTGCCTTTTTGTAAACTGAAAGGTGGCAGGTTTGATTCCGTCAGGGCACATACCTAGGTTGTGCCCGTCCCGGTCCAGGTGCATAGGAGAGGCAGCCAGTCGACAATTCTCATGATTCTCTCTTGCACCGATGTTTCTCTCCCTTCCTCCATAGAAGTAGCGAAAAAATGTAAAAAATAGTCTGCCGATGTTCATCCAAATACTATCCTTTAGATTTCAAAATTCACAGGGACTAAAATCCTGATCGGATGAAATTTCCTTTGCAGTGTAGAATGCACACCTGAGAATTCCAACATCGCACACCTGTGGTTGTACTGAGACTAGGCCTGTAAGTCAGCTGGGCACACAGGTGTCCACTGTCAGTGGAGACAAAGTACCTGGAGGCACGGGTTGCTGACCTCAGCCCCAAAGTAGGGACGGGGCCTCACGGTGTCAAAGGTTACAAGCGAAAGCCTATCTTGCCCGCGGTCCTGCCTAAACAAAGGGGACAAATTCAGCGTGGCCTCGCTGCTATGGCAACCACTGACCCTGGCGATCACAAGGGCCTTTAGTCGGGACTGCCCCTGCTCCTGACAAAAAAAAGATGCACGAGGAAACTGAGTCCGGTCCAGGAGGACAAGGTGGTGTCCCTGAGATGTGGACAGACGCGGAGTCCGCCTAGATAGGAGCGGGTTCGGCTCACAGCCCACGTAAAGCGCCGAAGGACTCGGCTCTAAACCGAAGGCCTGAAACCCTCAACCTCTATTTCTGCGGAGTTCAACCACGTGACCCCGCCCCCGCCCATCACAAGTGACTTTGTCCAATGAGAGAAGACGGAGGCGTGGCCCAGAGCGAAAATTGGAGATTTAGAGGCGGGGCCAAAGAACTGCCCTAACGAGGCAAGGGAAGAAAGGTTCTAAAACACTGTCCAATCAAGGCCTGGTGGCGTGATAGGAGTTATATCCAGTCAGAATCCTTAGAAAGGAACAGTTTGGAGTTCCATCCAGTCACGTCGCGGGTGCCTGCAGCATTGTCCAATCTGTGGGGGCGGGGGTAAGGGGCATTCATCGCCGTTGGAGGCTGGAGCTTTGGCATCCGTCGTTGACATCCTTCGTTGACATCTCTCTCCGCCAGCGGAGGCGCTCTTGCGTTTCTGTCCGGAGCGATCCTGGGTGTACTGTCTCTCTCACCTTCCAGAGCTTCGGAGCTGCGGGGAAGACGACGCCCTGAGAACCAGCCTCACCGCTGCGAGATGGTAAGGGCACGGAGCGGGCCAAGGCCAGGCTGGGTTGGTTCACACAGGTCGGATCCGGCTCGAAGAGGCGCGTGGTCCGTGTCTCCGTGCCCCCCGTCCGTCCCGACCTGAGTTTCCTCTCTGTGTTTTGGGGTGGGTCTGAGGAAGGACTAGACGACTACCGTCGCTGGCGGTCAGGGGCTGGGGGCGGGGTGGACGCGGAGTGGGAGGAATTGATCTGAATCTGACAGATGCCATCAAATCCGGACTTGCCTCAAAGACTGCTGCTGTAGGGACAAGGCTTGGGTCTCCGAACTGTGCCCGCGTCTCAGATCAGAAGCGGACTTTTCTGTGGCAGGAGGGTGAGCAGGAAGGCGGTGTGATAGCCGCCGTCTCTCTGTGGCCAGCGAATTCTCAGGTCAGCGGGGCCTTGTCTGCTTCTCAGTGCTTGTTCAGACGAGGTGGGGACAATGGCTGGACTTGTCGGGAGGACAAAAGTCTAGTAAATCTTGGATGGGAAATTGTGATCACTTGGTCAAGCCTGTGAAATTTGAAAAATCTAAGCTTTGTAAGGAGAGACTTTTGTTCAAAAGAATTACTGCACCGGATGGGTAGAAGGGCACGGGCGCCGGGGCTGTGTAGTGGGGAGAACTCTCAGACCATGCCATCTGCAAGTATCTCGAGAGTTGGGCCTTCTGAGTTTTGCCTTTATAGAAGGGAGTCAACAAAAGCAGGAAGGACCAGGTATGGTTAGGATGGCAGATCCTCATCCCAGTTTGTTTTCAGGAGGGAGTGTCTGTGGGCTAAGGCTGAGGACAGACCTACGTTCAGGGTCTGGGTTTAGGAGAGAAGCCGAACTAAAGTCTGGCCAACAAGCATTTGTTCTGCCTGGACGAACAGTACAGCCAATTATTTAGGACTCAGAGAATTGGGATGTTTGTCTCTGGCTTTGTCATAGGTAAACACAGGAGACATCTGAGAGTCTTATCTAAGTCAGTGGTTCTTGCAGCGTGCCCTTTTCTAGAACAAATGGTTGGGGTGATTCCTTTTACCTTCCAGGCATGTTTCCAGGAGAACAGGATCAGGGAGGATTCAGCATTGTCACCAGACACCTGTGAGCAGCCTCCTCTGTGTCCAGTTCAGCACCAAGAGCTTTCTCTTATTGCAGCCTCAGGTTTCAGCAGATGTAAAATGACTGAATCCTTTTTGCCTCAGTTTCTTCATGTTTGTGAAGATGGTTAAGTGTCTCAGGTCTTTTTTCCTGCTGACTCATGTTATTCCAGCACTTAACTACAGATGTCTCTGAGGAAGAATATCTCAGATACAGAAAATGTCCTCTCTCTTATTAGAATTGTGGAGAAAATGCACACAGTTTCAGCCCTTCATGCAAGGTCAGTGGAGATACAGATTAAAAAGGTGCGTAAAAATTGTAGTGACCCTTCCATTCAGGGTGCAGTTTGTGAGACCCTGTGTGATCGTGTTCCACTGCCTGCGAATAGTTGATGTCAAAGATTAATGCACATTTTGTGAATTGTGACCTGTGATGGTTGGTTTCACATCATCCACAGAGTCCCTGGAGTTAAGTGTGATTTGTGCAAACTGAGTAACCCTGAAGGTCATCCTTAGGGTGTGAACCTTTGGATTTTATGGCTGGAGGGAAGGTGATGAATTTGAGTTAATTTGGGTCAGATCTTATGCTTACCTCCTTGGTGAGTGTTGAGGCCTTAGAGGGGGCATTGTTCCCACACTGAGGGGGGAAAGCTGGGTGTGTGGGGATCCAGAGTTTGGTTTTCCAGGGGCTCAGGGTCCCCTTATTCCTTCCTTGGGTGGGTCCACCCTAGACTACCTGTCAGCAGGGTGAGTCCAGCCCCCAGCTCAGAAAGTCCTTGACCTTCTGACTTGGGTTCCTTTTTTTGCTGTGAGATGCAGGCTGCCGATCTGAGCTGGCTCACACTGGGCCACTCTTCCCCTTTTTTTTTGCCTGTGAAGGATAGAAATTTCTATTAAAGTGACTTTGGGATCACCATTTTCACTCTGTATTGTCAGGAAACCAGGAAACTTCCAGAAACTTTAATCTCCTGTAGAAATAAAACACAAGGCTTCCAGTTCCATCTCTGGGTCCTTGTTGCCACTCATCCAGGCCTTGGCAATTGGTGACTGAGGCAGGTGGGGCATCCAGGCATTTGGGGAGGAGACCGACTAAGTGGTATCTTTTAATGTGTTGTTTTCTTCCTGTCTCTGTCCATGGAACTGAAATTGTTTTTTGAAATAATTTTTACAGTTTACATTTGATATTGTTTTGTATTACTTTCAGGTATACAGCATAGTAGTCAGATAATCATATACTTTACAAACCGTTCCCCCTAATATTTCTAGTACCCAGCTGGCACCATACATAGTTACTACAATATTATTAACTGTGTTCCTTATGCTGCGCTGTACATGGCATGGCTACGAATCTGTACTTCTCAATCCTTCCACCTTTTTCCTATAATCCTCGTCCCCTCTCCCCTCTGGAAAACATCAGTCTGTTCTCTGAATTTATGAGTCTGTTTCTGTTTTGTGTGTTCATTTATATTGTTCTCTAGATTCCACATGTAAGCGAAATCATGTGGTATTTGTCTTTCTCTTACTGACTTATTTCACTTAGCATAATATCCTCCAGGTCCATTCATGCTGTCGCACACAGTAAGATTTCATTCTTTTTTATGGTTGAGTAATATTCCATTATATATATATATATAATATATATAGCTTTTTTATCCACTCGTCTAGTGATGGGCCCTTGAGTTACTTGCATAGCTTGGCTATTGTAAATAATGCTGCAATGAACAGAGGGGTGTATCAGTATTTGTTTTTAAGGCCTTTCAGTGTTTGCTCTTAAAGGCTTACAGCTGATTGGATAAGGCCCATGCACATTGTCCAGAGTCCTCCCCTGTACTTAGTTAGAGTCGACTGATTGGAGATGTTAACCGCATCTACAAAATACCTTCATAGCAGCTCTTTGATTAGTGTTTAATTGAACTGGGTACAATAACCCAGCCATGTCAATGCATAAAACTAACTATCGCACCTCTGAGTTGAGAGCTGAAGATCTGCTGAGGTTTCCAGAAGCAGAGGCCTCTTTTCCAGTGAGATCTTGTTCTTTTTAATGGTTGAGTAATATTCCATTGTGTATGTGCGCGCGCGCACGCGCGCGCGTGTGTGTGTGTATACCACAGCTTTTTTATTCACTCATCTAATGATGGGCACTTGCCTTGCATCCATAGCTTAGCTATTGTAAATTGCACTGCAGTGAACACAGGGGTGCATATATTCTCTTGAATTAGTGTTTTGGTTCCTTTGGATATATTCCCAGAAGTGGAATCGCTAGGCTATAAGGCATTTCATTTTTAAGTTTTTGAGGAACTTCCACACTGCTTTCCACCTTGATTGTACCGGTCCACATTCTCACCAGTCTGGTACGGAGAGGTTCCCCTTTTCTCCACATCCTCGCCAACACTTGTTTCTTGTGGATTTATTGACCATAGCCATTCTGACAGGGGTGAGGTGATATCTCATTGTGGTTTTAATTTGCATTTCTGATGATTAGTGACATTGGACATCTTTCCATATGTCTGTTGGCCATCCGTATGTCCTCTGTGGAGATCTGTGTATTTAGGTCCTTTGCCCATTAGGTCCTTTGCCCATTTTTTAATTGGGTTGTTTGCCCTTTTTTTTTTTTAAGATTTTATTTATTTATTTTTAGAGAGGGAAGGGAGGGAGAGAGAGAGAGAGAGAGAGAGACATCAATGTGCGGTTGCTGGGGGTCATGGCCTGCAACCCAGGCATGTACCTTGCCTGGGAATTGAACCTGTGACACTTTGGTTCGCAGCCCACACTCAATCCACTGAGCTATGCCATCCAGGGCAGATTGTTTGCTCTTTTGATGTTGTTATATGAGTTCTATATAAATTTTGGTTATTAACCCCTTATCAGATGTATTATTGGTGATGAAATTAATTTTGGAATATTATATTGTAACCAGCACCCTGCTATGATGAGTTATAAATTTAATAATTTGTCTGTAGGGTGGGGGAATTTCTAAGTACTAAATCTCATTATCTAATACTAGTCAAGTTTAGTGTTTTCACTTTATAAATCTTTTCCCACTCTCTTGTTTTCTGTGGCCACACTGGCTTGGCCTTCACAGGTGTGTGACTGTATGCACACCCATCCTTTCCTTCTGGTTCCAGGTGTCAGAGGGAACAGTTGTAACGTTTCACTGCCATGTGGGAAGTTGGCTCTGGGCTTTGTGTACACACCTTTTCTTTCTGACTGGGTGTGTTCCCTTCTTGTCTTTAAGTTGTGTTGTCATCCATGAGCAGTGACATGAGGCCAGCACGTCCTCAGCTTCTGTGAACTGGAAAGCCTATGGTTTGTATCTTTTTTTTGTTTTTTTCATCAATGAAATAAATTATACTTATTGAACAATTCATATTTAACCCATCTTGCCTTTCTGGAATAAAATGAACTTGGTTTTGAGTTATGCTTTTTATGCATTTACATATTAGATGCCTTTTAAAAACCCTTTGCCTTTGTAGTTGTAAATGTTGTTGCCTTTGAATGTGTTTTGAATTGTTCCTTTCTGGCCTTGGTAATACTCTGTTTATTTCCTACAATTTGGAATCACTGATTTTAAAAAAATATTTGAAACCTGGCCTAGGAACCGTTTGAGAATCTCGTTTGGTGTGTGGGGACAGTGGGGTCAGCTGGCTTTTTTCCTTTAATGACCATGGATGTTTTCAGATGTTCTTTTTTTTTCCATCATCTCAGGTGTGTTTACTAATTTCTGTACATTTATCCCATTACATCTAATATAAAAAAATCTCTTCCCACAGTGGTTTGTAATATCTCCTCAATGTGCTTAATCTCTGAAACATGTGAAATTTTGCTCCAGTTCTGTACTTTAATTTATTTGTGCAAGTTCTTTGTATTTAAATAAAAATGCCATTAAGTTAAGAAGGGTGTACAGTGTGGGGCCAAAATAGGGTTAGAGTTGTCCTTATGGAAAATAATAAATTAACATATAATGATACAAGAATAAGCCCTGTGTTTTGTGTACTCACAACTGTAAACCTACTTTTGCCCCATCCAGTATTTTTAGTTTGTCTGAACTTCTTTAACAACAGCTGTATATGAGATATAGTTTATATACTGTAAAGCCTACCTGTTTAAAGTATAAAATTCAGTGGTATCTGGTGTATTTAAAGAATTGTGCAACTGTCCCCATAATAGAAATTTTTTTTTTCACTCCGAAAAGAAACTTGTGTCTGCTGGCTGTCAGCCTCGGTCACGTGCCCCACACCCGGAGCCTGGTTGCTGGCGGTTGATTCAGCCACTTTCTGTCTCCACAGATTTGCTTCTTCTGTACATTTCATATAGATCAGCAGTCCCCAACCTTTTTGGCACCAGGGACCGTTTTCATGGAAAACAGTTTTTCCGCAGACCAGGGGTGGGGGATGGTTTCGGGATGATTTAAGTGCATTACACTCAAGCTCACCTGCTGCTGTGCAGGCTGGTTCCTGACAGGTCTGGACCAGTACCAGTCCATGGCGCAGAGGTTGGGGACCCCTGATATAAGTGATTTAATACCATGTGTGTTCTTTGTGAAGCTTGGTAATGTGTTTAAGGTTTATTGATTTTGTGCTGTGGATCATCGGTACTTTATTTCTTCATTGCCAGTAATATTCCATTGCACGAATAGTCTACATTTTGCTTCCCATTTCAGTTCATGGATTTTTGAGTTGTTTCCACTTTGGGGCTATTTTGAATCATTCTGCTGTGAATATGTATATACAGTCATATGCTGCTTCATGGCAGATGCATTCTGAGAAATGCATCCATAGGAGATTTTGTCCGTGTGCAAATATCACAGTGCACACTTCCACCAACCTAGACAGTGTAGCCTATTAAACACCCAGGCCACAGGCCTGATGTCATGTTACTATACAAAACAACATGAGATTTAATCAAGCACACAAAAAATGCTGCAATAAAGAGACGTGGTAAGGAGATGTAGGAGGCTGCTGCACAGTAACACAGCACCCTGTTTTATAGCTTTTTGTGTAAATATAAAAAGTACAGTCCAACATAACAAAAAGTATAGTTGTTAGGCAAAGTGTTTCCCACTGCTTAATGTGACCAGTGCCATCTCACGAAGCTAGCTGAGCACTAATTCACCTCTGGGTGAGTGGGTCCCTGTCACCTAAAAGGAATGTTTTTACATAGAAAAGTGGGCCCAGGCCCTGGCTGGTGTAGCTCAGTGGATTGAGCGTGGGCTGTGAACCAGGCATCGTAGGTTTGATTCCCAGCCAGGGCACATGCCTAGGTTGCAGGCCATGGCCCTCTGCAACCGCACATTGATGTTTTCTCTCTCTCTCTCTCTTTCCCTCTCTAAAAATAAATAAATAAAATCTTAAAAAAAAGAAAGAAAAGGGGGCCGATGTTTACCAATTTGTATTATATAGCTTTTAACAAGCATGTACCACATGGCTACAAGTCACGTGTGTTAGCACCTGCCTCTTCACTCTACATATCACACCCATGACCCCTTTTTGCTGCAGAGACATACCGGCTCCCTGCTGCCAAAGACCCTGCTTTTGTCTGTAAGTTTCCTTAATAAACTCTGTTTAATGCTGGCATTGTCAGCCTCTTTCGTTGGTCTCTTGGCACTGTGGGAATACATAAGTGACGTGGTCCTTTATTATTGTTGTAAAGTGATAGGTACATCATTGTCGGTGCTGTATATGTACGTGACTGGTGGCACAGTGGGGTTGTTTACAGCAGCATCACCGTGGACATGTGATTTTTAAAAAATCATTGTTTGTTCTTGACTGGTATGATGTCATCCAGTATTGCTCTAAAGTGTACATATGGTAATTTTTTCTCTCTGTTAAAGTTACCTTTGGCTTATTACCATTAGGTCTCTGCAATTCTTCTTTGTGGGACCATTTTTCTCAAATCCAGGCACTCAGTTGTTTATTTGAGAGGCCCTGCTGGCTTGAAAATTCCTTCAGGGACCAGGTTCTCCTCTTACCCAGCAGGCGTGCCAGGCCCCGGGCCCTGGCCTGTACCTGTGCCCACAGGGTCCGCCTTATGCTGGGAGGGGTTGGGTCTCTGCCTCTGTCCGATGTGAGGGGACTAGACCCACTGTTGAGGACCCAACAGTGCTCCTCAGCACTGTTGAATTCCAAGGTGAGAGCTGCTTAGATCAAGCAGCACTGGAAATCTGTGTTCATGAATTTCTGACACTCGGGAGTTGACAAATAACTTTTGAGCAAGCCAAGTATTCGATTCTACATTATCGGAATGATGATTTTATTTTTAGTCTTTAACATACTCAGAATCTGCTTTATCTCATTAAAAATCACTTTTTTATTAAGTGTGAGTAAGCTTATATCACTTGTTCTTGCACTTGGACTCTAAGTTCCAAGCTCTCACCACCGCTGAGTGTACTGCATTTGGTTTGCTTGCTCACTGTCGTTTCCCAAAAGAGCATGAGCTTGGCAGTTCTAGGAACTGAGTTGCATTCTTTGTTGGCCTCCCCCATGTTCCCCCACATGCTGATGAAGTGGTGCCTTGTTGAAACAATATGTGGGACGTTTCAGGACACGGTGGTCTTTGCGGATGTGGCTGTGAATTTCACTCAGGAAGAGTGGGCTCTGCTGGATGGTGCTCAGAGGAAGCTCTATAGAGAAGTGATGCTGGAGACCTTCAGAAACCTGGCCTCAGTGGGTAAGGATGGCTTCATCCCTCACCGCCTTTTATGGAAAAAGCATTTCTTACAGTTGTCCTTATTACTTGGGTCCAAGGAAGGGCAAGATGTGAAAAAACAAACAAACAAACAAAAACCCCAGGTGCAGTCCAAGCCTTCATGGAACCCATCTAGTCCAGGTATCTTTTTCATGATAACAAAGTTTTATGTATTAAATTGACTTTTTATTTCTTTTAAATAAAAGACTGGGGTTCCCTGATTTTTTAATAAGTGTGAGCATGGATTTCCAGTTTGCTCTGGGGCAGTGAGAGCAGCTTCCAGTTTTCACCCTTGAGACAGTGGTTAATACAAATTCGGCATAGTCACACTACAATGAAATCCACACTACACGTCGTCACTGGCCATGGAGCCCAGCGCTGGGTCCTTCCCACAGGTGGTTTGTTGCCTTCCATCCTCCATCATGAGGACCTTTTCTCCAGGTGCAGGGCATCGGCCAGACACACCACCTGTCTTCTAATGGCAGCAGGGGCTGTGAAGAAAGGCTTCACCTAGGGCCTCTGTGTCTGAGAACTCCAGAGAGCAAATCCCCTCAGGAGGAGTCAATTCTGGATAAGGGATTGATATTTGGACAAATCCATTAGAAACACGATTCAGTCTGTGTTTGAGAAGGGTGACATTTTACATTTACTGGCCTCCCTGTTGGACTTTTTATCCATCCTCACTCATGTGGGAAGATTCTCTGTATCTCCTCTTGTAAAGGGAGTACCTGGGCACGAGCATTTTGCCCAGTTCCTCCCAACTTCACATTTTTTATAATATTTATCTTTACCCGGTCTCTTTTTTACAGTATTTCTTAGTGACCAGGCTGCCATTTTGAGTCATTTTTCCTATTGTTGCCAAAGATCCAAAAAGCAAAAGTCCCTTCTTTGTTTTCAGATTTATTCTTCCTGCCCTGGCCGGCGTGGCTCAGTTGGCTGGGCATTGCCCAGGAACGGAAAGGCTGCTGGCTCGATCCCCAGTTGGGGCACATGCAGGAAGCAGCCAGTTGGTGTCTCTCTCTTGCATCAGTGTTTCCTTCTCTCTCTCTTCCCCTCTCTCTCAGATGAGAATAAAATAAACCTTTAAAAAAACAAATTTGTTCTTCCTTATAAAATTTGTTTACTCTTTTCTATCAGAATATGAAAATTAATTCACACATTCTTACTTTATTTTCCTTATTTCACCATTTCCTTCCCAGGAAATTTAATTGAATTATCCTATCAGTTGTTACAGATTGTTTCACTCAAGTTAAAACCCATGCGTCACGTCCTGGGCAGGATACTTTGGAGAATAAAATATCCAGTGAAGAGAAAATATTAAGATTCACAAGAAATGATTCCTGGCCTGGTTTTAGAGGAAACTGCACAGACCATAACATTGCAGATCAGCACCAACCCCAGGAGAGGCGTCCGAGGTGAGTGGCACAGCGGAACAGGGCGCCTCAGCAGAGTGTTAGACCATCTTGAAGTTAAAGAAAAAGTATAAACCTAGCTGAGCAGCAGTGTACTTGGGATTTTCATGCAACACTATTTTCATAAATGTGATTAGATATGGAGTGTCTGAAACAGAATCCAGATGGAAACAATGGTGAGGAAACCCCAGATGTAAGAAACACTGAAAGTTATGGCCCTGTTTTAGCTCAGCCAGAGCAATAAGCTTGTTTCATGATGGAACAATGTAGACAGTGCCAAAAATATACCCATGCCTCGAAAATGGTAAATATGTGTTTAAAACAATCATTAACACTTAATAATCATTAATAAAAAACCACTTATGATCATTCATCACTAATAGTGCACTTCCTATTTTGAACAGAAGTCATGTGCTGGAGGCTCCCTGTGAGAGGGGTGAAGCTCATCCATGTGGAGATACCCTGAACCCAGTCACAAATCTTCCTGTGGGGGAGGGACACCCGCCTGGAGTTAAGCCCCAGGAATGCACTAAGTGTGGAAAAACCCGCTTGAGTCAGCTAAGGTCTCCCACTGGATGTGAACCTCATCCCTGTGAGGAACGTGGACAAGCCTGCACGTGCGTCTCGTGTCCAAGCCCTCATGTGGAACCAGAGCGTGTGCACAAACCCTGTCACTGTGGGGACACTGGGAGAGCGTCTGAGAGATACGTGAAGAGCCTTAGTAATGCAAACTCCGTCGAGTGTCAGAAATGTGGAAAAGCCTTCACTTGCCACTCCTCCTTTCGGGGACATTTGAGAGGTCACTGTGGACAGAAAATCCATACTTGCAAAGTATGTGGGAAAGCCTTTATGTATTACTTTTACCTTACAGGACACGCGAGAACTCACACTGGAGAGAAACCCTATGAGTGTAAAGCATGCGGGAAAGGTTTCGGTAGTCTGAAATACTTTAGAAGACACGTGAGGACACACAGTGGAGTGAAACCCTATGTATGTAAGGAGTGTGGGAAAGTCTACAGGTATCTCACAAATCTGCAAGAACATGCAAGGACGCACAGTGGGGAGAGGCCGTATGTATGTCAGCACTGTGGGAAAGCCTTCAGTCGTCACTCCTCCTTGCGCGGGCACGTGAGGACGCACAGTGGAGTGAAGCCCTATGAGTGCCAGCAGTGTGGGAAAGCTTTCAGGTTTCCTGCAAACCTGCAAGTGCACGTGAGGACACACACCGGGGAAAGGCCCTGTGAATGTCAGCACTGCGGGAAAGCATTCAGGTATGCCGCCTCGCTGCGAGTGCACGTGAGAACGCACACTGGGGAGAGGCCCTATGAGTGTCAGCAGTGTGGCAAAACCTTCACCAGCCACTCTTACCTTCAGAAACACGTGCGAACACACAGTGGGGAGAAATCCTACGAGTGTAAGGAGTGTGGGAAAGCTTTCAGGCAGCTGCAGCATTTTCAGGGTCACATGAGGATACACAGTGGGGTGAAACCTTACGAATGTAAAGAGTGTGGAAAATCCTACAGTTTCCTCTCATCCCTGCGAATACACGTGAGAATGCACAGTGGGGAGAGACCCTTTGAGTGTCAGCAGTGTGGGAAAGCCTTCAGTCGTCTCTGCTCGCTTCAAGGACACATGAGATCACACACTGGGGTGAAACCCTATGAGTGTAAGGAGTGTGGGAAATCCTTCAGGTATCCTGACAACCTGCGAGTACATGTGAGGACACACACTGGGGAGAGGCCTGATGAGTGTCAGCACTGCGGGAAGGCCTTCCGGTATCCCACGTCCCTGCGCAAACATGTGAGAACACACAGTGAAAAGGATACGTGAACATCGGCAATGTGGGAAAGCCTTCATGTGTGGCGAATACCTGCAAGCACATGAGGACACACGATGGACAGAAACTCTGAACTTGAGGATTGGGATACCTTTATTCTTCCTGAAAATTGTGTTGTAAATGAGAGCAAACACACTGGAGAGAAACCATATGGATGGAAAAGATGTGGAAAAACCTTTAGATGTAGCACTTATTTTGTATGAAAATTCAGAGCAGGCTGAAATCTTTTAATGATTATTTGTATGGTATTGCCTTTGTAAATAGCTCATCCTTAGTAGCAGTTTCCAGTGTATTAGTTTCTGGTTATGTTTCTGATATGAAACTTGAAATAAGAAATATTTCTCTATGTTCCTTCATCTGTACTACACACTTTATTATCTTGGACTTTAAATAATTGTATAGTTGTATAAAACTTGTCTCATTGCCATTTTTATTACTTTTGGATTTAGGGTATTTAGGGTTTTTTTAATAACTTAGTGATTTTTATTGTGTAAAATTTACAGTTGGGGAAACTGAGGCTCAGAGAGCCAAAGCAACTTGCCCAATATCATTCAACAGTTAAGAGTTGCTGGGGCTTCTCTCTCTTTTATTGTAAAGGCAGAACTTCGTTTATATTTGTAAATTTGGAGTGGTAGACATATCACTTTTACATTACCTTTTTCAGTTACAATTTACATTCAATATTATTTTGTGTTAGTTTCTGGTTTATCAGCATAGTGATTAGATTAAGTGGTTATTTTTATTTTCATGTGAAATGATAATAATTTTAGATGAAAAGTTTTTTGACTCCATTATGTTCCCAGCATGTGATCATGCCATGAGACCTGTATTTTTTCTTTTCTGGTTCGCTGCTGCAGACATTGACCCTTCACTGTAGTCTTTGTTACAGAAACGTGGAGCTTTCACATTTGTTTGTTGCTAGTGGATACCACATCTGTGTTCCTCACAGAAGTTAGTAATTATGGCAAGATCTCCTCTGATTATGTTCTTAATTTGACCTTTGCTTAATGTTCCTGATCTTAATTGGAAATTGGACATGATGCATTGAGTTACAAAGAGAGACCCACGGTGTGAAAATGAAAGCTGGTGTCTAGATGATTCCATGTATTATGTTGTCAGCGGGTAAGCTGGGAAGCTATATCCCATCTTCCTTCTCTTTAGGTTTGAGAAAGGGAAGATGCATGAGGTTTGGAAATGAAGATGCCATGACCCTCACATATTCTTTGCCATCAGCAGACAGAGATGTGGGAGCCTAGTGGGCCCCAGACACAGCACATTCTCTTGACTTCTGCCTCTGTCTGTCTAAGAACAGCCCTAACCAAACACAGGTTTGATGTTAGTTTTCTTTCAGGCAGCGGGTTCCACAGACATTTCCAGGAGCTCCCCCATCGTGGGCCCTCTTTGGTCTTCAGATTCACACAGATTCTTCCTGTAACTCTTTGATGTACAACAGGCTACTTCTTCAGGCTATGGGCTTTAGCAGTCTTCACTCATCCTGTCACCCCTTTTGTCTTTCATGCCTCTCCTAATTATGTGATTTTTGTAGGAAGCATCTCGTTTCTCTACTGGTAGATCTTTTTCCTGACTCCACCCTGACATATTTAACACTGGCGCCAAAATACAGAAAACATACCTCCCAGATTGCATTGTTGAGAGGCTGCACTGACCTTGCATTTTTTGTTTCATACAAATGTATTTGGACACTTCCATGGTGGAAATGCGCCTTTGTGATATATTTGGCTGTTTGTGAAAGTTTTCTCTTTTAGCTGAATGCTTTCTAAATGATAAGCCCAGTATGTTTAATTATGCTCAATTTTTATATGTCATTACCAAATGTTTGATTCTCATTTTTTAAAGATTTTATTCATTTATTTTTAGAGAGGGAGGAAGTGAGGTAGAAAGAGAGGAAGAGAAACATCAATATGTGAGAGAAACATCGATTGGTTGCCTCTAGCACGTGCCCTGATGTGGGACCTGGCCTGCAACCCAGGTATGTGACCTGACAAGGAATCGAACCGGTAACCTTTCTCTTTCTGAGACAATTGCTCAGCCACTGAACCACACTATTCAGGACTAATGCTCATTTAAAAAAATATGTGATTCAAACTGCATTTTTTTTCAATTGTAGTTTTCTACATTGTTTCTTAGCTATTATTTAGGTTTTCAAATCTGTTGTATACTGACACATGTTATTGTGTTTTATGTTTAATTAATTATGAACCCATTCTAAAGAATAATTTATTGTTCCATTGTAACCAACTTTTTCATATGTATTCTGGGGTAATGTTACTAAATACATACACCTTTTGAAATTATTTTCTGGTCTTTCCTTCCTTTTTATGCAGCTACCATCTTTGTAAATTAAAAGTGACTTATTCTTTGCTAACATTGAAAACCTAGCTATTGCTCCAGTCAGTGGTCTCCAGCCAGGCGTCCTGCTCCTACAGCTCAACAGTGTTGGGGGAGCGGACGTACACATCTCCCCTTGTTGTCTGTGGAGAACCCGAACCGTATTCTAGGCGAGGTGAGCACTTCCGTTGTTGTGATGGGAGTGAGTTACCACACAGAGCTTCAGCTTATAGGCATAAGTACCTTGAATAAACTCTACTTCTGGAAATGCTGCTTCTGTTTTCAGACAGCCCTTAGAGGATTAAGGGAAGCATGTTCCTGTCTTGCATCTGTCTTGTTGCCAGTAATTTTGCTGAATATCCACAGGATGATTCTTCCTATGATGGATGGCGATTGGTTGTTAATGCTACTGCCCAGGGCTGGTCCCTTGTATTATTTCCACTGATGAGAAAATGGGCCATGCTTTTCTCTTTCCATTTAGCTCACTTATGGTTCTATTGGTCTGCCCCCAGGAACAAAGCCTAGTTTCTGTCTCTGTGTCAGATGGCCAGTGATACTTCTCTGGCCACATGCAGTCCGGAAGTACTGTTGTGTTTTCAGTTACCTGGCTGTGGCTGTATGTCTCGGATGGTGTGTAAGGTGGCTAGTCCATGAGGGACTTGAGAGAGGAAACGGTCAGTAAAGACACCTGTTCGGAGAAGAAGCTTGTACCTAATCAATTTCAACAACTGGCAGAATGCATTTTACACTCCAGGATCACCGATTCATCAATATTACTCATGGGGACATCGACCCACTAATAAAACCTTCCATAGTTGCACTGACCTGTGACACCATGGGACCTCTGGGTCACATCCACACAGTGGGGTTCCAACACCAGTTGATAGGACTCTGGGTGCTCACTTCAAACCCCAGAGGTGGGGGTGGGCATACATGGCAGGACCTCCCTTAAGGTTATAGGTTAATGCCAAGTGGGACCCTGCCTTGCACAAGGTGATGTCATTTTGAGTCTTTGTTGTTAAAGAGCAGGCGTTCATGGAATACAACCCCAGCTGACTCCCGACCCAGGAGGTGAATAGGTGCTTTTGTACTCTCCTGTCACAGCTCCGTACAAGGGGTGCTCTGGGGAAACTGAGGACTCATCTGTCCAAGAGGAAGACAAGGACTCAAGTCTGAGAAGCTAGGTGCCGGTCCTGCTGGAGCCAACTTCCTGGGTTGGTGGATCAGTATCTTGTCTCCCCAAGGCCTGTCACTCAGGATACGGTCCCATGGGGAGGGATTCCAGGAGCACCCTCCAATCAGGGCCAGGGGCAGGAGTGCTTATAGCTCACTTGGACATCGCTGTCCCAGTAGCTGCAGTGCCTGTGGGCACCTCCCCAGCAGGATCCTAGAGTCCAGTCCCTATCTTTGCACCTGCAGGGCGGCGGAGAGCCGGCCCAGAGCAGGAAGCTCAGAGGCAAGATGGAGAGTGCATGTCTGTAAAAAGGCTAAAAGTGGAACACATCCAAACCACAAAACTCACCACATTCCTGCTTCTAATGTGACAGGTGCTTCCTTGCTGATTTCAGCTGCACTTCATTCTCTCTGCTTTGTGATAAGAATGACTAAGGTATCCAATCATAAAGTTAGACTGACCTCCTGACAGCACCTAATCCAGGGTAAAGGGTCACTTCCTAGAACACTCAAGTCATCTAACATATGGCAAGTGTTCTGATGTCACAAATGTCTTGTCACCCTTACTGACACGTTGTACAGTCCTGTGTGAGGTGGGTGTGTCCCCGGTGCTCTCAGCCAGCGCCTGACTCCCTGTGGACTACAGTGTGGTCTTCGTAGCCTTTGGCTGGATAACACTGACGAAATCATTATTTTACTCCTACTATTTTAATAAAAGTTTTAAATAAGAACAGACATTTACCAACTCCTTAAACTTGTAGGCACCTGGTCCTGTTGACCAAGAATGCATAAGCATATAGACTGATTCTCTTAAACTGAGATTTTGTGAGGCTAATTTGACAACCCATAAGTGCAAGGGGATATTTTAATACAGCCTCTCAGCCATTTGAAAAGTAACATTTGTTAATATTCAACTGGTTTGAAAACAGTGAATATGATTTTTCTGAAACTTGCACATCACTGAGTAAAATGCACATCATTTTTAAGCACACAGAAGTATAAAAGTTGAACACGTCCCGAGGGCTTGTGTTTGGTAACAAAAACTCACATAGTCTGCGAGATGGGGTGGGGTTTATTCCTCACATGGAAGGGTGGACAGTGTGGCCACTCGACGCTGCTTCAGAGAAACCAAGTCCCACAGACTGTTGTCTGCACCATCATATGGGCCGTGATGGAGCTGGGATCCCAGACCTTATGCAACTGTCAGTAGAGTGGTGTTCACTACAGAAATAAGGCCTTACACAAACACGGCAAGACCAGAGAAGAGGAAGGTCAAAGCATCAGAATCCACAACCGTGACAGCCCAAATCCTGGCCTGGTGGGCACACTCGGGCTTGCTGCAAAACCCAAACCTGTGTACTCAGGACTATAGGCTCTGATCCACAATTGGGAGCTCGGGGAGCTCACATGTGGAAGCCAGGACCTCTAAAAAACTCAAAAAGAAAAAGTTGGTGTTTGGCTTGGGTACGTGCTTGACCGCCCAGGCTGGTTATCAGGAAAGCAAGCTGCAGGCTGGTACCCAAGAAACCTGATGTACTGTTCTGGCAGTCTGTACAGTGGCTCCAAACCCCGAGAGTAGTGGCTTCTTCGCCAGTACCTTCCCAACATCATGCAAGTGAGGCCATTGCTGAATTCTAACCTGGGTGATAACGACGGGGACCCAGGGAAAGAGCGCTCCCAGCCTTACCCACAATGAATAACCATATCTACCTGTAGATTTCATTGACTTTTCACAGTAGCACAGAAATACACAGCACTTGGATAGATGAAAGGGATATGGATATACAGATTTTATGTATTTCATATATATATCTGGGTCCAAAGAATAGTTAAGCAGAACAGTAAAATAATTATTTGAGATAATACTGAAAGCTGATACTGAAATCAATTATAAAATATATACAAGTACACATATATGTATATACTGGGTTCAATGGTGTTCCCCTAAATTTCATTATCTACTTGGAACATCAGAATATGACCTTATTTGGAAATAAAGTCTTTACAGATGTAATCAAGATAAGGTCATACTGATTTAGAGTCTATCTTAATCCAGTAATGGGTTTCCTTATAAAAGAGAAAATTTGGACCCAGAGAAGACAGACATGTCTGCCCCACGTGAAGACATAAGCAGAGGTTCGTGCGATCTGTTCACAAGCCAAGGACTGCAAGGACTGTAGCGACTGCAGTGATCCAGAGAGAGGCCTGGGTCAGATTCTCCCTCACAACCTCCAGCAGGAACCAGTTCTGCCAACAGCTTGATTTCCTTTCTAAATTGTGAGAAAATAAATTTCCATTGTTTCAGCCACCCAGTTGGTGGCCCTCTGTCTCGGCACCCCAAGCAAATTAATCCACTTCCCAAGGATATTTGGGAAGGACAGCCAGAGGCCAGTGTGCCTGGAGCAGAGTTCAAGGGGAGCAAGGGCAGCAGAGGTGGCAGGACAGCTCTGGGGTGGGTGGGTGGGCACATCGAGTTGCTTGCGAGGCACTGGCAGCAGTGGAAGACTGGCTTTGGTGGTGAGTGACATGCAGCACGAAAGTGACCTGGTGCGGCAGCTCCCCAAGATCCCTCGGTTACCTTGAGGATGGATGCTATTCTCACAAATCTATTTCAGAGCCATCAGAATTTCTTGATGGACTGGAGGTGGGGGGAGAGGAGGAGTCGAGGGCCACCCTATTGTTTTGTATGGGAACAAAGGGCTGGATGGAGTTGCTGTCCGCTGAGATGTAAGCCCCGGAGCCAGACTTGGTGCGCTGTGCGCGTGCAGCAGGGGGTCTGGCCTGCAGTGTGAGGAGTGGGAGTGAGATTAGGAGAAACTGAAGCAGGAGATAAAGGTGTAAGAATGTTACTGGATTTTACTACAATTTAAAAAAAACACTTAAAAAGAATGTTATTATTAGAAACATTATTCCAATAGCAAAACTGTGAAACTGCCATTGGCAGTTGAATCAATACACGGAAAAGGTAAAATCCTCCAAGGATGAAAATAGATGAATAAATGTGAAAAAGGGCGAAGCTCTGGAAGACTCTTAATATTTCTGAACAAAAGACATTTTGTACGTACTGTGTGATTCTATTTACATGCAATATAAAATGGAAAAGTATTGCCTATACAGGTGACAAAAGTATACAGAAACAAAAGGAAATTATCTATTTTAAAACAGATTTTATTTATCAATTTTTAGAGAGAGGGGAAGGGGGGGAGAAAGAAAGGGAGAGAAACATCAGTGGGTTGCCTCTTGTAGTCAGTCCCCAACCAGGGACCTGGCCCACAACCCAGGCATGTGCCCTGCCTGGGAATCGAACCAGTAACCTTTCGGTTTGCAGGCCAGCACTCAGTCAACTGAGCCATACCAGGGGAAAAGGAAATTATCCTGTATTAGTTTGGGATGTTGGTGACTTTGAGAGGGCAGGATGAGGCTTCTGACAGGGTATCAGCCAGTGGGATGTGGGGTGAGGGTGGCCTTTCTGTGTTGTATGGGTATGATGTCATGGGTATTTATTTTGTAATATTTTTGTCAAATAGACGTCTATGACTCTGGCCAGGTGGCTCAGTTGGTTAGAGCATTGTCCCGTGCACCAGAAAGGAGGTTGCGGGTCCAACCCTCCGACAGGGCACACATCTGTTTAGGGGGTTTGGCCCCAGCTGGGGCACATGTGGGAGGCAGCCAATCAGCGTTTGTCTCTCACATTGATGCTCCCTCCTGCTTCCTCTCTCCCCCTTCCTCTTGCTCTGAAACCAATAAACATATCCTCAGGTGAGGATTAAAGATAGAGTTTTATGCATTTTTCCTCATGTATATTTTACAGTAAAATGTTATGGTACCACATTTAAAAAATCTATCTCTAATTATCTCAATAGATGGATAAAAATAATTTTATACTATTCAGTATTCATCTATGACAAATTTATTGGTAATTTAGGGACTGATGAAAACATTCAACATTTTCTGAAGACTGTCTTCAAAAAAATGCTTATGGAAGAACATAATATTGAACAAGAATATTCAATATTCCTTTGTTCAATAAAAGAATGCACAAAACAAGAATAGGCATCACTCCAGTGCCCCTGCAGCGGTTGACTAGGTATCTGCGTCGGTGCCATGAGAAACAGGTATCAGTTAAGAATGAAGAAGAAAGTAACTTGTTTCAGAGCTGAAACAATTGTGTGCATAGAACTGTATGGAACCTCGAAAGCATATAAGGGTAACCAGCAGGGAAAAAATGACTAACAGGTTTTTAGGATATCAATTTAATATAAAAATTTTTCTAATTAGTATGTATAGAAAGAAGTTGAATAATTTGAAACATAACATGTACAAAAGTAAAACTGAAGCGATTCAAGTACCAAAATAAGTGTAATGAAACCTAATTAAAAATCATAAAATTATACTGAATAACATCCCTGCTGACTACAAAACATGTAAAGATGGGGCATATTCAAACAAAGGAGAGGGCAGTGTCAGCACGATGTCAACGCTTAACCAACAGATGCATCATTTTCATAAAATTCCTTTAATAATGCAACCCAGTTTTTCTTGGAACTTCCTGATCCCCACTTCTAAATTTTATAAACAGAACAATAGCCATGCTTTTCTAAATAAGGAGATGAAGGGGCTTTTCTTAACCTGATAAAAATATTAATAACCCTGAGTAGTATGGCTCTGTTGGTTGGGTGTCGTCCTGCTAAGCAAAAGGTCACCAGTTCGTTCAGTCCCCAGTCGGGGCACATATTAGAGGCAATCAATCTTTCACGTCGATGTATTTCTCCCTCTCTTCCCTTCTCTCTAAAAATACATAAAATCTTTCAAAAAATTATAATTTTACGTTGGCAGCATAACTATGAAAGTACAGAAGTATAATACAAGTACATTGGCATAGGAATGGACCATTATCACTTAACGTGGAAGCTTTGTTACCTTAAACATTATGGCTTTTCACATTAAAAAATTATCTAGGGACATGCATTTTATCAGGCTTCTTCCCAGTTCCAGGACTTGAAAGTGGCTCTGCTAGAATTCTCACCCCCACCAGCAGCAGGCTGTCCTGGGTAACCCAGCATAGAAGGAAACACAGGGTGAACTTTGGTTTGGTAAATGCTTCTTAAATATGACACCAGATGCACAAGCAACACAAGAAAATATAAATTGGTCTTTTTTAAAAAAACATTTTATTTATTTATATTTAGAGAGAGGGGAAGGGAGGGAGAAAGAGAAGGAGAGAAACATCGGTGTGTGGCTAACTCTCAAGTGGCCCCCACTGGGGACCTGGCCCACAACCCAGGCATGTGCCCCGACTGGGAATCGAACCAGTGACCCTTTGGTTCACAGCCCACACTCAATCCACTGAGCCCCACCAGCCAGGGCTAAATTGGCCTTTATAAAAAAAGTTTTGTGCATCAACACTATCAAGAGAGTAAAAAACATCCACTATGAATGAACATATTTGTAAAATGCAAAAGATGTATATGATCTGAAGAGAAACCAGAGTATAAATGAATATATTTGTAAATCATGATAAGGTTTACTACCCAGAATACACAAAGAATCCTTCCATCTCAATAGCAAAAATAGCAACCCAATTAAAAAATGGGCAAAGGGCTGACATAGACATTTTTCCAAGGTGAAATATCTATGAACAAGAAACATATAAAAATATCACTAACCATCAGGAAAATACAAGTCAAAACTATAGGATGGCTACAGTTAAAAATCAGAAACAAGCGTTGTCCCAGATGTGGAGAATTTTGGAACGCTTGTCCGTAGCTGGTGCAGATGTGAAATGGCGCCACCACGGTGGAAAAGAGCTTGATGGCTCCTCACAGTTACACTTAGAGGTACCTATGATCCAAGTCTACCACTCCTACCTATACTGAAACAGATACTCAAAGGTGTACATGGATGTTCGTTGTAGCACTATTCAAAAATGCCAAAGGGTGCACGTTCCAAATGTCCACCAATGGCTGAAGGCTAAACAAAGCATAGCATGTACATAGAACACAATGCTAATCAGCCACAAAAAGGAATAAAGCACTGACACTCGCTGCAACATGAATGAGCCTTGAAAACGTGATGCTCAGTGAAAGAAGCCAGACACAACCGGCCACACAGTGTATGATTCCATTTATAGAAGATATCCAGAATAGGCAACTCTAGAGATAGAAAGTATGTTAGTGGTGGCCAGGAGACAGTGTTTACCTTGGCCATTAACGACTTTACGGGTTTTTTTTTTGAAATGGAGACTCAATTCACATACCATCACATTCACACTTTTGAGTGTAAAACTCTGGTTTTTGGTAGTCTCACAAAGTTGTGCAACATCACTAAGCAATCTAGGTAAATACAGCCTTTTACATTTCAAAATTCACAGGGACCGACTGGAAACCTGATTTGACATAAATTTCCTTTCAGTGCAAACGTACACCTGATTTCTAACATCTCACACCTTGTGCTTGTGTAATGGACGGCAGGCGGCGGGCTCCCACTTTCCATGGATAAAGGATCCCGGACCTCTCGTTGCTGACCTCAAGCCTTAATGTGGGGGCGGGAAGGAGGGCGGACCTGCTGGTGTCAAAGGTCACGCTTCAAACTCTTCAATCTTGAACAAGGGTCAAATATCCACACTGCTCTTGTCGCCCCACGGTCTGACCTTGACGGCAGAGACCGCCTGTTGTGGTTCCGGAAAAGTGGTGCTCCGTTGGGAAACTGACTCAGGACTTCCTGGTCCAGCAAAAGGACGAGAAAGTTCTGAGGAGCTTCGGCGGACGCTGGGTCGCCAGTTCAGGAGCACCCGCGACTCTTAAGTGACCTTCGGACGGTCAGCTCTGGGGAGAAGTGTGGCAGAAACTTACCCAACTCAAAGACATGCACTTCCGCCTTCCTCAGCCACGTGACCTCTGCTTCCGCTCATCATTCATCCTTCTTCGCTCTCATCCTCAGTTGTGCTACAGTGCGTGTTCCACGCGCGACCTCAGGGGTCCCGTCACCGTCGCTCTCACCTGGCACGGTAGCGGAGGTGCGGGGCGTCGTTTCCCGAGCAGCGTGGAGATGGTGAGTGCGCGGTGCGACCGGAGAGCGGGAAGGGCTAGTTCTATTCGGCTGTAATGGGCCGCGAGCGCTCAACGCGCCTCCCTCTCTCCGACATCCCCACCGGAGTCTCAGCCTTCAGCCGCCAGGTGTGATCCTGACCTCCTGTCCGGTCCCCATGTAAGGGTCCCCTGCGTCCCGACCTCAGTGCACGCCCTCAGCGGTGAGTTGTGTGGTGCTGGCGCCCTGGGATTGCCTCCAGGGAAGTGTCTTAGGAACGTCTCCCTGCTGTTGTGGGGAAAATGCAGAAACTTTCACGCATTAAGGTGAGGAGAAGAGATGGATTTATGAAGTCATTAAAATAGTGATTCTTCCGTACGAGGTGCAGAGTTGGCGACACTGCGATCCTGTTCTGCTTCATGTCAAAACCTAATAGTCGGAATTATGCATATTCTCCAAATACGTGGCCTATTAAGGCCAGACATGTTCTTTTCTGATTGATTTGCAATTTATCATGAGTTTAATAGTGAACTGATGTTCTCTGAGATAAGCAGTTTCCAATTACTTAAAACCATAAAAAGTGCCCTAGAATGTTTTCCCTTGCTGTATCCTGCACCACTGGTGAGAATTTATGAAGGGAACAGATTCGTGGTGACCATGACGCCTGGCCCACCCGACCCCGAGTGCATCCAGGCCCTCCTGTTTCCTCCTGTCTCATTCTGGACTAGGGGCGATCTGAGGGGAAAGTGAGTCAGAACTTCCCAAATCAGAAGAAGCCACGGGCCTGCGGGTTGAGGCGGAGTCAGCCGCACCCTGAACGGGTTTTTTCTGCACCTTTCTAACGACCGCCTACGCCGTCCCTAGAGAAGGGGTGACGCCCTGAATTTGCATTCCTGGGGGATTTATTCACGTGACCTCTGTGTCTGCGCGTCACTCAGACCCGGGGACTGTAACCGTCCAATCAGGGGAGCTGGCGGGGGGCCGGAGTGTAATCGTTGTTACTGGGCGGGGCTAGGGAACTGTGCCAGAGGGATCTGGCCTTCCGTCCAACCTGGGTCTTGTGTGTGCCCGAGTTCTATCCAATCTGAGCTCATGGTCCAATCAGAACTCGAGACCTCAGAGTGTCGTTCAATCAGGCTCGGAGGCGGTGCTTTCGCAGCCCACGTGATCGTTGTTTTGGGGAGCCCTAGTGCTTGTTCGGTTGTGTCTCCACTTGTCTGGCTCGTCCTTTCCGCAGCCCTAGAGAAGTAGCCGCGGGGAGGGCCCGGGAACCTGCACCGGCGTCTCCGCATGGTGAATGCTTGGGGTCGAACTTGAGACCAGGAGAGGCTGGTTCTACTGGCCACAACCGACTGGAAACTACTGCGGGCCTGGCCTCCCATGTCCCTCTCCTCCGTCTTCCCCCACCCGCACTCCGGGAAATCCGGACCTGAATCTCTTTCCTCCTCAGGGGTTGGGTTACTGGTGTCGTGTTATCATGTGGGGTCCCGGGGATACTCAGCCAGGTGTGCAGCTGGGTTTTGGGGCCGATGGGGGGCGGGATCACCACCAATTGAGTGCTGATGGGGGAGCCTGTAGAACAGGGAGGAGGCTCCTATTGTAGAGCTATGCCAGCGTTTCGCATCAGACGGAGAAGTGCCTGTCTGAGTGAGGGGGGTGAGCAGGAAGGTGGTGTTGAGGCACGGTAGTAAGAATCTAGGAAAATTCCTTGGCAAGTGAAATTGGGAAACAGACAGCTGAACAAACAGATACAGAAGGTAACCAGGGTGCCTAGCAATAGGCAAAACTGACAGGGTGGCCTTTCTTCCCCTGGCGGGTCGCTGGTCATGCAGTTTAGACCCGCCCCCCACCCTCCCCTTAACTCCCTAAAGTATTTCAACTCCAGGACCGGAATAGCAGCCAAACCAGGCAGGCTATGCCAGGACCAGCTGAATGACTAAGGACCTGAATAGGTCCTAGAGCTGACCTATCAGTAGAGACCGCGGCCCTGAAAGGCTGATGAATATTCTATTGATCTATTCGGCTCCTAAACTCCTAGCCTTTAAAAACCCTCAAAACTAAGTCCTAGTGCCACTCCCCTTCTCAAAAGGCCACAACTTTCCCTCCCTGTACTTCTTCACCAAGGGGTGTGCATATCCTAAACTCGAAGGAACCTCACAAAACCATCAAAGCAGCCCTGTCCAGGCTCCCTTCTTGCCTATAACACTTCTAGAGAGCCAAAGCAGCCCCACCGAGGATCTCTCCTGTCACTGCTTCTATCCTAAACCCTTGTTTCACTGTCCCCAGCTTTAAAAATGTACTCTCAAAATCATCTGGACTTAGGTTGTGAAATCTTTCCTGCACACTACCCTGGCCAGGTTGCTCAGTGGCTTGGAGTGTAGTCCTGGTACAGCAAGTTTGCAGGTTCATTCCCCAGTCAGGGCACATACAAGAATCAACCAATGAATGCATAAATAGGTGGAACAAGTTGATGTTTCTTTCTCTCTCTTTCCCTTCCTATCTCTCTAAAATCAATAAATTAAAAAAAAAAAAAAAAGACCCCACACACTATAGGCTGGCCCGAGACAGACCTGCTCTGGGCCCTGTCTTTTCTGGTAACTGTGTGATGGGACTGTCCGCCATATACTGAATGAATTCTCAGCTCAGGTCAGCAGGGGCTTGTTCTGCAACTTAGTGCTTTATCGGAGGGGGCCAGCGGGGACACTGGAAGAAGGGGTCCAAACTCGAGGTGATGTGGGGAGGACAGAAGGCTGACTAAATCTTGGATTAAAAAAGTGGGAATTTGTGATTACTTGGACAAGTCTGTGGAATATGAAACATTCAAGCTCTGTAAGGAGAAACTTTCATTTAAGAGTCCTTTAAAGGATGGGGAGGAGGGACCATCGCACGCAGGATGGGAGCTGTGCAGCAAGGAGAATGCTCTCATCACAGGGTCTCCAAGTGTCAAGAAAAGAGTTGTTTTGCTTTTACAGAGAGGAATCCACAAAGCTAGGAAGTGCCAGGTGTGGTGGGGGTGGCAGGTCCCCAGATTAGTAAGAGATGTCCCCTGGCTGGATGAAGGTAGGTCAAAGTTCAGCCGTCTGGCAGGATTGGGGGTGCTGAACCAAGTCTGGCCAACAAGCATTTGCTATGCTTGGTCAGAGGTGATGAGCGGTTCACCTAGTCAATGATGAGACACAGAACTGGGATTGTGTGGGGTCTGGGTCCAGCCTTGTCATGGGTAAACAAAGGGAGGGGCTTCCTGCAGTGTGCCTTTCTCCAGAACAAATGGATGGAGAGTTCCTTTCACCTCCAGCAGTGTTTCCAGGAGCACAGGGCTCCAGGAGGGCACAGAATTGTCATCGGACACCTGTGAGCATCCCAGTGCCTTCTGTGCCCAGCTCAGCATGAAGCTTTCCCTTTTTCCAGCCTCAGTTTTCAGCAGGCGTGTTCAATTCTGATTGATTGACTTATAATTTGTTATCATGATGATAATAATAAATCAACACTTGTGTTCAGAAAGAGATACTCAGTTTCTACTTACTTGAATCCATAACAGTGACCTAACATTTCCCTCCCCCAGTTTATCCTGGAACACAGGTGGGTGCAGTGATTCTGTGGGGTCCCTTTCACACTCTGGGACAGGGGGCCTTGTCTCCTCCAAATGACCACGGTGCATGAACCAAGTGTTTCACCTGGGTGGGAACCGACTGCTCCCAAAGCTGGGCCTTCGGAGGAGATGAGGGAAAGCGCAGTGGGCCACTGCTGGGTGCCTCCCACTAGAGGTGGCCTCCAGCCCCCAGAACCACCCAAAAGGAGCAGTTGGTGCCCAGAGAAGCCACGGAACCTGGGGAGACTCCCCTGCACGCGGGCTGGAGTGGTTTGCTCTGAGGTGTACTGTGGATGCCCTGGGGCTGTATGTAAAACGTTGGCTTGAATTTTGCATTGAGATGAACAATGGCACAAACAGCCGCGCACTCACTGCCTAGGTGAGGAGCTAGGCGCTGGGCAGCTGTTGGCACCCACAGCCTCCCTGCGCTGCTGCTGCATCTCATCTTGCTCCCGCTACCAGGGTGACTGCTCTCCTGAGTCAGTGTCATTCTTTATACCTTTACCGATTCTTATTCATCCCCAAGCAGTGTGTTGTTTGATTTTTGCCTCTTAGATTTCCAGTGAGTGAATGTTAACATTAGTACACCGTCACTGTCACACAGAGGCTTCTCTGTGATGCCTAGCCCTTGTCTGTTTGACATGCGCTCGTGTCAGGCTTGGTCCCCAGTTTCCTCATCCATTCCACTGCGGCCAGGGTTTTCCAAGTGTATTTTTGGCTAGTCAGCAAATATACCGCAGGCATCCTGGGTTTTGTCTCCAAATGAACATTGCAGCGGCAGTTTCTACACTTCGGAGACAAATCATGGGGTCGTACTCATGGATAAGTTTAAATTTCCCAGGAAATGATGGTGGAGCATAAGAATTGACGCCCCCGCCCTCCATACCTTTCATTCTTGCATCCACCACTTACATTACCTAAGTTAATTTTTGTTTATCAAAAATGTATGATCCAGAATCTCCTGGTGACATATGGTTTTTACTGATCACCACTGAGGCTGAGCATGTGGTGTTTCGCCTTCTGTGAAACAGTTTTCAGTCATTTGGTCGCATTTTATTGCTTTCTGTGTTCATCGGTGTCTGGTGTTTTCCTAGACACTCCGGGCAGGAGTCCCCTGTCATGTGCAGATACTGCACACATTTTTCTCAAGCGTGGTTATCTTTCACTGTCTTTGTTCTGTCCTGGTGAATGAACTCTTTTTTAAAAAATATTTTATTTATTTATCTTTTTAGAGAGGGTGAGAGGGACGGAGGGAGAAAGAGAGGGAAAGAAACAATGTGAGAGAGAAACATCGATTGGTTGCCTCTCATATTCCTCAACTGGTGACCGAACCCACAACCCGGGCGTGAGCCCTGACCAGGAATCAACTGGCGACCTTTCCCTTTGCTTGGTTGGCCACACTGGTCAGGGCTGGTGAATGAACTCTTACTGTTACTAGAACTGAATTTCTTCTTTTTTTTTAGGATTTTATATATTTATTTTTAGAGAGGGAAGGGAGGGAGAAAGAGAGAGAGAGAGAGAGATATCAATGTGCAGTTGCTGGGGGCCGTGGCCTGCATCCCGGGCATGTGCCCTGACTGGGAATCAAACCTGCGATGCTTCGGTTCGCAGCCCGCGCTCAATCCACTGAGCTATGCCAGCCAGGTAGAACTGAATTCCCTCTTTTCAAACTTTCTTTTATATTCACAAGTTCTATTGTTTTTTTTAAACTGCCATTAACTTAAGAAGAATGTATTTTTAGCTTGTCAGACCTATTTTTCAACAGCATCGATTGAGATAAAATTTAAATACCATAAAGTTTGCCTGTTTGACATAACTGTATCTCATTCATTGACAGAATTATACCATTATCCCCATATTCTCATTTGAAACATTTTTATCACCCTTAAAAGAAACCATGTGTCTTCCGGTCGTCACTCGGCATCCGGTCGGTCCCCCACCCTGCGATGCTCCGTCTACTCTCTGTCTCTGTAGGTTGGCTCCTGTGTGTGACATAACACTATCTGTGTCTTCGTGAGTCTGTCTGGTAATAATGTTTTTATGGGTCATTGATTTTGTGCCGTGAATAAGAACTTCATTCCTCTTACTGCCAAACATATTCCATTGCATGAGTAGTCCCATGTTTTGCTCATCCTAGGCACCTGATGGACTTCGGTGTTCTTCCTAGTTTTTAGCTATTACGAATCACGTGTGTTAGTTTTTGTGTTGATGCTCGTTCACTTCCCCTGAGCACGTAGACACCTAAAAGTGGAGTCGCTTTGTTAGGTGAGAACCATGCTCCGCGTTTTAAGGACCCATCAGGCTGTGTTCCAAAGTGGCTTTAACACTTCATTTCCCATAAGCCGGGCGAAAGGGTTCCTCCTATCCTCGCCAGCACTCGTGTGGCTCCGCAGCGCCCCTGGTGGGGTGAGCGGCCATCCGCTGTAGTTTGGACTTTCGTTTTCCTGATGACTACTGTCTAGCATATTCCATGTGCTGATTGGCCATTTGTATTTCTTATTTGGAAAGATATCTACTCAACATTTTTTGCCCATTTTTCAGTTGTATTATATGTCTTTATTTTTTATTGTTCTCATGTGAGTTTTTGTGAGTGTGTTTAGAATAGAAGGCCCATACCAGGTGTGTGGTTAGCAAAGCCTAGTTGCAGCCTCAGTTGAGGCGGCATTGTTTTTGTTGTAATTGATGTTTTGGGGTTTTTTTCTTTAAAATTTTAGGATATATTTTTATCTTCAACCACCTCTGATTCTTTTTATAATTGCTGGCTCTTTATTTCATGAATTCAGTGTCATTTGACACGGCTTCAGAGGTAGCAATTAGGGTACTCGTTATTTTCTCTCCTTTAAAGTGACACTTGGCTCACTTACCTTCGGACCCCTCAGTGATTCTTCTTTGAGCGGCCGTTGTCCTTAAATGCAGGCCCTCCGTTGATCACCAGAGAGGCTCTGCTGGCCTGTCCCAATCTTTAGGAACCCGGCCCTCCTCTTCCCCAACAGGTGTGCCAGGCTCTGGGCCCTGGCTTATGTCAGCGACCACAGTGTCCACCTCATCCCGGAAGGGGTCCCGTGTCTATCTTTGTCAGATATGAGAGGACTAGACCAGGCTCCCAGACTCTGCTGGCATCCGAGGCAAGAACTGTGAGGGCAAGCAGCACCAGAAATCTCAGTGTTCGAGACGAGCTGATGTCCTGGTTCCAGGTCTTGAGGTTCACAAGGAAATAACCTGTGAGCAAACCGGGTATCCATTTCCATGTTATCCAAACCATAGTTTTATTTTTCAGTCTTTAGCTTACCACAGAATCTGCTCTATCTCATTAGAAATCAGTTTTTTTCATTGTGTGTATATACATTTGCATTGGTTGAACTTTGCTTCAAGGTTCCAAGCACTTGCCATCACTGAGTGTGCTACGTTTGGTTTGCTTGCTTATTGTCATTTCCCATGAGAACGAGAGCTCAGGAGTCCTAGGAATTGAGTCCAGGTCCCTGACTGTCAGTCTGCCCCGTTGTCCTGCACGTGCTGGGGAAGTGGTGCCTCGTTGAAACAGAATATGTGGGATGTTTCAGAACTCAGTGGTCTTTGCGGATGTGGCTGTGAACTTCACTCAGGAAGAGTGGGCTCTGCTGGATGGTGCTCAGAGGAAGCTCTATAGAGAAGTGATGCTGGAGACCTTCAGGAACCTGGCCTCAGTGGGTAAGGATCATCCCTTCACTTAGATTTTAGGGGAGATGTATTTCTTACAACTGTTATTTCTTACTGGAGCCAAGGAATGAAATATGTTGAAAAAAGGATAGACACAATTCAAGGATTCGTGGACCCTACCTAGAGTCAGATGGCTTTTCCATGGTAAAGTTTCATGTATTAAATTGACTTTTTATTTCTCTTGAATAAAAGTCTGAGGTTCGTTAATTTCACAGGTGTGACCATAGTGGCTCCAGTTTGTTGTGGGGTGGTAGGAGCAGGCTTACAGTTTTCACCTGGAGAACATTACACTGCGGTTAGTACACGTTTGACATGGGAATCTTGCTGCAAAATAAACCCATACTTACCCATCATTAAAAGCCTTGAAAATCGTAGTATTGACCCATCTCATGGAATTGTTCATTGCCCTCCATCCTCGCTCATGATGAGCTTTTCTCCAGGAGCAGGGCAGCAGCCACGCACTTTCTGCTCTCCCAGCGGCACCAGGACTGAGGAATGCTTCTTCTGGGGCCTCGGTGCCTGTGAGCACCTGGTGAGAACCTGGTGAGCACCAACTCCCAGGGGAACAGGTTCCAGACAAGGGACTAATACTTGGTTACATCCCTTAGGAACACGACTCTGCTTGTGTTTGTGTTTGAAAAGGGTGACATCTGTCACTTACCTGTCCTTTCTCTTGGACTTTTCATCCATCCGCACTCACTTGGTAAGACTCTTTGTATCTCCTCTTGTAAGGGGAGCATTTGGGCACATGCATTTTGCCCGTTTCCTTCCAGTGTTGCTTCAGTGCTGATACTTATCTCAAATTCAGTCTCCATAGCCCTGGCCAGGTGGCTCAGTTGGCTGGAGCATTGTCCCGTACACCAAAAGTTTGTGGGTTTGATTCCAGGTCAGGGCACATACCTGTGAGCTGAATCCCCAGTTGGGGTGCACACTGAGTCAACCAATCAATGTTTGTCTCTCACTTCAGTGTTTCTCTCTCTCTCCCCCCACCTTCTCTCTCTTTAAAATCAGTAAAAACATATCCTCCTCAGGTGAGGATTAAAAAAATCAGTTTCCATGTCTTTTGAAGTACTTCTTAATGAACAAGCTGCCATTTTGACCCATTTTCCCTAATATTGCCAAAGTCTCAAACAGCTAAGGTCTCAGATTATTTATTTACATATCCATTCTTCCTTATAGAATTTGTTTACACATTTTGGGATCAGTACATGAAAATAAATTTACATAGGGTCTATTTTCTTTTTTTCCCCAAGAAATTAAATTACAGACTTGAGAGATATTGCAGGTTTGGTTCCAGATCACTGCAAGAAAGCCAGTGTCACACAAATATTTTGTTTCACAGTGTATGTAAAAGTGAAATTTGTACTGTACTGTAATCTATTAAGTGTGCAGTGGCTTTATGTCTTATAAAAACCTACATGCCTCAGTTAAAAATACTTTATTGCTACGAAATGCTAACCATTGTCTGAGCCTTCAGTGAGTCACAGTCTTTTTGCTGGTGGAGGGGCTTCCCTTCAATTTGTAGAAAAGGTGGTGTCTGCACAGCACAAACAAGCAAAGTGCAATATATCGTGACATGCCTGTGTGCCACCCTGTGTTGCAGCTTCTTGCACTCAAGCCATCACCAGTGGATCAAGCCCTGGGTGGGAAACCCTGGAGACTGAAATATCCAGTGAAGACAACATAGTGAGAATCACAAGAAACAATTCCTGCTCTGTTTCTGGAGAACACTGGACATTTCATGACGCTGGAGACCAGCACCAAACCCAGAGGAGGCGTTTGAGGTGAGCGGCAGTCCTACTGGAGGAGGGTGCTCGACAGAGCATTAGACTAACTTGAAATTAAAGAAGGAGCATGGCTCTAGCTAGACAATCGTGTGCTCAGAGAACGACCACCTGAGAACATTTTTGTAAGCGTGTTGTAGATGCTGAATGTCTGTGCTGAATCAGTTGGAAAGAGTGATCAGGAAACCCCAATTGTAAGAAGCACTGAACTAATGTTACTTCTCTGTTTGAGCTCAGCCAGAATGTTAAGCTTGCTCCACACATTGTAACAGCGCAGGCAGTACAGAGAGCATACCCATTTGTTCAAAATGGTAAAATATATACTCGCAGTAATCATTAACAACCATCTGTAAATTACAAATAGAGAAATCCCTTATAATTATATTCCTAATAATGTGCTATTTCTTTCGAACAGAAGTCACATGCTGGAGGCTCCCTGTGAGAGGGGTGAAGCTCATCCATGCAGAGACACCCTGAACTCGGTCACAGATCTTCCTGTGGGGGAGGGACACCCGCCCGGAGTTAAACCCCACGAGTGTGCTAAGTGTGGAAAAGCCTGCTCAAGTCAGCCAAGGTCTCCCACTGGATGCGAACCTCATCCCTGTGAGGAACGTGGGCAAGCCTGCACGTGTGTCTCATGTCCAACCCCTCACGTGGAACCAGAGCGTGTGCACAAACCCTGTCACTGTGGGGACACTGGGAGAGCATCTGAGAGATACGTGAAGAGCCTCAGTAATACAAACTCCATCAGGTGTCAGGAATGTGGAAAAGCCTTCACTCTCAACTCCTCCTTTCGGGGACATTTGAGAGGTCACTGTGGACAGAAAATCCACGTGTGCAAAGTATGTGGGAAAGCCTTTATGTTTGGGTGCCACCTTAGACGACATGCGAGAACTCACACTGGGGAGAAGCCCTATGAGTGTAAGGAATGTGGGAAAGGCTTCAGCTGTAACTCCTACCTACGAGAACACATGAGGACCCACACGGGGGAGAAACCCTATGTGTGTGAGCACTGTGGGAAAGCCTTCCGATTTTACTCCTACCTTCGAGAACACAGGAGGACGCACACGGGACACAGACCTTATGAATGTCAGCAGTGTGGCAAAGCCTTCCGGCACCTGTCCTCGCTGCAGTCGCACGTGAGGATGCACACCGGGGAGAAACCCTATGTGTGCAAGGAGTGTGGGAGGAGTTTCCGTTGTCCCAAGTACTTTAGAAAGCACGTGAAAACGCACAGTGGGAGGAAACGCTATGAGTGTGAGGAGTGTGGGAAAGCCTTCGATTACTCCTCGTCCCTTCGGGAGCACGTGAGAACACACAGCGAAGAGAAGCCCTACGAATGTGTGGAGTGTGGGAAGGCGTTCCGGGGTCCCTCCTCCCTGCAGAGGCACGCGCGGATGCACACCGGGGAGAAACCCTACGAGTGTCAGAAGTGTGGCGAAGCCTTCCGGCATCACGCGTCCCTGCGAAGACACGGGAGGACTCACACTGGGTAGAAACTCTGAACATAGGGACTGTATTTAGTTTTCCCTAAAGCTCTGTGAGGAAACACTGGAGAGACACCGGATGAGTGGAAAGTAGGTGGGAAATTTTTAGATCTTCACTCATGTTGTGCATGAAAACTCAGGGCCGCACAGAAACCTTTTGTTGCAAATACAGTTTTCCCTGTAAGTGCCTCCCCCTGAAGAGGGGTCCCTGTGTGTTCATTTCTGGTTTATGTTACTGATAGGGGCACTTAAGATAGAATTACTCCTCTATGTCTGCCTCATCTGTACTACATACATTTTGCTATCTTTGACTTTAATGAATTGAAAGTTATATAAAACTTGTCTCACTTCCATTATAATGTCTTTTGACTCAGGAGTGATAAGTGGTTTTTCTTCCTTTTTCGTGTGTGACTTGAGGTATCTTAGGTGAAAGTTTTTTTGATGCTCACTTTCCATTATGTTCCTAGTGTATGATCATGATACGAGGGCTGTAGTGTCAAAACTTCCTCCCTGGCACCCTGCCACAGACCCTGCAGCTGCAGCTGACTCCATCTCTGTGCTCCCCTTCAGTCTTTATTAGGATTCTAAAAGACGTCTCTTCCACATTTGTTCCTAGTGGATACTACACCTGTGTTCTCACAGAAGTTAGTGATTGTGGAAAGATCTTGGAAGAGCACAGTCCAATCTGCTTATGTTCACAATTTGACCTCTGCTCGTTGCCTTTGGTCTTGGTTGGAAGTTGGAATCAATGCATTGAGTTAAAAGAGAGCTCGTGGCAGGAGGATAAAAGCTGGTGTCCAGATGGTGCCACTGAATGGTGTGGTCAGCTTGGCTGAAGTGGGAACCATATCCCATTGTCCTGTTTATGGTTCTGAGCTAAAGGTCATGAGCAGAGGAAGACGCATGGGGTTTGGAAGGCAGACGGGAAGAAGCCGTGACCCTCAGATCTTCTGTGCCATCAGCAGACAAATGTGTGGGAACCCAGTGGGCCTGAGATACAGCACATTCTTCTGACATCTTGCTCTGCCCATCTGGAACAGCCCCAACCAAATGCCTTTGACATTGGTTTCCTCTTGGGCAGAACACTCCATAGACTGTTCCTAGGGTCCCCCATCATGGGCCCTCTTTGATTCTCAGGTCCACACGTTGCTGTTTGGTGCCCATCCGGTCGCCACAGTGGGAGGCCCTGTGGGTTGATCAGTCAGATGTATTAAGCATAGGGCAGTACTTTGGTCGGCCCGGACTGCTCGGGAACTAGAGGGTGGAACCTCCGTTCAGTGTCATGTTCTTTTCCTGGTCTTGCGTGTCATCACCTTTGAAATGTGACCCCTAGTCAGTCTCTATTAACAAGGGTATGTACACATGGTATCCAGCTTCTCCAGCCCCCTACTGGTGGCATCCTGATTTGTGTGGGTTGGACCAGACGCAGTGCCCACACAACCCAGGCCTATTTGGAACCCCCACTTGCAGGGTGGGGCCCGATACGCCCATTTGCCCACCCTGCACCTGCTGGGAACTCTGGTTCTTGTACCAAGGCTGCTTGGCAGGTGTCTAGGGTTTTCAACCTTTTTCATCTCATGGCACACATAAACCGATTACTAAAAGTCTATGGCATACCAAAAATATATATTTTTGCTGATCTGACCAAAAATAGGAATGATTTTGCTTCACTCACACCAGATGGTTATCGTGTTGGTCATTTGTTTATTTGACAACCTAAGGGAAAAGAGGCCAGTGCTCCTGACTAAATAGTCAGGTATTGCATGTTTTAAAAATTCTTGTGGCACACCAGTGTGCCTTTTGTGGTACACCAGTTAAAAATTGCTGGTCTAGGGTGTTGTCATGGACACACAGTAAATGGTGTTACCACGTTAGGCAAGTCACTGTAGTTGAAAGGTGGTCGGCATCCATGGCAATACACCACCCTACCTGGGCACCTCCGTGGCCACCCTTTCTATGACCCAATCTGCTGTAGCTACTGAAGGGTCTGCTGCTAAGGCTCGCACCCGGGCCAAGGCATCTGCTTCCTGACAGCTGTGGAGCATCAGCGCCTTATGAGTCTGGACATGGAAGAGAGTGAGGACTGCTTCAGGTTCTTGCAGGTGAACCCAAATTGTCCCCAAACATCCTGACCCCACGAGTCACACTCATGATCACCCACCCCTCAGCTTCCTACTGTGCAAACCACTGGATTGATCTCTAAAGCAAAGAGTGAGTTTCCAGAGTCCTTGAATCACCAGTCAGACAGCCTACCTTCTGCCCAGTGAATGCTGAGGCTTGTGTCCCTTGGTGAGAGGCTCCACCTGGAGGAGGGCTGGGGGCACTACTAGGAGCTCTCCCTTTGGGGGCACATGTCAGATTTCTGTCCCGTCCAGGGCTGGGACCTGTCCGAGGGGTGCTGTCTCCTGTGGTCTCTGCCACAGCGCGGCCTGTACCTTCTGGAGTCCCAGATGAGTGGAGAGGCAGCCCTGCCTACCAGACGCTCAGAGCGTTCATCAGCCTCGTGGGTGTTGCTTTCCTTCTCAAAGGCGGCCTGCTGCTCTGATCCGTCATTCCATGTGCTCTTTATTTACCGGATGGCATAGGGGACAGAGGCACTGTGCCAGGTGGGGACAAAAGTCCTCCCAAACTCTGGGTCTCTAAACCCTTACACCTCTTTCACGGTCTCAGGGACTGAATAGGCTCGCATTTTATCAAGCATGTCTTCTGGGGCCGCATGCATCTCACCTGGCCAAGGACCCCCAAGCCTCAGGGCAGTGCCTGGGCCTTGATTTGCCTGCAGGTTCATAGCCCTTCTGCCTCCCAGATGTTTTAGCAGAGCAAGTAGTATCCTGCAGCAGAGGCCTGCCTGCGGTGTTAATATGAGCTCTTCTGCGTTCCTCGCCCATTGTAGTGATGTGGGCAAGACCAAGACAGGCCGGGGCTACCACCCCAGGCCACACTGTGGGGCTGCACCAGGACCCTTGGGAATCACCTGAAAGGCGTATGATTGTCCCTCCTACGTGAAGGCAAGTTGACCTTAGTTCTCAGAAGCCTGCCCTGTCACAGGCTCCGCGAGCCTCCCTGAAGGTGAAGCACTGCTGCAGAACGCCTCTGCCTCACATCAGAGGAAGAGTAACCGCCTACAAATAAAGAAGACTCAGGAATGGCCAAGATGAGGCTGTTATAATGCAGTTGACAAGGAAATTTGGTTATTTTAGTAACATACATTTTTAAATTTTGACTGATAACATACCAGGACACATCAGATTTTTAGAAATGTCACACAATATACTGTAAGAGAGTTTAGCATCATTTTTTTGTGTTCAAAACATAATTTTAATGGATAGTTCTTCATCTTACCTAGGAGCACAATAAAATAACCACATTCTGCAGAAACGCAGAATGTTCTGAGATCGAGGGCAGGGGCGTTCCCATGGGCTCCGATATCTGTCGCCTTGAAGCTGTGAGAGACAAGGGTTCTGACTGCACGTCCACATTTACATACTTGGGACGGGCTACGTTGATGACTGAAAAACACCACCAATCAGGACTCAGATATGAGGAGGGGTGGGAAAGAACAGTTTTGTGTGGGGGTGGGGGAGAACTCCGCCAATGCAGAGAAACCTTACTGAATATCAAAGAATAGAAGGAGCTCCCATAGCAAATACTGGACGGATGAAAATAAAAATCAGTAATTGAGGATGTGTGGCTCTCAAATGAAGAAATCTTTCTGATGATACTTAAGCAAACTGGTAGCTTGAGATTTTCTCACCAGGTCTATAAGGAAGACTCAAACATGCCTCAGCAAACCCCAGTGATTACAAGGTGGGCGTTTCCTAATGGCACCACCGATGGTCACACGTGAAGTGTTCAGACAAGAACTAAGGAAAGGGTCATAATCCAAATGCCTTTCACAAACAGTATAACGTGCTAGTCCTACAGACAAAGTCACCACTGCTGCTGTGCTGGGATTCTCATGTACAGTAATTTTCCAACATTGCGGCAAGACAGCAGTGATCGTCTAGTTAATCGGGTAGCACAAACATTTATTTCAAATTTCTAGGAGGTAAAAAAACTGTTAGGATGCTTTATGCTGCTGAGGGCCAGCCTTAAAACACTCCACTCAGCCCTGGCCAAGCAGGTCAGTTGGTTGTAGTGTCATCCCGACCCCTCCAAGGGTGCAGGCGCTGTCCCCAGCCGGGGCACAAACGGCAGCAGCCAGCGAGTGCGTCAAGTTGTTCTCGAGTGCAACAACAAATCTCAGTCTCTCTCTCTCTCCCCTTTCCCCTCTCCCTCTCCTCCCCCCTTCCTCTCTCTCTCTAAAATGAATAAATTTTAAAAAACTTCATTCAGCAATGTCTTAACAAAAATTTGCATCATTGGAAAACTGGCATAATCTGCCTCCTGCCATTCAACTTGTCAGACTGTCGAGACCAAAACAAAACATTTCATTTGTTTTAATTTTTAAATGTGATCATCACCTTGGGAAAATGAAATAAACACAGCAAAATAAACTGTACCGAGCAAAGTAGAATAACAAAAAATATATTACTAACACAAAATTTACAGAAGTTTCCAGACAAGCCGCACAAAATGATCACAAACTTTTTCTTGAAGGGGGGTCCCCACGTTTCACAGCCAAGCCACAGAGTTATTAGGGAGGACGTGATGTTCATTTGAGGTTCCCATTTCAGTTCAAGCAATCAAGCTTGTCCATCTACAGCGTCTAAATAAAGCTATGAGCGCATTCTAAGGAACTGGTTAGCTGCTTTTAACCCATGCAATTAGATCACCGTAAAGAGGGGCAAAGGAGCCCCCAAATTAAACTACCTCCCCCCTCAAAAAATGGGAAAGAAAACACCCACACCCCTGTAGCTAACCCTGACAACTACCTTCGTTCACAGTGCTTTCTACTTAAACCATGACAGGGAAATGAACAGAAGCAGACAGGGCCACAGCTTTTAAAAGTTTCACAACGATCAGATGATACCCCCAGCCTCCGCTCATCTCTACCGCAATGAGTCAGGACAAGACATAGATTTGCTGATGTGCATCTAATCACCAAAGGACTGAAGATGCCTGGGCTTTTATTCTGTAATGCTTCTAAAACTGTGTCCATTAAATGCAAACAGAAAAGAAAAAAGTCTCGGCAGGACAGGGGAAGCGATGCACACGTGATGACCAGATCAATTTAAGTGCTATTCTTGGCGTACAGCCTAGTCCATGCTCTGGCTGTCTCCAGCTTTGGGTGTCGTTGGTCCTCTGCTGCTCCCTGCATCATTAGCTCATGGATCGTCTGGACTAGGGGTGCTTCACAAAGCCTGCATCACTAGCAGAACTGCGGGGATCTGCAGTG